CAATGAGTTAAAAATTGTTAGAACATCGCGCTACTATCTTGAGTTGGGAGCGGTGTGAGACTCGAAGAGGAGAAAATTGTCAATCTGCCCAAGAAAATTAGGCGAAGACGTTGCGAAGCGGTGTGACTGGTACACGGTAGTTGCTGTGTTCGCAAGACTTTTCAAAATTGATCGAGGTTGCCGAGATACATGTGCAATAGGCGCCGAAGGTGTCGGGGCTATCAAGTACACTACACCGCACCGCAATTCGGTGGCATCCACGGCGGTACAACTGCAGGGTTCCGTCGGTTCCGTATGTTGCTTAACTTGGGGCCTTTTCGGGTCTTGATAAGAGATATACATACCTAGATGCACATCATACCTATGTAGTAGTATGGTCCTTCGTACCCTATACTAAACGGGAGATCTGTCGATTCAATGTTCCTTTCTTCTATGTAGGCATTGTACTTCGTAGACTTGTCTTACTTGGATGTAGTCGAGTCTCGTCATACCGCTAGCGGCGGGGTGGTGAGATAGATCACGGCCAAACGGGGGTTTTAGGCCTCATGTTGTTGAACATCACTGCCACGAGGGAGCAAGTTGATAGACGGCATCGTCCTAGCCTCGATCTTTTTACACGGGCAAATCGTGCCACCCCCACTGGCTTTACCCCTCTTGTCGACGCCCTATGATTGCTTTCTACCGACTGATCTATAGTCGGTAATACGAATGCCATCTAGGGAGTCCTGAGTGTCATATGCATTACCTGAAACACATGCAAAAAAGAAGTAGCCACGCGTTTGCGGCGATCCTGTCAGTTACGAACCGGCGAATGTAGCAGGAGATGAGATAGTGGAGACGGCAGACAACTTCGCGGGGTTGACTTGGAAGCAAGATGACATTATTTTCAACCAACCACATAGCCCACACCGATGAGCGTCTCACGATGAGATTCATTACCCTAGGTACCCAAGTAGGTATATTGCAACTAAGGTGGTATTAGTTGATAGTGTGTGGAGTCAATGACATAATGGCTCCCCAGGTTCGGGAGGAAGTCAAGAGTTGTCAAGACGGGGGCCCGTCGGATCTAGATACGTAGCCTTGCTTGCCTTGACGTATGAATTATAGCTTGTTGTATCAAGGTTGGGTGTCAAAATAATGCAAGGCTTCAGATGAAAACCAATCGGGAGAGATGGTAGTTGTAATAAAAACCTATAGATGGATATAGATCAACTGAATTAGTTACCAACGGCGACAAGTCTCTAAATGAGCGACATGGGAGATTGTTGAATCGATGAGCAAAGCGAGTGACCGGGCGAATAACGGAATGGGTCGATTATATGGAGTAGATCCCAAGATCAGCAAGCAACTAGCTCTAAACCTATTGATGATGAACGTGGTTGGGACAATACCAAGTCTCTTGAAGTCTTGTTCGAGATACATACCTAACTTGAGCCCAAGGTCAATCCCAATATATACTGTCTACTACTAGTAGTAGTAATCAAGGGCAGTGAGTTTTAATCTTTTTGTTGAGAAGGAAGAGATGATTCTTCAAAGTTGCATGTGTTTGTGAGTTGATATATACTACATATGTAGGTTAGGTCCTTACCTAACCTACAGCTTGTAATTGTTTCATTATATTGAGGTTCTGCGGCGTAGAGGGTAGGGTAGGTAGGTGCTGTATGTAGTGTATTGTACCTAGGGTAGTGTAGATATGTAGGTGTATGTGCGCACAGATGAGGTGAGCGGGAGTAAACGGGTTGAATTATGACGATCAGATACGAAGGATGCGAGATGAGAGAAGTTAGACAAGGGACCCATGAATGGACCCTGATATACCTAAAAAGTGGGCACAAGATTTTGGGGGGACATTATCATTTATGGACTTTCAATTAGCTAAGCAAGTTCCTCGCTAAGGTTTCTCGGAAGTCGGGAGTAGGCGAGGCAAGGCATTGACAGGCGTAATGTTTTAAATGACCTCACATCACGAAAGTTAGATGGCTGCAACAAATAACCCTTGTCGATGTAGCCAGTAGAAAATGTCCGAGCTAAAAGTGTCTACTCAGAATTACAGTATACTATGCAGTAGAGGGGTAGCCGGCTATTATGTAAAAAGGTGTAAACAAAGCATTGTACTATGTAAACAAATATAATTCGAAAATGAGCCAATGTAGGAGCTGTGGGTTCTATATTAGGTATGTACTATACCTACCTAGTACCTAGTAGGTAGTACGTAGGTATTATGTAGGTAGGAGAATTGGCAGAGGATTGATGATCATATTGCCCTGCATATAAAAACTGAAGTATGGAGTAAGGAATACGGATTCCATGCGATAGCTCTGAATGGACGTGATATACAGTTCATATAATGGATACCTCACGCAAAGAAGGTATCTGGAATACCCAGCCTATCTTCGGTAGAATGTCACAACATATATATGTAGGTAGATAGGTAGATAGGTAGGCATATACATATAGTAGTAACTAGTATGCATGTGGGTAATAGTACCTAATCTCACATTTTACATTTTACTATGTATTTATGTTCAATGTTGATATTTCCATGTGCACATGTGTGTACCTACATACTATGTAGATCATATAATATAGGCATAGATTAGATGTATATAACCTCAGATTATCAACAATGCCTACCTACATCTACATGTAATCAGGTCTTGGACTGTTGGACATCTTCAAGTTCCTGTAGGACATACCTAGGGTAGGCTGGTACATAATGTATGTATGTACAGTAGCTACACCAATTTCCACATTTTAATGACTGGTTGCCAGTGGTTGGAGTGGTCGTGCGTATTTGCTACCGTAATTGATGGAGGTGCTAATAAAATTAGAGTCACTATCAATATCGACATGGGTCACTAGACATACCTGGCAATTTACACTTGCACCCTTGACCAAGTCTCGAGCACGTTCTGTGCGTCGGGAGGCCCCTCCCTCGTTCGCCAATACATCTTGGCTTTTAGCTTTTAGTTTTTTTGGCTTTGGTTGCTAGGCATCGAGAAGGGGTCCCGCGTATTTCCATTTAGTTAATCATGATATCTGGCGTGTCTTTTGCATTCTTTACCTTTTATGCATCGTCAGAAAACTGATTAGTTGCAACTATATGATTTACTCGGATTTCAGACAACAAGCGTCTCTCCCTAAAGCACCCATTCCATGAGCATACTACTAGGTTAGTAGTATGTAGCTTCAGCCTTCAAGTGGTTGATTGATAGGTATTGTACCTACTTATATAGTTAGCAGGAAATAAGCCCACGCATGAGAGACCGTCGCGTTGATCGATATCCTGGTTCGGATGATCAAAGACGGACATGCCGTAGACAGTTAGACTGCTTTAATTGTGCGCCTGTACTAGTAAGTAGTACCCAGTACCTTGTAGTATTGATGTGCGTGGTATTGCAACGAACGGGTGTGTAAAGTACTGGGTACGGAGACCTCGCATATCAAATTGATGCAGAAGATGCCGTTAAGGGTAATGCAAGCCAAACTGTCAAACAGGAAAAGAAGACGATGTCGTTATTGGCTACAAATACTGGGCTGATCGGATCAAGTGTGACCTATTGAGTGACCAAGCGGTGCTGGGCCCAGCTAGATGAGTCCATGTCCAGTCCATGTCCATCTGACGCCCTGGCGCCAAAATCTTGTCTGAGCCGCGCCGGCCACGAGAGTCGACAGGCTACGGAACCTCCATGGTTTACACACCCCGATGTGTGTCAATGGGCTCAAGTGCGCTGGAGAGGTTGTACAGACACCTATAGTGGGCATGGTGGGGGTATTAAAGTCCACTGTAGCACGCACTGCGATATGCTAGAAACAGCATTCGTGCAGTTAGCAAGAGTACTGGTACCCGGCAGGTAATTTTGCCCCAGTTCGCTTGCTCAGGTGGACACCGGTACCCACACTTGACCGAGAACACCCTAGCAGCAGCTACCCACCACACCAATTTTGTGAGGTCTTGAGTGGGCTTGGCATTTTGCATGTGGGCGCAGTGGGCAGTTGGTCCACATTAGGCCATCATCCAATTTTATTATTTGGTACTACAAGGGCTACCAGGGCTACAAGGGCTACAAGGGCTACAAGGGCTACAAGGGCTACAAGGGCTACAAGGGCTACCAGGGCCACCATACCTAGCACCCAATCCCATACACTAAACCTACCCATACACACTTTTACGCTAGTAATACTTAGATAAACCACCTACTAAAGTTAGTATATCTTTTCTTACCTCCCCAATCCGCCCGCCGCCCGCGCAAACCTCCTATCCCGCTTCTTCAAGCACTTTTTGCAATACCCTTTCGTCGTGGGTGCAGTGCCGAAAAGACGAAGAAGACGAAAAACAGGGTCAAAGGGTTAAGGAGAGTGAAGAAAGCCTGTCATCGTCGTCGCTACTCTCTACAACTCGTCTTTCCATCCTCTTAATATTAATCACTACAACATTCCAGAGATCCCCCCCCCTCCATCTTCCATTCACCTCAAGGGAAAAAAGGGAAATCTTTTTTTCTTTTCTTACACGAAAAAAGGTATGTGTGCATTGTCAACTACGATCACTCCATCTATTCCTGAAACCCAATCACCCAAAGAAAGCAGCCTTGTTTATCCAAATAATATTGCTTTGTGTTTACGTGGATCGTGACGCATGTGTCTTTTTCAATCAAGCTGCCTTGTTGCCTTGTTGCCTTGTTGCCTTGGCCTTGGATATTTTTGTCGTCCGTGTTATGTTATTTATCTCCGTGACCCGAATCCGCGACTCCTTGCTCTATGGATATGGTTGTACCCTTCTTATCCACAGGTCTGCACGTGTGTGTGTATAGTACCAATCTAACAAGACAGGACCTGGAAGATCTGATTTTCTGCGAGTCATGAGCATTGTTCTTTTCTTATTTCCCCTGTTTCACGATTTACTAGCAGCTGGTTCTGCAAGCATAGTAGATAGAACCATTCACGCATCCGTAAGGAAGCCAGGTTTCAACTTACTGATACTAACACTCCCCTCCATTATTTAGACACTTCCTTTTACTGGAGACGCACCGGCGCCGGAGCCTCTTCTCAAATAATCTCTAAAAAAAAAAGAGCTCGGTCAACTATTCCCTTAAAAGACCTCCGGCAATTTTCCGAGGCACATCAAATCGAGTTGAAACGTGGAATATCCCTTTATACCATTCTTCATGCCTACCCGACGATAATTCAAGATGGATTCGGAAGACGGAGAGCAATACGTTAAGGTACAGTACCTAGTCAACTCCAAATTGTTTTTAGGATTAGAATGAAACTGACATCTTGAAAGCGCCTGGCCGTTTATGTGCGGACGCACGAGAAGGCGCTCGCGAATGCCTTGCAGTCTCGAAGGCAAAATGGCCCTCGACATGGCCCTAGCCAGAGTGTCTCTTCCATACAGGTTCCAACCTCGCCGGCATCTATACCCGAACGTCCTGCGACGTCTGCCTCGACACCTGGCCCGCTTGCGGCGGCATTATCATTTAGTTCGCTGAGTTTAACGTCTAACAGTGTCAAATCAGCGAGACTGAGCCTCACGCCGCATCATCTATTCTATTTATTGACCCGCTTCGAAGAGCTTGGAATCCCTGTCGGTCCTATGAAGGTACGCTTGGAGAGTCTACATGACACCTCAGTCGCTGCCAACTATGTGTCGTTTCTGAGCTCCTCCCAACGCACCAAGAGCCGTGGTTCTGATGCTGTATCTATACGATCCGTTTCGAGCATCCGAAGTGTGATGACGGGGATGTCCTCCATATGGAATAGTTTTGGGATTGGGTCAACTATCTCTGCTGCTCGGGTTGAGAGACAGAAGGCTGCTTTGCAATCTGATCTCAAATATCTCTATTCTGCTTTCACCAAGATACCCACCCTCCGACTCGCACCTGACTGGCGTACGAAGTTAATAAAAGGCTACGAAGAGTTTCCCTTCGACTCCGCAGTCCCGCTATATGTCTTCAAGAATTTGCAGGCATTAGAAATCAACGGTATTGATTTTAGACAGTTCTTTGGCTGGGACCGTATGGCGGAACAAATTCGATCACTTACTCTCAAGCAAGCCAATATCGAAGACCCAGCGGACATTCTCATCGACATCGTACTAGACGATATGGACAAGAGGCGACGACGATCCTCAAAGACACAGTCATCTCCTACGGGTGCGTATGCCCACGCATCAAACCCACGACGAAGTCCTACAATTCCCTACGCTGGATCGCATGGTTCCAATGTGCCGCCGGAAATTCCAGAGCGTCGATATTCGGTAGCAGATATACGCATGGGGTCAATAAACACCGGATCAACCGAAAGTATATCAGCTCAGGAGTGCCGCCGCCCCTCTGTTTCCCGGGTCGAAACTGACGAGCCAGTAACTACTACCAAATCATCGAGACCTAGGAGTCATTCCCCTAATCGTCCGGCAACCGCTCGTCATCATACGACAAATTCTAGAGGGTCACATAAAGTGAAGCGTTCTGGTTCTGGTAGCTCACATTCAAGTCTATCCGATTCATGGCATAACCCGAGAAACAGTGCTTCAAACCTCCTTGCAATGGGTGTCCTCCCCGCCTCCAAATGGCGATTCTTGAAACATCTCAGCTTAGCAGATAACTCCCTAACCGTAATCCCAGCTACAAGCCTTGCTCCCTTGGCTAACACCTTGGGCTCTTTGGATCTCTCAACAAACCTTTTCACACAAATCCCGGATAGCTTAGCAACCCTCACCGCCCTTCGTGCTCTCAACCTTTCGCACTGCATGATTGACTCTCTACACTCATTACTTCGCAACCCTTTGCCAGCTATCAGCGCTCTAAATCTCAGGGCCAATCGCCTTCAGTCGATTGCAGGCATCGAGAGGCTCTATCCATTAGAGAGATTGGACCTTAGAGATAACCGCTTAACTGACCCAACAGAGCTAGCTCGTCTAACCGGTATTCCTGATTTACGAGAGATATATGTTGAGGGTAATCCTTTCACACGGACTCACCGAGACTACCGTGTTACCGTATTCAACCTTTTCCGCAACACCCCGGGATATACTGAAGATATAATAATCGATGGCTCAGGCCCATCCATGTCTGAGAGGAGATATCTCGTGGACCGCGTCGCCATACCCGCAGCCGTTCCTGTAGTTAAGCCCCATATTCCAGAAATACCGGCTGTAGATGTGAGCAAGCCAGCTAAGCCAGCCATTATCTACGATACTGCAAGGGAACCAGCCGTCTTGCGTAAAGAGAGGCCGTCTCGGCCTACCCCTAAGGCGGTAGCTAGTGAGGTCAACACAAGTTCTACGAGGCGGCGGCGTGTTCCCAAACGCAGAATAGTTGATCTCGCTACAAATGACCGTGCCGGTGATGCCCTACAGCAATCGATCAGCATCGACGAGGTTGCTCCTGAACCACCCGTCACGATAGTTGAGTTGAACAGTAACTATCGCGTCTCTCAGGCCCCCGAGACGCAAGCTTTGCCAACGACTGTACTGTCGGAAACGAGAGCACCCAATAGTGTGGATCTACCAGAGGTCCCACGTATCAATACCAATACAATTTTGCAGCATCCTGCAACGTTTCTGAGTAAGGAGACTCCGGATTTGTGGAAAGAAACACAGGATTGGAATGTCAGTGGTGAAATCTACCGGCAGAAAATTGAAGCACTACGGGACAAGGTGGGCAATGGCTACCTAAGCGTCCTTAACGAGGAGAGTTGGGAGTCATCTAGGCCAACGTTTGTTACTGGAGACTTCAGTCCTGGCTCAACGATACGGCCTAGCCACGCTACTCGTACTCCCAGTGCACAAGCAATCCCTACTGGTGGCACAATGGGTTGACCAGAAACTGGAGTCAAGTAGCCACCTTTTCTTTCCACCTCACGAGACGGTCCTCTTTGGGAAAGTAACACACCTATACCTGTTTCGTTATTGTGGAATTTTATATACCATTGTTGCATTGTGTCACTTTAGTTATGCCTGATATTCACGGAGCATAGCGTTTGGGCGTTTTGATGGAAGGGGTCTATGATCTTGCATTGTTCCGTTCTGTGGCATCACCATAGATTCAACGTGTTTGTTCTATTCTCATATAAATTTGGGCAATAGAAACCAGCATTATTCTTGCGAGTCCCGTTGGCACTCGGAGAGGGGCTTAGGTTGACTTGTAAAGAGAGAAATCTCGGAGCAAGAGACCTTCAGACTGAGAAGCCAGGTTTGGAACCCACAGGAGAGCACGCGGCTGTATTATCGATTGTTTTCTCGTTGATATCCATGATTACGAATTTCTCACTTTGGTTGGCGTTCAGAGGGTTCATGGGAATTCAAATACCTTGGTGATTTAGGGGGATCCTTTTTTCCCTGGTTTTCTTTTTCCTCGTCCATTTTCCTTCTCTCTCACCTCTTCTCGTGGCATTTCCCATAGCATAAGAATCGCGTGTTTTATGCATTTTAAAACAAAGTGGTCCGGGGTGGATGGGGGAAAGGGGGTTTTGTGGTGATGGTGGTCGGTCCAAATGGTTACCAACAACTAGAGAAACGGTTCACCTTCCCTAGTGGAGGGGAATGGTTGATGGTTAATGGAAGAAAACAAAAGACACGGCATGCATTCGTGCTATATCCTTCAGAACATCATCGATTGACTTGGCTTGTTGTGACTGTCTGTTTGTGACCGTGACTGTTTTGTATGGTTCCCAAGACTCTGCGTGTAAGTCTTGGTTGGTCTGTTGTAAGTAAGACGTGACCTGTGGGAAGACTGCCTACCTACCTAGTACCCACCTACCTAGGTACCTAAGGTAGGTATCGAGATACTGATAGGCGCTTGTGGGGTACTTAAAGTCCTCTTACGAATACAGCCAAACTTTCTATTCGGGTTTTTTTTTTTTTTTTTTTTTTTGCTGTCGGCAGGATGTTAACGGCAAGACACCTACTCTGCGCTTTGTAAGCACCTAACTACATAACTAGGCACAGAACCTATTAGGTTCCAAGGTTGCTATGACACCCTAGATGAAGTAGTAGTGGTAGGTAGTGAGTGAGTGGCAAGAGGGGGGGGGGAGGCTCTGTTGGTCCTTCTTCCCGTGAGTGACACTTTTATAAACGTGCGTAGGTACCTGGGTAGGTAGGTAGGTAGGCAGGCATCTTTAGCATGATCGATCGATCGATCAACGCCTGGTCTTCTGCGCTGGAGATGCGATTGGTTTTGCTAGCTGTAAGAATCTGGGGGGAGTGGGTAAACGTGGTGGGAGACGTCTATTAGGTACTAGGTACCTACCTCTCTACCACCAGCACGGAGACTTAGGTACGGAGACTCTGGTGATGAGTTGGAAAGGGGAGGGGAGGTGTCTGGTAGAGATATTGTTCCAGGGTCTTGGGACTACACCGGAGGCTTATGGTATAACTACTTCTTAACGCGATATCGAGGTGGTTTTATGTGGGGATGGGAGGGTGAAGCATGGTATGTTCGAATGGCATCCAACGTCTATTGTTTTTTTTTCTTTCTTTCGTTTATGATAGGTAGGACCCCAATGTTACCTACCACCTTAGTAGGTAAACCTGCCTACTTGACGTGTGACTATCGTTTATTCCGAGGACCTGGCATCCGATGCTAGGAGGGACCGTACTCATATGTCAAGGATCTACCTGGGGGCTAAATACATGAGGGGCTAGATAGAACAAACACGGCTTGCATGTATAGGTACCTGCCTAACCTAGGTAGGTGTGTAGTCTTCAGGGAGGTGCTAGAGGTCCCCGCGTGGCAACGACGTTGCTCTGCGTCTTCTAGGTTGCGCCTCGCGACAACATCTGCTTTTAGGGGTGCGGTCATAGCTCTCCTAGCCGGGATCTGGTGAGCATTGATTTACATAGATGTTAGTCACTTATGACGAAAAGGCCTCTACTCAGCTGATCTCGGCGGTAATACGCATCTTGCTAAACCTCTTCAGAGACGATGACTTATAGGTTATTTGATTAAACTCGACGGCGAAAACTAACTTTTGGCCTGCTCGTCCTTTAAGCATAGGGGCTGTGTCTTGCTCAGTAATGTCTAGGCAGGAAATGATATATGAGAGCAACAGTGGTGGTACCTAGTTATATTAGTATTAGAAAACAGTAACTCTTCTCCATTCATTCATAACCCCGTGTCGATGCCTACATACGTAGTAGGGTGAAGGAAAGCTTCTAGGCTAGGGCCTTAGCTAATAAGTAGTACATGAAACAAGTGTCCACTGAGCTCGGTGCAGTATGTGCCTCGGTGAGTTGACTAGCCCCTTGCGACTAGAGGATTGGATGTAGCTTTTAGTAACTAGTCCCTGGGTATTTGATCATATTGCTTCGTACGGGGAAATAGGAGAGGATTTCAGCTGCTCGTGAATGCCTGGCTGGCGCCCTATCCATGCTAAGTAGGTAGAGAGAGAACGAAGATGTCGTTTCGTGACTGGTCAAGTTTTATCCGAGTTGTACGTAAGACGTGATCTCTGCTGATATGGGTTGGTAGAGTTTATGTATTTACAAGGAGCATACACCAGATACTTAGGTTAGTAGGTGGCATTCGAATAATATCAGCATTGATTACTTGGGTGCTATGCAAGTGAGAATAAGCCAATTCAGCACTTCGTTATTACGACGCCAAAAGAAACGAGCGCGCTGCTCTTCCCGAAAATTGAAGGATTGCATGGAACGGGACGAAAAGAGGAAAAGAAGGGGGAAAAAAGCTTTTGTATAGGTAGGTAACGCAATTCGGGGGCCGTTTTCGGCGATTGGTAGTTTGTTGTCGATCGGGCGTCTAGGACCCTGAAAAGCTGGCATGATCGTATATATATATATATATATTCCATGGTGTTTTACTGGCTAGAAAACTTTGTCTGATAACCACGGCCACGTCCTCGCGGCCATAGTAAGTCGGCGCTGATCGAATTTCAGAGCATTAATCTAGGGACAAGGGATATGCATACCGGCCTATGCGACTCACCCTCTGGCCGCCATGGAGAAGTATCCGTGTCCTACGCTTTTCTTTAGGGGGCCCGGCCTCGTTATATAAACCCCAAATATGTAACTTTGGCCAAGTTAATTGTAACCTACCTACGTGGTGTGTAGGTACCTGGTACGCTAGGCCGGTTTCTGTGGCCGCCCTCTGAGCTGGCTGTTGACGATATTCGATCCGCAACGCTTTCATTGTCGACACACTAGAAGGTAAGAGATAATACCTTTCGCTCTTTAATAAGTTAGATGTGATGTTGCTAGCTTGGCTAGATAATTGTACGAAGTTTTTTGACTCCATTTCTTGTTGGTAGGAGTAAGTGATGGTGAGGTATGTGATTGCTGTTCTGCATTGATTTCCAAATAGGCGAAAGGGGTATGTATATCTTGCCTAGGTACACGGGTAGTAAAATGCCTAGGTAAATTGTCATCTAGCGACGTACTAAGTCCGCCTCAGATAAATAAAGATAGGTAATGGATGCTTGGGGGACTTTTAGAACTCCACCTTCGGGATCGTCGTAGCATTTCGCCAACGGGGCCACAGTAGCAAATTTTGCTAAACTCACCGAGCTGCAGGTTATAAACAAAATGTGCATCCATTCTATCCCAACCTTGATTACCATCGCAACACATATTAGGGTGGCAATTGTGATGTATTATTGATACTGCTCATTTTGATATTTAAATCTGCAGTAGGTTCAAAGGGGTGATCCGAGTTGCGTCGCTTGCGATCAAGCGAGCTTCGGGCCGCCTCCTATTTACCTTATTGAAAATAACGTCAGAGAACACTATAGTTTGCTGAAATATGTGAGAGGACACACGAAGGGGTTGATGAACTAGTGCGGTTCTGGGAATGACTAGAGCCGGTTGGTTCAAGTGTAGCCACCACTGAGATCTTAGGTAGATGAATGGGAGATGGTCAATCAGATAGTATCGCAATCCTATCATACGCCCACAAATGAATCAGGTACCTATATACCTCATAAGATATAGATTAAGCCGAGGCTTAGATTGAATTGGGTCCCATTATGTTAAAGGGACTAGGGGTGACCCAAAGCTACGGCGACGGCAACGGGAATGTGCGTGCAGACCCGGTATGACGGCATTCGGGGAGGTGTTTGACGGGGGGGAAGGGTCTAGATCGACAGGAACAAGTGTCAAAGACAGGGAGGACACTTACAAAAATAACCTAGCACATGGCTCTGGGTTGGTAACTCAGCACTGGATCATTGGTGAGTTCTGTAGGGCTGAATCTAGAAATGGAAACGACTCGGTACCCTTGAGCTTGATGGGCCAATGTGTAGAGACCCCACCCCCTTTTGGGATGTGTGTCTGTGTCTGATTGGTGCGCAGAATACCTGGTAGTTAGTATGATGAATTTGGGTTTTTATTTTCTTGTTATTTTCTTATGAGGGAAGAAAGAAGGGGGAGGATAATATTAAATCTCTTGAACTCATTCATTTTTTTCTTTTTCTTTTTTTCCTTTTTTTCATTCTTTTCATCTTATACTTCGTATAGTTACAATACAATTGTTGGAAAGAAATTAGCGAGTGAAAATCACTCGTGACTGTGTTATATTTATTTTAAATACTTGTAGGTTGTAGTTGCCAAGTGAGTGACAAGTTGGAAGTTTGCTTAGTGATAAATGTATACATAATAAGTCTCGATCAAGTCAATAAAATGGGGATGCACATGACATAGTGTTCGTCTGAACTCTAATGATATAGGCACAGGTGGAGATAATTGGTGTAGTCTGAGTGGCTGATCCGTAGATTCGGGGGTTGCATCATTCCAAAAGTCCGGGGTTCGAGAGGGGCAGCCTTAAGCTTACGTAACTGTGGCGCGCCGAACTTTTCCCTTTAGGGGCTAGACCCATCACCTCCAGCCGACTTCACCAGCGCGTCCCTCGTTACTTTTCGCTCTTTCCTAACGACTTCCTTTCAACAACCACTTCTTATTCCGACGATTTCGGTCAAGAAAAGGTTCATCATACCCTCCTCACCAACTCATAAAACATCTCTTAACTAAATTTCCCCTTTTTTCTCAAATGCCTGTTTGCCGACCTCGACCCCATGACAAACCCCCTCGTCTTCTCCTTGCGACGCGCTGATTACGACTCCCGATCATCGCCATATCTCTTCTATAACCTTTTCGAACATTAAAGAAACCATGGCACCGAGCCCGAGAACACCGCGGCAATCCGCTCTCGCCCGCCCACGCGGCCGACCGAGAGGCTCTGTTAACACTGTGCGACGCGTTAGAGACGGCAGCATCGTCGCGGCTACCGAGCCCCCTCCCAAGCGCCGCCGATACGCAGCTATAAACTCTGGAAGTGTGAGCAGGTTCAATGATGCAATCGGCAATGGACCAGGTGACGCTGCTCCTGCGACTACTGGTCGCTCGAGAAAGCGACACAGTGCGATTTCCCCCACCGGTTACCCTAGACGCGAACGCAGTACTCGTACCCGCACTGCTACCCGAGTCGAAGCTGGAGATGAAATGCAAATAAGCTCTGCTGCTGCTGTAGCTGCCGCGGTCGTGCACAGTGAAGGATACAAGCCTAGAGAAGAACGTGGTTGGGAAGAGTTCCACCCAAACCTCGATATAGATGCTACGTTTATGTTGTTCCACGCCGAAGACGTGGACGGAACTGCCAAACCAGCACTAGACACGACTGTCTCCGGCCTTGCTACTGTGGATAATACCGAATCTGGCGGTCCTTCGACGGACCCGAAAGTAGTGTCCAACCCCTTCTTAAACCCCCCAAATACTGTCACGAACAACCCAGTGGCTCCTAGTACACTTGCCATCACACCATCTAGGAGACGTGGTGGCCGACTACCACGAGGAGAATCACTATACGCTACTCGCGGGGAACAGCAAGTGGCACCAAACACTCCCACTCCTCTCCCCATTCATGGCCAGAATAACAAGGAGAAACTCGATCTTAAGCATCCTTCTTATCGAAAGACAGACCGCATCTTGCTCTTTGAGAGCAAAACATTTGGTCAGGCTCGATACGTTGACAAATCTATGATGAATGTTGGATATCAAGAGAGCGACAACTTTATTCGCCCAGAGCGAAGACTGATCAAGGCCAGCGATACCAACATTGAAGATGAAGCTGAACAGGCTGCCGTCGTCAAGGCTGATGTGGATTCGGTACCTCAGCCAACCCATAATCTAAGCCGTGTCGAGTACGACATGGACGAACAGGATGACATGTGGCTAGAATCGTACAATGCGCATCGAAAGTCACAGGGCTGGAACCCAGTCACTCGTGAAATCTTCGAAATCATCATCACTAGAATTGAAAAGGAGTGGCATGCGCTAGAGAAGAGAATCCCGAAGCCTAACCCGAAGCCACCACAGACCCATCGTCCTCGATCAAGCTCCGCTGCAGCAGTTAATGGCGAGCCGCAGGCTGGAGAAGAGCAGGATAGTAAATGCGCGATTTGCGATGACGGCGATTGCGAGAACACGAACGCAATTGTTTTTTGCGATGGATGCGATCTTGCGGTCCACCAAGAGTGTTATGGTGTTCCATATATTCCGGAGGGTCAATGGTTATGCAGGAAATGTCAGCTTATTGGTCGTGGCTTTCCGGTGAGTTCCCTTGGTCCCACTCTACTTATCTATCTAGTACACACCAGCACGGTATTTACCTAGTGAGAATACTACATGCTTAGTTTACTACTAGGTAGTAGGCTTCTTGGTTGCTAGGTTACCAAGTAGTAACTATTTTAAACCTCGAAAAAGTAGTACCTATTTGCTAACAACATCTTCTTAGACTTGTATCTTCTGCCCTAATTCCGATGGGGCCTTCAAACAGACGAATTCTTCCAAATGGGCGCATTTGCTCTGTGCTATGTGGATTCCAGAGGTGACACTGGGCAATCACACCTTTATGGAACCCGTCATGGACGTGGATAAGGTCCCGAAGAGCCGCTGGAAGTTGACCTGTTACATTTGCAACCAACAGATGGGTGCCTGCATACAATGCGGTAATAAGGCATGTTATCAGGCATTCCATGTCACCTGTGCCCGCCGCGCCCGGCTATTCTTGAAAATGAAGAATAGCTCGGGCGCTTTAGACGTGCTTGACGGCAGCACCAACCTCAAGGCGCTTTGTGATAAGCATTGCCCTTCCGAGTATGCAAAGGAGAATGACGTAGTTCGCGCTACCAAGCGGGCCAAGAAGTTTTACAGGAAGACGATGAAGGGGCGTATCTGGGCTAATAGCCGCGCCAAAGCCATGTCTCTTGCTGCATCCCATCGCAATGCTATCACTGAACACCCGCCCGACGAATCGCAAATGACGGGTGCGAAGATGTCTGCCGTACTGGGAGCTAAAAAGGGACAAGCAGGAAAATCCATATGGAAACTACCTTCCGGAGCTCCTGTAATACCACAAGCGGTGTTCGAAATTGTGGAAGCATCGCTACAGCGCTTCACTTTTCTCAAGCGTAAGGAGTTTGTTAGTGACGCTTGCCGTTACTGGACATTGAAGCGCGAAATGCGTCGTGGCGCCGCGCTTCTTAAACGCTTGCAACTGCAGATGGAGACTTTTTCCTCTATGGAACTCACTCGACGCAACTTTGCAGCCATGGGCCCTTCAGGCAAAGCTCGCTTGTCGAGACGAATCGAATTTTCCGAGACCTTGATCAAAGACATAGAGCAGCTCAAGGTCTTGTCGGAGCAATTGGTCCAACGAGAGAAAAGAAAGCTCGAAGCTGCCGAGATAGAACAAGAATTCGTCGACACATGCTACTTCCCTATACACAAAATGCTCCCACCAATCGTGGAGAAAGCCATAACGTAAGTTTACAGGATCCTATTCAGCTCTATTATTGTCTGGTGTGCTAATAAAATACTCTGTATAGGCTGGATAAAAATCTATTCCACGACGGGCTTCTAAAATTATCAAACAGAATCGATGAGCGTTTCTACATTACCACCCTAACCTTTGCTCACGATCTCTGCGACGTGATCAATGTCGGTGTTAACACTGAGCCTAAGTCTTTACCTGATGCTCAGCAAAAAGTCGGTCTAGTTGCTCCCGCGATATCTAAATCCGACTTCTCAGATTACCGCGACCGGAAAAAGCTTGGCAAACGAATACTTAAGTCAGTTCAGCCCCAGCTAGAGACAGCGCTACGCCTCGAGTCTGAAGCTGCTCATAAGCCCTTCGAGGCCATGAAACTACAACTAGAGTCCATGATGGAAGCGAGCCTTGAATTACGCCAGCAAACTGCTGGCCAAGGAAATGTCGAATCCGAACAAAGTCAGGACGTCATCATGGTAGACTCAGCCGCTGCAGAGATCACTGTTGGTGGCCCAGCCGATGGTATAGCCATTACAGAAGAGGCCTCTGGTGATCTTCCCATGGCCGAAGCTGGCGGTAGCGGTAATATCGAGGTCAACACGTCTGGATTCGAAGTGGCTGATGAGATGGAAGGGGTTCAGGCGTCTACCAATATTATATCCAGCCGGGAAACAACACAAATAGTGATAACCAAATCGGAGCCCATGCCAGGCGATAGCATGCAATCGATAGATACCCCACCGGCAATGAATGGCTATGTGGGCGCAGCACCTTCATTACAACCCGCTCCTCCTACCCCTCCACAGTCCAACGGTAGCTTGGGACACCAACCGAATGACCCCCTCACCGACGGTGGCGTCGTGTGGTACTTGCAAGATTTCGAACCCGAGGGAACTTCAGCGATCCAGGAGCAATGGCAAGGAAGAGATGCCGTCCGCAGCCTTAGTGAGGAGCTTACTGAGATCGATGATGATGAACTCAAGGGACTCGGGGTCGAAATCAACGAAGATAGTATCACGGCCTCACCCGCTAATACCACCGAAACCGTGGAACCGGCTGCTACCGCCGCCCCCGCCACGGTCAGTCCTACTAAGAAGAGCGGTACCAAGGCAAAAAGGCGTAAGGCGCCTTACCGCCGACGCTAGATAATACCCGAATACCCCTAATATTGTACCAATAAGCACGATTGGGTTTGCCCCGCCTCTAATATTTACTCATTTTCTCCTTTAAACTGTATTTGCAGACGCGAGCCGGCTCGGGCCGGCCAGCATCTATCTAACTATCGCACTCAGTCACGTTAATGTTATAAGCACGGATGGGGGGTATTATATGAAAGGAGACTGGAAGCCTTCTATGGAGTTCGAGAGGAGTTCGCGGTCCCTACCCTCTATTTTCTTTTTCCTCTTCCGCGTTGATGTGACTTTTCTTTTAAAAAGGGGAGAGGAAGGCGTTAGGAGAGAAATGGCCGGCTCATCATTGCTTGTTTGCATGCGTGCGTGCGTGCGCCTCTCGCATGCATACGTGGTATTTTTTTTTTTTTTTCATTTTACTACCTACCTGGCTTATTTCTACCAACCCCCCCTATGCCTTTTCCTTTTCATCGAGAAATGCACAAAGAGAAAAAGAGAGGAAGGGGAAGGGGAAGGTGGAAAGAGGGGGGGGAGGGAGATATATCACGCTTTTGACGTGTGAGGTGAGCTGGGCCGACCTGTTGTGTACCTACCTACCTTAGGTACTTCATGATGGCTTTTATCGCCATCGGCTGCCTGGACGTGGAGGCTTCAGCTTTAGTCTCCCATATACCTACCTATCTTCAGGTACCTAGTCGTATTCAACAATTGAGTTCTTTACTTTAACTTTTTATAATTAGTGTTTTTTTTCTGTGAGACTATTGAGTGAGTTGTAGGCTTTGGGGGAAGAGGGGGTGGTTGATGTAAATCTGTAGGTACCTGGTAAGACGCCCATGGTTGGATGCCTAGGTACGTAGGTAGGTGAGTGTTGTGGTGGATGCGATCACTGCGTAGGTACTAGGTCCTATGAATGTTGTGCGCGTTTGTGCTGCGTGTTGTTGGTGCTGGTCAGCTGTTAGCCGCGCGCGATGCTTGAGGGAGAGCGAGGCTGCTGCTGCGTGTAAATGGCCTGAGTACACCCACCTGCCTTAGGTATGTAGGTTAGGTACTACGCAGGTAGGTAGGTAGGTTATGGCTGCCATCGGAAAGGCGAATGCATACTATGTATGTTGTGTGGGGATGGGGAGAAGTGTATGTTTCTCTTGTCCTTTATAGGGGGAAGGATAATCTAGGTAGGTAGGTAAAACATAACTAATATCTGGGCTTGCTTAGGTAGATAGGATAGATATACTTACGTTGCGTTGTGTTGTGTTGCGTTGTGAGATTAAGTCGCTGGATACGTGGCGGTAGGCAGACAGACGGGCGAACGGACACGTGGCTGGGTTAGGGGGTTGAGTATGAGTATGACGTTGGTGTTCGTGTTCCCCTTCTAGGTCTGGGTAGGTAGGTAGGTAGGTAGGTAGATATATACTTAACCCAGAGAGAGGCCTTGATTGCCTAGTCCTAGCGCCTCCCGTCGACTTCTTGCCAGAGTCGTGCCGTGAGGTTCGATGGAGTGCTATGTAAATAGCTTTCCCTAGGTAAACTATAGATAGCAAATTCATTGATGGTGCGATGTGGTTAACGCTTTTTCTGCCGTTTGAGCCCAGGGATTGATTCTCTGGCCGTTGGCGACGCTCGTAGGTTGTTCCAAAAATAGGGAGGGGGGGGGGACGGATCTAAGAAGAAGAAGAAGAAGGAGAGAAATTGCGTTTATTTGTGCCAGCGGCTCCGAGTCCCGGGGTTGACACGGTGCGGGATTGGGAGGGTGGTGCGGCGACGGCTGCGTGATATGAATGGATATAACCCGATTGTGGCTTCTGCGTCAATTCAAACAAATGCCTTGGGAGATTCCAGAGCTGGCTCTTGAGCATGTACAGACAATGGCTCTCTAGTCATGGACCTTGGGCAGGAGAGTTAAGCCGGGGCACTGGGAACTCCTAAGTCGGTCAGTCCAGGCCTACCATGATACGAAGGTCTATAATCGGAAATATCGAGCAGAAGAGAACCCACCCGATCAACATGTATAACCCCAGGGCTAGGTAGGTACATGTGAGTAGCGGGTTGCTAATGAGTTTCGGCAGGGCAGCTGGTTACGATGGAAAGATACTGACGATGTATACATCCTAGGTAGCCTCCATGTGGCCCCTTCGGCAAGCTTGGAAGTCTTGTTATTTAGGTACAAGGATGGGCTCAAAGATGGTATAGGTACCTTCGCCGTGTTCAAGGATATCGTGGATACAAGTTTATGGAGAAGTGCTTAGCTATGAGAATATGAGAAAGGGGCGTGGGTGGGTGAGGAACGTACTTGATGACTAGGTACATCTGCCCCCTTACCTAGAGAAGGATCTACTCATCTCACGAGGATACCTATGAATCTGACTTGGTATAAAAGGCCTTGCTTATATGTAGCCTCCTCCAGTATATTTCCTAGGCTACTTAAGGACTTGAGGTCATCACCTGGGGCGGGTGTCTAGCTGTTAGCCTAGATGGGTGCTGTCTGCCACTTCCTTCCGAGTACCAGCATAGCCTATAAAATCAGAGTCTTACCTACTAGTATATCACCAAGTCGACTCCCGCCTGTGAATCTCGGATACCTGCGGGTAGAAGAGGCATTCAGTAGTCGGCAATACATATATATATATATATATATTGTGTGACGCGTTTCGGGTTCGATTCCACTTGCCGGTGGTTGCAATTGGAGACAGCAGATAATTATACCTCAAGGCATAGATAGGTATCCTTTGAGATGAGGACAGGTCATAAAAAGATAAAACCCCAACACCCGTACGCCAGACCGAAGGACAAGAAAAGTGTGTCGTCATCGCCTAAATAGCGTTGGCATGGTGGTCAAATGTCTTGGGTGATACCCGGACGTATATGCCACGCATGATCAGGTGAGAGACAGTGGAGTATATTCGATAGCCGAAGTTGGGTTCGCGTCTGCACGTTACTTATTTATTCAAAAAGCCTGAGTGGTAGGGACTTTACAACGTGTCATTGACAATAAAAAATCTCCTAGTGACTGCCCCTATATCCGAGGAGAGAGATAATGAAAGAAAGAAAGAAAGAAAGAAAGCGACATAGACAATTCTCTCGGCAACCTCACAAGATGAGAGTGTTTTTTTTTTTTTTTTTGGTTACTGTAATAGCAATACTTCACATCGGGGAAATGGGCTCGGCTCAGTTGACATTCGCGTTACCCGATCTGTCGGTTGACCGGACCTCGGTTGGAGGCCGAGCTGCGAGGATTTACGGTTCGGTATGCTTTGCAGATGAGTTCCCACGGGCCACAGTAGTAGCTGGATGGTTTATTTCTCTTCTCACTCGGGCATCTTCTCTATTAACCAATTCCCCGTAGGTATCTAAAAGCCAATGTCAAGATACCTAGTCAGGATAGTATGTATGGGATGTTATACAACCAGTGCCGGATGTTAGGGGATATATCGTATTGGCCAATCGGTAGCGATATGACGAGCTAACATAATTAGCTGTCTGCCTAGGTAGCCACCGTTGTGATATCTAGCTCCTGCTAATCAATCATGTGACCTGATCATCGAAGCATACATATATCATTGTCACCATGTAGCTTCGTAGCTACCTAACCTAGGTATGTAGGGGTTGCGAAGCTCGTGACTGTCCTGAATCCCAAGCATATCGGAAGCCAGACTCTGCGGGTTGTTCTACAGCGTATCATCCGAAAGCAAACATACCTACGTATCTTGGTATGTGTATCTGACCTAACATAGGTGGTTTGTAATATCTGGCCAATGTAAAGGCCACTCTTCTCGCTTGGGTATCTGTTCTTACTCGACAGCGATCCTGCAATTTACATTATGCCTAGAAGATGGTCGTGACACTCAAGGAGGCAACTAGTGAAATACTAGGCAACCCTAGGCGTCAGAGACAGCGAATAAATCCATGAAATTGCTGGCAGGTAGTGGCCGGAATTTCTTCCCCCTAAAGTAGGGATGAGATGAGATGTCATAATTGAGAGACCTTCCTATACGACCGAGACTAGAATATGCTATACTTTTGATTTTTATTATTATTGCTTTTATATCAAGGACAGTTGGCTCATCGTCCGTTAGTGTACGGTCCATTTATTCTAGGGGTAATGGATTTGGTAATGCCAGGAAAAGGAAGCGGCTTGAGAAGAGCTGTAATGGTTTACCTATTACGGTATATACTTAGATAGGTACCTACCTATGCATTTATTAACGGAGTATCATGACTTATAATCACTTACCACACGCGCATCTAGCCTAACATACTCAACGCCAGAAGACACGCACATAGATGGGGCTACCTATATCCATTGAGGCATTCATGGATGTTGTAGGGTGGTTGCAGTCGATTTACGGCTGCCTTGGGAAGGAGAAACAAATGATACTTCCACGCAAAAGTTGATTACCTACCTACGTAGGTAGGTAAATATCAAAGTGCCGTAGAGTCGATGCCCTTGGCAGTTTGAAGTTTAGCCAAACTATCAAATCTGGGCGAAAATCATACCTCCGCCGGGCGTACAGTAACGTTGCGTATAAGCCCACTATGGAAGTCATGATGTTGTGATGTACGAGCGCTCACGAGAAGGGCAATACCACTTGGACAAGACACCAGTGGAGTAAAAGAAGCAAATCGTGGGGGTGCTTCGTGAGAAGAAAACAAAACAGGGGGCGACAAGCGGCTGTCATGGGCCCGTAATGGACTCCGAGATATTCTCCTCGGCGAAATGATAGGAGCTTGATCTTGAATACAATATGATTTCGTGTGTCTGGATGAAAAGAAAACCAATCCGTACTGAAAACCTTTACGAGCTGGTACCTAGCTTGTGAGACAAATCCGAATCTAACTGAGGGCTACAGCTAGTGAAGGAGTATGACAGCCAAGATACTTCGGCAAGTAGTACCTACAATAGCAACAACAACAAGAATGACGACTCGTATTCTCCTAAGCTGATCTTTTTATTCCATGTTGTGATTCACTCCGCGTTGTATGGTTAGCTATTGTCTAGGTATTAATATAAGTCGCATTATTCAGAATTTGTGTCGTCAAGAAGGATATTTACCTCCTGTAGGTTAGGTAGGTAGGTACCAATCCAGATTGAGCAAGTACATAGCAAGTTCGGGCTTGGGGATGATATATTTCATCGCTTGAAGGTGAAATGAAATGGTAAGGCAAAGAAAAGGAAAGGAAACAAATAACACATCTATGTAGTAAATAAATTTGAAAATAGTTGGAGTTGTTTAACTATGTGTTTGATATGTTTATATGTTGAAATGTTGAAATGTGCTTGCTTGGGTAATGACATACTAGGTATACTTACTTAAGTACATATGTGAGTATATCCATTTAATATGTAGATATGAGGTAATACGCTAAGCATCAATGATAAGATACTAGGTACCTAGGTACTCGGTACCTATTTCTGGAGGGGGTTTTCCTTGATATTTTACCTTTAGGTACTTGGCCTTTTCAATTTTTTTTTACTTGCACAGCCTCAATTTCGCCAATCAGAATTTCACATCTGAAACCCCACCTGCTCACCTGCCCAGCATTTCTTTACCCCCTTAGGCCCTAAGATACGACCCTCAAACCTCTACAATGGTAGTACTTAATACTTACCTACTATGTATGTAGTACCTAACTGGGAACCAAGTCGCCCCTAGCTCCCCACAAGTACCCAGGTCGATTGTGAGAATTTATGTACATGTAGGACTTGAAGTTGTAACAGCTAGTAACAGCCCCAGTTCATTACATAGTTTTAACTTTAGGCGTTGGGAACAAACTTACAGGGGGCCTATTGGCCTATTCAGGCCCTGATTTCAGATTTCAATCGCGTAGGTGAACTTAAGTACAGTCAATTATGTAGACAACATTGAAGGAGGCAGGTAGGCAGCCTAAGGCAGGTATCAACATTAAAATAATATGTACCTAACCTAACCTAGTAGTGCCGTAGCTGGTGCAGCTGCTACCCACTCTAACCAGTCTGAAGGACTTTCTTAACAATTGCAGCATTGTTAGCGAGTCTGCAGCTTTTTTTTTTCTTTCTTTTTTTTGATTTTGATTTTTGATTTTGATTTGATTGAACCGGATTCTTCTGACGTTTCCATCGGCTTTGACCCTTTTTCACCTCTTCCCTCTCTTCATTTTTTCTGCCCCCAGACCCCGCGACAACGGCGACGCATTCCGTACAATTATTTTTCCCCAACTACGAAACTTGTTGTCCCTTTTTTTATTATTCCACTCTGTCATAAGACTGCACATTAACTACGGTGAGCTGCGAGATAGATTATTTCTGTAGTCTTCATCTAGAAAAAGACGAACGAACCGGGTTTCCGCATTGTTTTGAAAAGCCCCAACCTATTCGAATAAAAGCGAACACGCTATTGCCCTGTTGCTTGCTTCACTACCTACCTACCTACCTACCCTACGCTGCGCTGCGTACCTACCTTTAGTACACTAACAACCTCCTGGCAATCCGGACCTTGCGAATTGCGCGCTTTGTGTTATTGTAACAACAAAACAGCAGGTGGGCAGCAATTCTTACGACTCCCCTCGACTTTTTCCCCCGATCGTGACGGACGGCATCTACCTTTCCCAACCCAACTTCTTTCACCTTTTCAACAAAACTGCCACTGTCATTATCTCCGCCCCCCCCTCTCTCTCCTCATCCTCCTTCTCCCCCATCTCCACGACATCTTTTACATACCCACTGGCGAGTATATCGAGTCCTAATAATTACAGTGCCGATTACGATACAACACGCATATTTTGAAATAGGAATTTCTTCCCATTTCGCTCTCGCGAAAAAGGTTGATTGAGAATTACCCACCTCATTTTTTTTCTCTCTGCATTCTACCGACCGACGCAGATTTTCCACGAAGCCATTGCCAGAAAACCCCGTCGCAGCCTACAGGGCGCGCAACAATCAGGAGACGACGCATTCTCGCTTCACTTGTCGAGTTTGCAAAAAAATTAGAGTGCAAGAGTAATAAATCGCCACTAGACTCTTTGTACCTGACATTAGCATCGAGCCCTCGAGCTTCCTTGGAAAGCTTCGTGCTAGCTGAGATCACTTCATCGTGAGTTTTTTCTTGCTCCCTTTTTTGGGGTTTCTTGATAATCCAAACCCACCGCGCGCCCCTCTTCCCCACTCACCTTGTCGTCACCTTTCAGCTTCTCTCAAATCCAATCCACCCTACCTAGTAGTTACCTCTTAAAAATCCAAGAACCACAAGATCCAAGATCATCCTAATCGGCATAAATCGGCACGGTCCTAATTTGTACAAGGACTCCCCACCCCTTCCTATCTCTTCTGTCTTTGTCTTTATTTCATTGAAAGAAACATAAATGCATTGTCAACTAACCTTTCGAGTTGTGAGTAGGCCGAAGAAGTGCATCATACTTTGACATCGGGCTCCACCGTATCTCCCCCAAGATCCCGGCCCTCAACATCCTACCCTAGGGCCCTGATCTCACTCATCTCGACTTTCGTGGGCCAACTACCTGGCAGGTCAGGATCCTAAGATGGCGGATCAGCACGAAGTTGATTTAGACTCCGTCATCGACCGCCTCCTCGAGGTGCGCGGCAGCCGACCTGGTAAGCAGGTTCAACTTTTGGAGACCGAGATTCGTTTTCTCTGCACGAAGGCCAGAGAAATTTTCATCAGTCAACCCATTCTGCTAGAGCTAGAAGCGCCTATCAAGGTACGTACGCAATTCGCCTCCCTGATCCTAGAACATTGTTTATGATGGATGCAAGGGAGCTCGAGCTACTAACGATGATGTCTTTTTTCTCCTTTTAGATCTGTGGTGATATTCATGGCCAATATTACGATCTCCTACGCTTATTTGAATATGGAGGGTTCCCCCCAGAGGCGAACTACCTCTTCCTTGGTGACTACGTAGATCGTGGTAAGCAGTCTTTGGAGACCATCTGCCTCTTGCTCGCCTACAAGATCAAGTACCCCGAGAACTTCTTCATCTTGAGGGGTAACCACGAATGTGCGTCCATCAATCGTATCTACGGTTTCTACGACGAATGCAAGCGCAGGTACAACATTAAGCTATGGAAGACGTTCACAGACTGCTTCAACTGCTTGCCAATCGCTGCAATTATTGACGAGAAGATCTTCACGATGCATGGCGGTCTCAGCCCTGATCTTAACTCTATGGAGCAGATCCGCCGAGTGATGCGACCAACGGACGTAAGACATCCCACTCCCCCGCTTATATCCTTTGTCTGCCCATACAGGCACCGGATTATCGCTGACTGAACCTTTTCTTTCTTAGATTCCTGACTGCGGTCTGCTTTGCGATCTATTATGGTCTGATCCTGACAAGGACATCACAGGCTGGAGTGAAAATGATCGTGGTGTATCTTTCACATTTGGCCCTGATGTTGTGTCTCGCTTCTTGCAAAAACACGACATGGATCTGATCTGCCGTGCTCACCAAGTCGTGGAAGACGGTTACGAGTTCTTCTCAAAGCGACAGTTGGTCACTCTGTTCAGTGCACCCAATTATTGCGGCGAATTCGACAATGCCGGAGCAATGATGAGCGTAGACGAGAGTCTATTATGTTCCTTCCAAGTTTGTGTCCCCATATGCTATAACAACCATCTTCGATCCCAACTAATCGCTCTACGCGCTTCAGATCCTCAAGCCTGCTGAGAAGAAACAAAAGTATGTCCCTGGCGGCCTCGGAGGCAGCGGTTTCGCATCCCCAAGAAAACAGTTATCCAAGTCTTAAAGAAAAAACAATGAGTATTTATACGAACTTCCTCGTCTTCTAGGTTCGGCCGCTCCCGATAAATTTGCTTCCTAAGCCCTCGCTCGAGTCCCGATACTTGTCCTCGACCCACGATCTTGTCGGTATCATATCGTCTTTTTTTTTAGTTTACCCAGCAGACCTTCGACCGCAATGGGCGTTTCGAAAACGCTGTTCGAGTACAACTACATGACCCGCCGCTTTCCCAACGAAACACAGGTTCCAGCAACCTTAAATGACCGCAGAACAGATGCAGATGAAAGGGAGATGATGATGGATGGTGGTGGTGGTTGTTATTACACGAGAAAAGAAATAAAATCAGGTTTTTCATTTGGAATGGTCTTCCCACGTGTCGTCAACCTAGCTTGCGTACACTGCGTGGCCATTGATGACAAGGGGAAGAAGTCTAGACAGTTAATTTTGTTTCCCCCGGATGTGAAACTTACGAATTCATGCAACGATCTGCTTCATGGTTCATTCATGCCTGTTGCTCAGTTTAGTCAGTTGTGAAGTATTGCCCCGCGTTGCCTGATTTTGCTATGCTGCATATGCGTCTTGGTTGCATTACATCGCTATATCTCGAGTGAAGTAATGGTTCAATCTGAAGGAAGGAGGGGAATAGTCGAGGTGGTGTGCGGATATGATCAATTAATGGTTACAGTCTCTTATGGGGATTTCTTTCTCTCCTAACGCCAATCAAACCAATCTAGTATATTAACCAGGTGGTAGGTATGACTTCATGCTTCTCCTTTTCCTGTTTTGTTCCTTTTCTTACATACACACATACATACATGCATACCTCTATCTATCCAGGAGAGATTTTAGTAGACAGACCAATTGTTGTGCCAAGTTTCCATGGTGAGGGATCCGTCATTACCCCCCTCCCCCTTCTCACCCTTCTCCCCCTCTCCGTCCCCTTTTCCGCAAGTATTATATTATATTATATTCGTAGATTCAAGGTTAAGTTGTTTGGAATGTGGAAGTATGCAGAAGGAATGGGATGGGAAGGAGAGGTTTAGATGGGGGGGGGGGAGTGTGCGTGTGTATGTGTGTATTGTGCGTTTTCCCATGCTATGTATGCTTCCCTTCAAGGGGTGAATCGATATATATAACTTTCTATATAACTTATACATACCACATATATAAGTTCTAGGTGCCTAGGTTAGATAGTCCTACGTATCCTAGTGGCTAAGTTGTACAAGTAGAGATGGTGTCCGGATTTTGTCTATTGTTATACATATGTATATCTCTGTATATATCTGCGTATATATATATATATATATATATACAGCCCAATTTCCTCGTTGCCTCCCTAGGGTAGGCAGAGCAAGTAGTTAGGTAGGCAGATAAATATATACCCATACATAGGCCCGGGTTGAAATAGCCCAATTTCCTGACTTACCTACCTACCTACCTACCTACCTGTGCTAGATAATCAACTACAAGTCAACTTATTCGCAGTCCTCACACTCGGACTCTGATGGATCGAGAGGCTTCTTCTTCCCCCTAGGTAACGGCGTTTCCAGTGCCGTCACTATTGCTGCTATCACCGCCTGGTCCCAGGACTTAGGGTCTGGCTCACGGGCGTTCTTTTGAGCCGCAGCTCCTGGCTGCCGCGGCTTTCGTTGTTTTTTCGGCTTTGGTGCCGCTGCCGCTGATCCTTCTGCTTCCGTCGTCTGATTCTGAGGCTCGGTCCCTGACATGGTGGCATTCTCATTATCCGCGGTTGGCGGCTGTCGTGGTTCTAGCCCTGCTACTGCTGTCGTTATTTCTGCTAATGCTGCCGCCGTCGTCTGGCTCGCGGACTCTACCCTTGTCCGCTTGGGAGCAGAGGAGGAAGAGGCGGAGTAGTCCCTGTCGACGTGTCCGAGGTCCCGGCCCGGCTCGATGACGTCGCGGACGCGCCGCTTCAGCTCCTTGGTCTCGGGGAACCCGCCATCGAGGTTGCGGTCCCAGAGGACGCGGTGCTGGATTGTTGGGGTGGGGTTTGGCGGAAGGGTGGGTAGGGAGGAGGAAGGGTTGGAGGAGGATGAGGGTTGAGCATAGGATATCTCGACTGTGAAGGTGCCGCCTGTGGATGGCTGCAGGGCTACCTCGCCGAGGGCGGTTGAGAAGGTGGAGAGGAGCTCTTGCGCGAACTAGAGGGTTTGGTTAGGTTTGGATGCTAGAGGAATGGATGGTATATCATCGCTGCTGAAGCTGTTGCTTGGTAGGTAGGCAGGCAGGTAGGTAGATAAGCAAGGATCTGAGGTTCGATGTGATGTAAGGGGCGTATGATAGAATAGAGATAGATGGTGGGGTCGCGCGAGGAGGGGCAAGTCTTTGGTGGCTTAATATCGTGGGGGGGAGTAGATACAGGATTTTTTTGTGGTATCTTGGAGCATTGGGTATAGGTATGAATATAGGAAGGGGGGTGGATATATGGTTCTCATTAATAGGCAATACTTACATAGGCAGCTCTCAGCATCCATTTACATTGTGTACAGAAGCGGATGGTGACACGGGGAAGCGGAAATGGAGAATCTGTTGATGCTGCGGGACTCGAGGTCGAGGCCGAGGTTGAGGCCATTGTCGACGAGGCTTAGATATTACCAATAGTAATAAGTGCCGGCTGGGTTCCAGATTGTCTTATATATATAGGTATGTGTGTGGTTTGAGGTGTGTATAGACTCAGAAGGTGTACTATGTATGTAGGTATTTAGATATATTGATGTAGGTTAGCTACTTGTGCAATTGACTGTCAATGGGTTCAAAACTTCAATCATTGATGTTAGTTGACATAAGTTCCAAATGGTATGCCTACCTAGTAGTATGGGGCTAGACATAATATGTACATATGTAGTTAAAGGGACTCGGAGAAAGAGATGCGTCAAATAAACGAGCTAAGGCTAAGATAACCTTAGTTACAGTGGTGTACCTTCAATGTTTGTCTAATTAGGGTATGTCTAATCCTACCCAGGTCTTGACTGTACCTAGCACCCGTCAACTGGGACCTTCAAAGTTCAACCCCCTTTTAGTTACAGCACAATGATTAGTATCTTCAATCTTGCCCTTAGCGAGGAACTAAACAAAGAAATGCGCCGTCAATATCAAACCTGATTGGGCAATACTTTCCAACGCGCTGGCTACAAGTCAACTTGAGACGGAGATATCTACCGGGTTAGAATACATAGGTATAACTATAAGCTTGTGCTATTATTACATTTGATGTGGTGTACCTGTCAAAATGTAGTATTTTGAATTATTTACGATTTATTCTTTTAGTTTTGGTTTCTTCAGTATCATTTAGCTTCCGGTCCTGAAAATGTCTTCAAGACTGAGAGTTAATAGATCAAGCCTTACATATCTATCTATGCGAGAGAATCAGCTACTACATCGAGACACTTGCAGCAGATTATTGACCCAAACCATTACATCCGTGACGCTACACAATAATACATGTACATACAATCAATGTATGTACATTGTAGGTAGGTGCTGAAGTGACTACGTACACCACCTAACCACCTGGCGCTTGTTGCGGCACACCAAGATCCGTAAGCAATTACCTGCAGGTCTTACTTAACTTTAGCACACACATACGAATATACCCTAGGTAGCAGGTACTAAGCACTAGGTTAGGTACCCAAACTCGGTAGACAATCGTACGCGAACCAAACTAATACACGCATACCTACACACAGGGCGACTAGGCAAAGCGGCAATCTTGTCAGACCGCTAGTTTATATGCATGTCAGTTGGAGACGAGATAGAACTTTATCAGGCGGGTATGGTAGATGCACAGGGTACGCCAGATACTAGGTTAGGTAAGTAGATAATACTATAGGTAAGTAAGTAGGTTAGGCTCTTTTTTCCATGAGATCCTTTATTGGCTTTTGCGTGATCTACAGCTAAGATCGCGGGTGGGAAAGGGGACTCATCCACAACGTCAACTCGCCTGTCTAAGCCGAAGCGGACATAAGACAGGTAAAGAGATAAAAGGTTAAGAAGGCCTCGTGGGAGAGAGGCATGTAGGTTGGAAGGTGGTCATAACAAGGAAAGGTTATCATTCATGGGGAACCGACAAGAGCTGACAAAGGGAAAAGGAACAATACAAGTCATGAACGAACAAATATTACATGTTGATGGTAAAAGTCTCTTCCCTGACTCCTTTTCTTCCACCACGATGGAACGAACCATCCATCCATAAGAAAAATCAGTACATTGACAGTATTGTTGTGTGTCGGTTGTTAAATTATCGTAGCAAGCCCAATAGTTATCGAGCCTCGGGTATTGTAGTAGCCTTGTTTTGGTGTCTTGGCCTGCACCTCTTCTCCCTCCATTATTCCTATTTTTTTGTCTTTTTTGCTTGACTCCTGTATCCTTTCTCCTTCGAGTCCCATCTTTCGGGAGTATGTAGTTGATCGGTTGTTACCCTCCGAGACGAACCAAGTATAGTATGCCCGTCACCGAAATCAGGTACCCAAAAATATAGTCCTCATCGCGACGTAAATCTCACAGAACACGTTGCACTCGGCATGTGAGGTGCGCTTCCCTGGCAGGTATTGCTCGCTTGCGGCATATACAGTTCTACATGACCAAGCAGCATCCACCACTCTGCTGAGGCGCGTAAGGATCTTCTCCTCGAGGAACGGCTCCCCACACTGAAGGGACCATATAATCTCTCGTGCTGTTGCAGTATGCGATAATGCTGTACGTAGTGTTAAATGGGTCTGCAAGATAATCGATAATTGATTTTCTTTTTCTTTCAAGTTCTTACCTCCTGGCTGCTTGCGAAACGGGGATGCGTTCTCGTTCTAGGTCCTCTCTTAGCCGGCTGTTGAGCTCGGTCAGCCGTCGCAACTTTAGGTCAGCCATAGACTGTTTGTTCTTCTTGATTTGCGACGGGTCGCCGCCATCTCGGGAAGTGTATTGAGGCATCTCGGCTGTAGCGGCGGTAGCGGCGGACGAATTGGCCAAGGTTGAGGTTGAAGGTTGGACTCCTGAAGATGGTGGCTGCGTGCTTAGACCACTTGCAGTGCCTCGCGAAGTCTGAGAATTGTGAATCTCTATTGAAGACATGATTATGGTTAGCCAATGAATTTAAACTAATACGAGAAATTCCTGTCTCATTGCCGATTGACCACCTCGCGAACTGCTAAAATATTGACCATCTTTTCTTCGCGTGTTGTAGGTCTATTGCCCCTATTGGAACAAGGGATGGACGCAAGGAGAAGCTAGCCAATTTCCAGCATATCCGCTCGGCACCGGAGGGTCCTTTGTCAATCGAAACGATTCGCGATGGAGGGGGGGGAGGCGCAATTAAAAAGACTCACAAATCAAAGCGATCCCAGGTCGAAGGAATGTGTAGGTAAAGGGGCCTCGAGGCGACGAAGGGGCGCAACGAGTGGACGTGACGGTTTATGCTTGATGTCGTCGGACGAAAAAAAGATGAAGGAGAGACTGAGAAGCTGGGGAAAGTAAGAAGAGTTGGCGAATTTGGTACAAAAGTACGGCGAATTACTAGGGAATCTAAGTCGGACCCCTAATTGGCCGGTAGGATTTGCGGTATGGAGCTCCTCTTGCAGGCTGGGAAATTGGGACCCGTTTTGGGGGATAGGGTCGCTACTAGGTAGGTATCGGGGATGAGGAATGAATTTCGAGGCACGGACCAACGCTGACTCCTTGTCATTCACCTTTAATACCTGGGAAGTTGCTCAGTGCTTGTCTTGCGTGAAGGGAGCACTTTATTAGTGCATCATTGATAACTAACTACTAGGTATGTACTTTAACTGCCAATGTACATACATATGTACATCAAATTCATCAATGGCGTAGGACTTTGATGCATGTGGTACAAAATACATACATCGGCAAAGCTAATTGAAGCTTAACTTGAAAACATTCAATCAACATTCAATCAACATTGAACTGCATACAAATAATCTATTAGCTTGCGGGGCCTTTGTTATTGAAAACTCCTTAGCGTACCGAATACTTACTTAAGCCTACCTACAAGTAGATTAGATTACCCTACATAGGGATTAGGTATAATAACTCGGCCGCGACAAAAAAAAAAGCTAGAAAAAAGGTATATTTTTATCTTGTATATGATAGTTTAAATGGCAGAAATCTTCTTTTGATAAACATCAATTATGCATCGAAAATAGGACCTGCTGAGTCTTTGGCTACGACAGTAGGCTCATGCAGACAACCGCGCTCCTTATACCCATATTCAGTCTCGGTGTTCATGACAGGATGTGCTGATGTGAGGTCACTGCAACGAATGAGAACTCAATCATCGTCTTACTTACCTACTTACACATGTTTACCTACTTACACATGGAGCATGGAGTAACTATCTAACAGATTATGCCTCAGGTAGGCAGAATAATCGTAATGTGCTCCAATCTCGTCCTAGAAAATTTGCTAAATAAAAGCTGGTCAGGCCAGACTGTGTCTCTCAAGACAGATCAAGATGTATTAATATTTTTAGTACATAACTACATCTAACCGAAATCACTTACATGCTAATCCGAGTCAAAATAACATTTGAAAGGAGTCGCGACTTGGTACGCCAATGCACACCTACATACATACATACCTTAAAAATATCTATCCTTTTATTTCATAGCTGCAACTACCTAGTTTGCCAACTGCCATCCAATCTCGTTTGGTCGGGACACGGGGGATTTTATGTACATATCATGATGTACCTACTTAACTAACCTAGTAGGTACTAGGTTAGGTAACTTACCTACCTAGTACTAGGTAGTTAGCAGCTGCCTAGGCAACTAATGGCCAACATTGAGTGTTATCTCCGACTGTGCTAGTTAGTTAGGTAGATATGTTTTTTAAAAAATCATGTGACCCGAACTTTAGCCCGTGCCCCTCGCCTTCTCAAACCCACAAGAAAGTGGCACAAATCCAAAAAAACTTCCATCGTCAGACTTCCCGCGTTTTTTGTTTTTTTCCTTAAAACAAATATCAAACGGTGTCATCAATCCCACCAATCTCTTTCATCTAGGAGATTGCCCAAGATGCCACCTCCTCCGCATCAGAAGCCTGAGAATGTTCTCAAGCGTGCGCAGGAGCTTATTGGTGTCAGCCAGGCTCCTGCCGCCTTGAATCTACTACATGATCACATCACCTCCAAGCGATCCCGAAATGTCCCCATCGTATCCTTGGAGCCTGTTATGCTCCTCTTAGTCGAGCTTTCTGTCGAACAAAAGAAAGGCAAGCTCGCCAAGGATGCCCTCTACTCTTACAAGAATATCGCCCAGAATACCAACATCGGTACCATCGAACTCGTACTTAAGAAGTTCATCGAGCTGGCCGCCGAAAAAGTTACAGAGGCCCAGAAGAAAGCAGACGAACTTCAATCAAGCATCGACGCAACTGCGACCTCGAGCATTGATGACTTGGAGGCTAGCGAGACCCCCGAGTCCATTTTATTGGCCACAGTTTCGGGCGAACAATCCAGAGATCGTACTGAGCGTGCTGTCGTCACGCCATGGCTCAAGTTCCTTTGGGAAGCATACCGTACCGTTCTGGATATCCTGCGAAACAACGCGAGGCTAGAGATTCTTTACCAAAGCACTGCCAATCAGGCCTTCGACTTTTGCCTCAAGTATCAACGCAAGACAGAGTTTCGACGACTCTGCGAGCTCCTCCGTAACCATGTCCAGACCGCTGCCAAATATTCGAGCCAGATGCACGCCATCAATCTTAATGATCCCGATACACTACAGCGACATCTAGAGACTCGTTTCCAACAGTTAAACGTTGCCGTAGAACTCGAGCTCTGGCAGGAGGCATTCCGAAGTGTTGAAGACATTCATACTCTCCTCAATCTAAGCAAGCGACCGCCCAAGAACATCATGATGGCCAACTACTATGAGAAACTTACCCGAATCTTCCTCGTCGGCGAGAATTATCTATTCCATGCCGCTGCTTGGTCTCGACTGTACAGTCTTCTCCGATCCTCCGCGGGTCTCGTAGCCACCGGCCAGGGCAAGAAATCCGACAACCCCTCCGCCACGGAGGCCGATCTTCAGAAGGCTGCTTCCTTTGTCCTTCTATCGGCTCTCTCAATCCCTGTCATCAGCACTTCGCGATCACGAGGCGCCATGGTAGACTTTGATGAGGCCAAGAAGAACAAAAACTCGCGCCTTACGCATCTCCTTGGCATGGCCTCCGCACCCAGCCGTGCTGGTCTATTCCATGACGCGCATGCCAAACAACTCCTGAAGCGTGCTCGCCCCGAAATCAGAGACCTTTATAACATCCTCGAAGTTCACTTCCACCCCATTTCTATCTGCCAGAAGATATCCCCCATCCTCACCAAGATTGGTGCCGATCCTGAGATGGAGAAATATATCTTGCCCCTGCAACAAGTCATCCTAACTCGCCTTTTCCAACAACTGTCTCAGATTTACGAGTCTGTTGACCTTGCGTATGTCGAGAGCCTTGCCAAGTTCCCGGATCCGTTTCAGATTTCTCGCGGAACTATCGAAAAGTTCATCATGAATGGAAACAAGAAAGGAGACCTCTCTATCCGTATGGATCACGCCACCGGTGCGCTTAACTTCGACAAGGATGTATTTGCTTCCTCCAAGCCCGTCCACGCCGGTTCAGCGGCTGGTTCTGCTGAAAACCCGGTCGGTTCCGTGCAACGTCTTCAAATGACACCGTCGGAGATTGTACGCTCACAACTAGCTCGGCTCGCAACTACCCTTTACACAACCTGTTTCTATATTGACCCAACTCTCCGCCAAAGTCAGTTGGAGGCCCAGCAATCAGCATTGGCCAGGGCTAAGGCTGGGGCTGAACAGGAACACCTTGAAATCTTGGCTCGTAAAGAGGTCATTCAAAAGCGAAAGGAGGAAGCCTCCGAGCTGCAGGCTAAGCGAGAGAAAGAGAAGGCCAGACAGAAGCGACTCCAGGAGCAAGCACTGGCAGAGGCCGAAGAACGACGTTTGGCCCAGGAGCAGAAAGAACGCGAAGAGAAACGTCTCAAGGATGAAAGAGACCGCGTTCGCAGGGAGGAACTCAAGAAGCAGATTGCCGATCTTAAAATTGGTCCCAATGCCATTGAGATTGATCTTGAGAATATTGACGATTATGATAGCAACCGCCTTCGTGCCATGAAACTTGCCCAGCTCGAACGGGAGAAGAATGACATCAATGAGAAGCTGCGCATCACCGGAAAGCGCATCGATCATCTTGAGCGCGCTTTTAGAAAAGAGGAGGTCAAGAAGCTTGCCGATGACTACGCCAAACAGCGTGAGCGTGACCTAGCTGCCTATGAAGCAGTAAAGGTACAAACGCTCAAGGAATCTAAGGAGAAGCACAAAGAAAGTGTTGAGTTGAAGCATCGTCTAACCCGTCTCATGCCTCACTACGAGTCGTTCAGAAAGTCTCTCCACGACCGTCGCCGAGATGAGTTTGAGAAGCGTCAACGTGATGCTGAGAGAGAATTAGAGAAGCAGATTGCGGCTCGCAAGAAGGAGTATCGCGAGCGCAAGGTACGAGAAAAGAGAGAGCGCGAAGAAAAGGAGAGAGCTCTGCGGGAAGCAGAGGAGCTCGCTGAGAAGCAGAAGAAGGAGGCGGAATTACGTACCGAGGAAAAACGTCTGGAACTTGCCAGACTCAAGGAGCAGAGGGAGAAGGAGCGTCAAGAAGGCCTAGAATTGGTTGCTCTTCAGACAAGACGAGAGGAAGAAGCGATGGCCCGAAGGGCAGCCGAGAAAGAAAAGGAACGTGCGCCACTCAGGCGCGAAGCAATCCCTCTGGAACGTACGGACTCCAACGATCGGCCTGCTCTTGCACCGCGTCTCCCAATTGCCGGCAACAAGATCTCATGGCGTGAGCGCGAGGCGGCCAAGAACGCTGGTGCCGGTGCCGCCACAAGCAGCAACGGGCCAAGCCGGACCAGTACGCCCATGGAACGCACAGATTCCAATGAGCGTCCCTCGGGGCCGCCTCGAATTAACCTCCAAGGGAAACAACCCTCGTGGCGTGAACGTGAGGCCGCCAAGCGAGCTGAGGGTGGTGCTTCAAGTACCCCCCGAGACAGCCCACCGGCAGCGGCTCCTACCCAGGCTCCTAGTGAGGCCCTCAAGCCTTCTGGTGCTCCTGGGAAGTGGGTGCCCAAACGTCTCCAAAAATAAGCAAGGTTAGGCATTGAAGGACCGGCGTTCATGGGGGTTTGGGTTTAGTGTGACTCGGCTGTAACTTAGATCATGAAGAGAAATTTACTGGCTTCATAATTCTATCCAGTTACGACCTCACGACAGGCCTACCAGAGCCTACTTACCATACCATTGCCCCGTACCACACGATTGTCTATGTCATAGTATTAATGAATAAGAGCAGAATGATGGATCCAGAATCAGAAACGCGTAGATATAATATTTCGTCTGTTTTAGCCTGTTTGATAATTTTTAATGTGTTGTGAATGAATCTTCCTTTTCTTTTTGACGGTCTACTCGATCCTATCGTTGCAATCCTTTCCACAAGATAAATTGCAGCCAAAGTAAAGGATGATATAGTCAATGAAGCGGCCAAAGGTAATATCTTACACAGAGTGAGTCCTAAGATTATATTCCCTTCATTTTCAAGGTTCCTATTTTGCTCTCCCGATATTCTCGCCGTCTTCTTCTATTAACTGTCACACAAGAATGCAAGGGGTGATCTTTGTTGGCACTCATATATAGGTAGATAGTTGTACTTTAGGTAGGTATGTATTCCCCCCCCCTCCTCCCCCTTTTTTGATTTGATTTCTTCTTCTTCTACCTAGTACTAAGTACCTGATATATGTCATTCAGATACTAGAATGTCATCGCCATAGGGATTCAGATAACGCAGGACTTCCATCTCCCTTCCGTATAGGAGAGGGGGGGGGGGGGGGGGGGGTCGGCGCTAAGCTCGACCGGCTTTCTCCTGCGCCGGCAACTCCTCTACCCCGTCGAGGCCTGATAGCGGCGTGTGCGAGGTGGGCAGTTCGCTGATGGGGTTTTGCCTTCCAGCTGCGCCCTGTCGTTGCTGGTGTGCTTGCCCCCCCACTCTGGTTGTTTGCTGCTGCTGCTGCTGCTGCCTCCTCGTTTTCTTCTTCTTGTTGTTGTTTCTTGCGCTTCGTCGAGGGCTGCTTCCCGAGAAGAGGAATGAATAAGCAGCCGGTTGTAAAGATCGTGCCGATCCCGCCGCCGACGGCTATCCCGGCTATGGCGCCCCGAGACAGGTCTCCTCCTCCCCCACTGCCGCGGCTGCTACTGCTGCTGCTACTGTCTATGTTGTTGTCATCCCCCCCACGAGTATGAAGCACTTGGTGATGTGGCGGAGGTTGTTGGTGCGGACGTGCTGCTCATCTGCGTGCCGCCGAGGTCTGGCCTGTGAGTGAACCGCCCCGGCAACCCTGCATACGTGGAAGCCGCTGCCGCGGCTTCGCTGCAGTATTGGGCGCTTGCTGATCTGAACGCGCCTGGAAGCGGAGTTAGCATTCGTTGTAGGTACAGACGAAAGTAGGCGAGTAGTGTGTGTGTGTGTGTGCGTGTGTGTGTGTGTGTGTGTGCAGCGATTTCTAGCGGGGAGAGCTACGTACCCACGAGCTGCCTGCTCCGTCGAGTTCCCAGCGCGCACGGAATCGCCACGGGCCATAGGGCGGACAGGCTACCTATCGCACAGGCACCTGCTGTCCTCGGCGCTGGCGCAGGTGCTGATCGCCTCTTCGATACACGGCTGTGCGCATGTCCGGATAGTGCGCCGTGGGGTTCTGGCCGACGGTTACGGGTAGCGCGATGGTAAGGATGGTGCGGAGTGCCACCATCTTTGCTGCGCCGGGCTATGGCGTTAGGTACCTATTTCAAAGCAGTCCCCTCCCCACCCCCCTTTCACGGTGCGACGAGAGGTTTGTTTTGCTTGCTACGCTCCGTGATACTGAGGGTTGGTGCAGGTGCATGGGGTATCGCGCTAGATAGAGGATGTTGGAGATCGCAAAAGGGGCTAAAGAGATGATGGGACTACTGCCCCCGGGGGGGGGGTGGAGGGGCGGCGGTTCAGAGGATCGGATAACGACCGCGGCACTAACCTAAAAGTGCACGGTAGATATATATGATATGACATGATCTATATAACCCTGGAAGTAGGTTGTATACCTAGGAGGGGAAAATATTCGTTGAAAAGGGTAAATGACATGGGTGGTTTGTAGCTGGCTGGGTAATCAGCAATCGTGTAAACTGGGCCATGTGATATAAAAAGGGGGGGCTGCGAGATGGGGGTATCGACGTTACTATGCTGTCTTCAAATGGCTACCTAGGTAGATACCTACCTACCTGTATCATCAGATCCAGAGGGGGGGGGTCCTTGGTTCCGTTGATAGGACTGCAGCTTGTCCATTACCCTGATCCTATACGAATCTTGATACTGCCTCCTATCCACGTAGGAATCTAAATTACCTATCTTCCTAACTACCAGGCCCATTGAAACACCACAAGACATGACATTCCCACCCATTCCCAAATGGCTCGAACAATAGAGTCGTACTGTGTATAAACGAGACTTCAATATTGAGAAGAGCCGGTCTCTGATATTCATGACTTCCTAGGTAGGTAGGGTAGCAATGGAGGCTGCAAGGAGGTGGGGTCCGCAGCAATCTAGGTAGTATCTAATGCCAGACACAGAATACGCACGGTAGCAGTCTAGTCAGATATATCAATATTATGTGTGCGCCTGCTATGTCTTGGCCCTCTTAGCATCGGTCCCGGAACGTATTCCGTGAGCGGAACAACAAAATCCAGGAGTTGAAAATAGGTTCCGCGGGGAGGAGGGGGGATTGTTCGCTTAGGAGTATGAGTATACCTGCTGATGTCTCATCGTGGACCCGAGGTGATCGGCGGTGTTCGTGGCGGATTTTGTCGTTCTAGGGTCACAGGCACCAGGCAGCCTTTACGTATCTCCACGCTAACACTGTCCCTGGTACGCCCTGCCGAGGGCAAAAGGTGGTGCAGATAGCCTCAGCTCATATCTACTAGGAAGATGATATGGAAAGATACGCTGTTGCTGTTATCAAGATGGGTGTCCATGGCTCACTTACGAGACTTAAAGATGGCTTAAGTGCCTAGTATTTGTAGTTACGAGGTCGTGGGCAAACTGACAGATACACGAAAACGTACCTAGTTTCCAGTCTCATCTGTGTCAGTAGGGGATGTATGTTATATGTTATAATCATATCCCCGTCCTAAGTAGTACTTAATTCTCTACACGATAAGAATGCCTTTCCATGCCTTTTGGGTTGATCTTGTGGAACTATACTCGATATTAGGTATCTAGAAACTATACGCAGGGTGTGGACCAGCGCATATTTCAAAGCAATTCTCGGGAGAGTTGTAAAATCATAGCGTCAAGCGATAAACAGACTCTAATAGACCTTCACGAAAGAAAGCTCCAAGGTTTCTTCCCACCTAAGTTTTAACAGTAATGAGTTGGTACACCGCGTCGCTATGTGCTATGAGAAATATTTCAGAGCTTCCATTGCCTAGCCTGTGTCGAGTAGGAATTGCTACGGAGCCATAACAGTGGAATCCAACAACTTCAACCCCTGAATAGCCACCACACATGATTAGTCATGGCTATCTAGCTGTGTATATATAACTACATATACGCCATTTTTAAATAAAGAATATTGAGGACTTCGACAGGGGATGATTCTCAGCGGCTCAGTCCTGCTAGGTAGCTTAGTAGCCAGAATGAAAAGAATCAACAGGGAGTCGCATATGTCGGATTCTCTGTACCTAAGTACGTTCAAACTGCTCACTCTGCATCATCGTTATACCGCCTTTCAAAGCACGCTTGACATGGAACTGCCTTTGAAAGGGACGTATAAGAGATAGCTACCTAGTAGCCAGTACACATACCTGATTTGCGTATCATATCATGTCTTCGTCGAGACATGGCCTTTAACTTAGATACCTCGCCCCTATATTCCCACAGTCGACCTCTTATACATATATACAACAGGCTTCACTAGCTATCAACGCATTTTAAGATAGCTCCTATTGTCACTCTAGTAGGTTTGAATTGGATGGTATTGGAGACTACTTGCTAATGCGTCTATTGGTAGAACCATCTATCTATCACTTCATATCTGCCCTTCTTTTGCTATCCGACTAAGCCGCTTGACGCGTTTATTAATCCGTTCTCCGCTCGTCGGCTTACTTCGATCCTGTTGACTCAGTAGCCTCTTTACTCCCCTGCACAGCTCCTGCTCGTTGCGACCCCTACCGGCAAGCATGGGTAAAACAATCATTTCTTTCTTCGTCCGTCGAAGAAGGTAATGTACAGTTTGTGGGATACCAGGTTCTGGGGCAAGTCCGCTGCGATTTTGTCTTTGGTTTTCCTGATATCTAAGAGTGGCCTCATACACCATCTCATAATTCATCTTACGAATGAGTGTGTTGGTAGACATTCTATGGCCCTCGGATTTTAAGGCCGCTTTCAGCTCTTTGCACATCGTTGATTTCATATAGCCGTAGCTGACGGCCTCCCAAGCGCAAGCTGCGATCAGCTCTTTTCTAAATTCGGTCCATTCTAGCTCGGGCTCCTTCTCGCTCCTCGGGTTTTGGATGGCCGCTAGGCCGGCATAACAACAGTCGAGGATGATGAGGGTGTCGCATTTTGCGTTGATGATATCGTCACTAATGCTTTTCCAGGGAACCCTACTTGATCCGTCTCTTTGATTCGCGTTAGTACATATCTAAGTAATAAACAGTTCAATAAAGACTCGATATGCCTGCTAGATGTGGCTAGGTTGCATGTTAGCAAGGACTACTTGAGTTGCCACGTCTACCTGCCAACTGGTCCCGAAACACCATATTGAACTGCAGATTTGGGCTTGGACTAAGGGGTAGCTAATGATCTAGCTTGGATATATACATACCTAGTACCTAGTCATTCCATGTTGAAAGTCTTACCCATTGGCAAACTGAAATTGTAAGATCCTTCGACCATCAGAATCCATATCAACGTAAGCGTCTCCATGTCCAAAATAAGAGACTATCAGTAAGGTCTCCTTCCCTTGCTCCTGGCTCCTTTCCCCCTCGCGCAGAAAGGCTGCCAGTTTCCTTGTTAGTCTGAGGGTATGGTATTGATATAGATGTTTCTGTCTCGAGAATTTGTACCAGTCGACTTCGTAACCTAGCCGTTTAAACTCCCGCTCAACAAACCGGACATCGGAGCTGAGACCCGTACCGGACTCATCAGCAAATACAATCATCAATACTTTGACAACTTCGGGGACTCTTTTGGTCTCCATTGGCGTGGCAATCGCTTTATAGCTATTTGCCACGGCCATCGAAGAGGGGCCAATCATCGGCATGTATGGGTAGTTGTATTTTTCCATGTTGGTAGTAGGTGGTAACACCACGTCCTTTAATAAGATGTAAGAGGAATAATAAGAAGAATAGAAGAATCTACTTAGTAGTGATGATCTATGTTCTGATATCACAAGACATCGAAGGATGAAGCTATAGCTATATATAATGATTTTTCATGCATTTGAATGGACTGAGCTAGATATCAATCTATCCTCCTTGGTTGCGGAAGGAAGGTCATCGTAGGAAATATGTAGGTAAATGCTATCAGATGCCTCGATGCGTATTTTCGAGTTGTAAGTACTTCCCGACTTGTAAATATAATATATCGTTCTCGTTGACGCAACGATCCTCTGGAACGTGAAAGAAGATCAACTCAGGGGTAACAATAGGGTAACCTAGGGTACTTAGGCACCTAAGATATGTTTCATTTTCAGTTCATAGAATACTCGAGTATCTGGTATACAATGGCTGGCATACCTACCTTTGTTCTATATTTCCATCCGAGTCTGGGATTTATCTGGACTGGGTGTGCTCACTTGCGGCCTATATATCTAATATGTATAGAAATGAAAAAAGGGGCTGAAGCCATGACAGTGCGGATCGAGCAAGAATTGACTGTGGAGAAGAGACTAATACACTACCTACACAACCAAACACTAACTACTCCGTACATGCAGATAAATCAATATAAAAGTTTTTAAAAAGGGAAAATAAGAAGACAAAAAAGACTCCTAGCGTATACACTAGGTCGTGACCAAAGCATGGACAGCATGTGCCTCCACCCCGGATCGAACGAGGGATCTTTGCATTTCTCTTGCAACAGTACAAGTGCAACGCGTTACCACTGCGCCATAGAGGCGTTCTGCATATGTATTTTCTTACCGATCTAATCATTCATTATGAGGATTGTGTTCTTCTGTTACATCTCAACATCAACATCAACATCAACAATCTTTCATCCTTCATTCCGCTCTTCGACTTTATAGAAATGGAAAGAAGGAGACAGCGAAAGAAAGAAAGGATCTAACCAGCATTACTAGTTCAAACACTGGTTGAATCTAAGCATGTCAATCTATTACCTTACTTAGTGGATTCTTTTCTAGAACACGACGTCGATCCAACATCCCTGAATTAGATAATACAATGTTAAAATATTTTTGATTCGACACCCATTGATGAACTTCCCCAGGTAGCAGCAACGTGCGACCTATCACAACTGTTGATTATTACTAAGGATCCTATAGAAGACTTGAGTTACCCATACTATGATGTCTATGTACTCATGAGCCTTGCCAACAAACTCCCTTTCCTCTTTCTCTATTGGGAGATATCCCATGCCATGCGAACCTCCAACTTGTGCATTTCCACACGTAGGTGCGTAATGGGAGGCCTCGGCAGTCCATAAATACCTTCTCCATTTCATTGGTGAAGTAAGTCACACAGTCACATATCAAATATATCTCATCTCAAAAAGGCACAAGAGATACAAAAAAAAAAAAAAAAAAAAAAAAAAAGTACTCGGACAGCCTCTCCTCTGAAAGGGGGGCTACACAAGCCTGGGAGCTCGCATGATGGATCATAGCTGCGACCTACATATGGAACCAGCAGCCTGCCGCACGCAGCAACCTACCTATAGTCTGCGATAGCATAGCGCCGGTAGCGGGCCGCCCCCTCCAACGACACAAGCCCGAGAAATGAGGCCACGTGGTGTTGCACCACATACATACATCTAGGCTAGGCAGGCCTTGACCAGAAGAAAAAAAAAACCCTCCGGCCGTGTCGGGCGACATGTGGCTTGTTGATTGATTGACTGATAGATTTGGTATTGGTTCGTGTTGCCGCGTCCAACCAAACCAAAGCGACAATCTAGGAGCCGATAGGAGAAGAGAGAGAGACGGAGAGAGAGAGATTAAGTGAGAAAAAGGAAAGGAAAAGCAGGCTAGCTGCGAGAATGCGTTGTTCTCTGCTACTGCTATTGCTGCAGGCTGCGTGCAAGTGAGCGCGACGACAGGCGGGAGACCAATCAAACCGGCAATATGGCCTCCTAGCACCTAGTATTTTGTCCAAGAGGCTTGCGAGCCGGTCCAATACTTGCTTATGGCTCTTGAGCGATGCGAGTTTTGGGGTTGAGGCATCTTATTTTAGCTAGATAATATCCCCCCCCTTTTTTTTCTTCTTCTTCTCCCTAGGTCGATCGATCGATGGCCCCGGGCCGCCTACCTGCCTACCTGCCTACTTACTCCTGAATATACTTTTTATCGATCTAGTCTCCATCTCAACTCCGGACTCGTGGTGGAACCAGTTTGCCTACGAAAGAAGAAAAAAAAAAAACCCCCCGGCAACGTGGAGAAAGTCTTTATCTATAAAAAAAAAAAAAAAAAAAAAAAAAAAAAGGAAACAATTCCTAGGTACCTAGAAGTAAAACAAGATAAAGAAAAAAAATGGCCGAGGCCAACTGCGCCTGCACCATCGCCAACATCGAGGGCCTCCACAGCCGGATGTCGGCTTCTCCGCGGGTGGCGGCGTCAGCGGCGGAAAAGGAAAAGGAAAACTTCGACTCGACGCTGGAGGGCCTCGACCGGCGCGCCCGCCGGCTCGAGACCCGGCTGCGCATCGCGCCGCCGCCCCCGATGCTCGACACCTCGTGGGACTCCCTGACGTGGCGGGTGTGGCGGCTCGCGCGCCGCTTCAGCCGCTTCCGCGCCCTCCCCCGCGGCCCGCCCGTGGAGCCGATGGCGTCGCTGGCTCTGCTCAGGAGCGCCGTCGCTGCCATCGACGGGGGCGAGGGCTCGTTTCCCTGGCTGAAAGAAGAGGGCTCAGGAAAGGAAAAGGAAGAGGAAAAGGAGGAAGAGAAGGAGAAGGAGAAGGAAGAGCAGCAGCAGCGGCTCCTGAAAGTCGCCGCGCAATGGCTCTGCCACGCGGCGGGCCGGCGCGGCATCCGCGTGCCGAGCCTCGCCTTCGAGCTCGCCCCCGTCTGCGCTCTGGCGCTGAACCTCGCGTTCGAGGCCGAGACAACAACAACAACAACAACAACTGGTGGCGCCCCGTACCCCGCCAGACCTCTGTGTGTTGTCCCGCCAACGACGGCCAATCCCTGCCGCGGCTGTGCTTGCACCTGCCACGGTAACAAAGTCAGCAACGATAATAATAATAATAGTACTAGTACCAGTAAGAAAAAGAATTCGAGGAAGAGACAAGAAGAAGAAGAGGAGGAGGAGGAGGAGGAATCTACCAGCGATGATTCTTCCTCCTCTTCGTACAGCAGCCGACGACGGCCGTGCAAGGCGAGGCGGATCCTGGCGTCGTTGGTTGAGAGGCTGGCTTTCTGGCGCAGGAGACGGGCGGTTGGTGTTGGCACGGATGACGCGTCATCGACATCGAGCACGCTGTAAAAAAAAAAAAAAAAAAAGAAAAAAAAAGGAATATATTTATATATACTTACCCTAAGTAGGTATATATGGATATAGTTATGTGGGCGGAAGGATTGATCACTTGCGGGCGGAGCGGGGGTTTAAAGTCGGGACCAAGTGCATGTATATATTATACATACCTACTACTTACCTGCGTATGTATGGTATTATGCTCCCCCTGAACGAACGGCGGTGATTTGATTGTTTTCCGCTTCCGCCGCTGGAAGTGTTGAGGGCTTAGCAGTTTTTTTTTTGCTGTTATTGCTTTTTTTCTTCTCGGGTTTGAGCGAGTGAGCTGTGCTTAATTACAGTAGTTCTTTTTCTCGGATCGATACGAGCTTACCGGCGTGCTAGGTTAGGGGAGTGAGCGAAAGAAAAAAAAAAGATGACGGCGTATATACCTACATATTCGTAATGTACAATACATACATACATACATACATACATACATACCCGCAGGAATTGAGATGGGGATAACATATGTCGATGTGTATGTATGTGAACGAACGATAATAACTACATATGTACGCATTCCTTCGTACAGTACGAAGTTCAAACAAATATGTAACTATGCACACCTGCACATGAAGTGAAGTATCCGCTCGGACGACCCGTACATGCACTACAGACTTAGCAATTCGTTCTATTCTTTCCCCAGACTTCCCATTTGCCGACCAACTGTTTAGCCTCTGCCCTAAGTTCCGCAGATCTCGGCCGCGATACGAGCTGTTGTTGCCCACTTGTTTTTCCACGTATTGTATGTATCGTACCTACGGCGTACATCACTTAGGCACCTACTGTACCTAGTGCCGTGGTACTAACTGTAAGCTGACCGCGTCGACCCTCTGTCGTTCCTTGATGACGATATTTTTGCCCCAAAGAGGCGGGATGGTGGATGATTGCGTTTTGGCGGTGGGCTGGTGGTGAAATTAAACTAACCTAGTACCTAGGTTAGGTAGATAGTGTTAGTGAATCGAGGTCTTGGCTTTTTTTTCTCGATGACATCGAGAATTGTTACAATGTTGGATTTGAGTAGGTACTGTAGGTAGGTAGATACCTAGGTTAGGTAGTCATGTTCCTATCGAAATCAATGCCTTTGCTAAGTTTCTAGACGCCTATCAGCTAAAGGTGGTATAGACATCTTTGTATGAATATGTGTAGGTGTATGTATTTCTATGTGTATAACTTCGTACCTGGGTTGCCTATATACAGAATGTAATATGTGTATGTCTGCGTAAGATGCACGACCTATCCAGCAGGTACTATCTATCTAGTCAACGCCCAACAATATTAAATGAAAATAATGTAAAAAAAAAAAAAAATACGACTGATATGTATGTATGTAGATAGGCACCTAGATAGATAGATTAAAACAATGTTGTCTTCGACGCCAGATTACGCTTCTCGTCACACCCACACACTTATACACACTCGCCTTGCCATGATGCTGCGCTATGCTATACTGGGGGGGAAAAGAATCCCCCTCCTTTCCCCCCTCCCTCCGTTCCTTTATTCCTTCCCCTTCGCTCCCCCCCGTCTCCATTGGCTTTCTCTTCCATATACAGGTTGCAAATAGTAAGTAAGATTTTTTTTTCTGGGAAAGTCGTTATCGATGTGGTGACGTGCTCGAAAAATGTATTAAGTGCTGGTTTTGATGGTAGGCAGGTAGGTTTATGTTTTTCTTCCAACCCTCCCCCCCTCCCCAAAAGGACTCGCTATCACAATATCCATTACAGAAGTAATAAAAAAAAACCCCTCGGTTTGATTTCCTTTCTTTTTCTGTTCTTTTCATACTCCTCTCTTCCCTCCCCACCCCCACTCCCCTTCTCCCGTTTTTCCCTAGGAATGGAATGTCCGTCATGGTCATCTGGTATTGCTCTCGTTTGTCCTCTCCTGGCCTTGCTGCCTGGCGTCTTCGAGGGGCGATATGACGCTATTGTTGTTATTGAAACTGTTATTGAAATTGCTGTGACTGTTGCTGGCATTGTGATTGTTGCTGTCGTAGACGGGGCTCGGGGCGGTGGTGGTGTAGAAACTCATGTCGGCCGGCAGCTCGACGGGGGGCATGGCGTTGGACGTCGTGCTTAGCTCCGCCAGCAGCGGCACGTTGGACGACCGCTTGTCGTCCGGCCGCGGGTAGGAGCCCCCGTAGTACTCCGTCGGCAGCTCCTTGAACTCCTTGCCGGAGCCGTGGGCGGGCAGCTCCTGGTAGGTGTCGCGCTTCCCATGCGAGAGCTCCACGGCGCCGAACTGCGGGTTGTGCTGCGCGTACTCCGGGGCCGGGGTGTTGGGTGTCGTCTCGTAGTTGAAGTGGCTGAAGTTGCTGGTGCTGCCGTTGTGGTTGTTGCTGTTTTGCGTGAGCTCGACGTCGCGGGCGTTCGGGTTCGGCGATGGCGATTGGGAGAGTTTCCGGCGTCGTGAGTATAGCCATACGAACCACCCGGCTATGCACAGACCGATCCCCAAGAGTCCGAGCCCAACAGCAACGCCAATCATGGCGGCTGTTGAGAGACCACGAGTTGATGATGCCTGGGTGGCGGCGGCGGCGGCGGTGGTGGCGGTGGTGGGCACACCAGTTTCAGTGGGTGTCGCGGAGCTTGTTGTCTGGGTGGCCGCTATGGCCTGTGACATGAAGGCACTCTTAGATACAGCGATAGTGATGCCGGTGCCAGCACAGTTATTTTCTAGTGTGTCGTAGACCGCGGACAAATCTTTGGGACTTTGCGTCGCGACACATGACGCCGTATTGTAGATGAAATTTCCTCTATTCTTACAAAGGCACCCGTTCATCTCTGCCCCCGTGTTCCCCGTGCATTGACTCTGGTCCGCCGCGTCGCTGAGACATTGTTGCGAGTCTATGGGATATGCCGAGAAGTCGTTCTGTAATTCTGCCATCGATATCTGTGCCTGCACGACGATGCTGAGCAGCAATGAAGGCGGGAGCGCCAGGAACCTCATCCTGTGTACTCCTCTATCTCACGACATATGCTTCACTGCTGTAGATGGACGCTCTTACGATCTCGATGGGGCAAAGTTGTGTGTATGTGTGTCTGTGTCTGTGTAGGGCGTGTATGTGTGTTGTACCTAGGTAGGTAGGTATGTGTTTACGTTCGTCTCCAGCGGTGTAAATCCTTAGGTTCTAGCATGATACGATGGGAAAGAAAGGAGAAGAAGAAAACATTTCGTGCACGAATACGGGAATTCGCTCAACTAGGGGCTGGTAGTGATACACACCTACCTAGTATGTACATAATTACAGTACATTACTATATTGTGTAGTACATAGCATAGTATCTACTATCTAGTTACATGGCAGCAATGCCGCAACATGGTAATTTGCTTCCAGGATCTCGCACCCAATGGTAGCTAATGCTTTGTACCAAACTTGACACCGAAATGCTGGGCGAGCAGGCATCAACGATACAAGAGAGGCAAAGCTTTGGATTTTCAACGTGTCAGACTAGGGACCCAGACTGGGGATCCTGTCGTAAACAATTCTCCAGTTTAAAAAAAAACACCTGGGCACATTTCCGTCGTGCCGTACAGGCCGTAATAGTGTACAGCCTGTGGCAGCGTACACATACTACACAATGAACCCGGCTCATGCTCGAAGAGATCAGCACAATTTATAGCCTGTTTGGCTTATTCGATTCACATAACGATCAACACAATTAGTCCCTACTACGATCGACTTGGCCTGAGCGAGCCTTTCCATCTCTTAGCTTCCTAAAAAAGCATCCTAGCTGCTACACTCAGCCTGTCAATTTAAATCTAACTTGTTCCCTTGTCCAATTTTCTCCAAGACATGATATATTCTACTATGTATTGTACATAATAGTAATAATGGAAATATAGGAATGAGACTAGGAATGGAAATGGAAATGGGCTCATTATAGCAGGGTTACTCAAAATCTATACCTCCACATCTAGGGCTGCTGCACCTTAGACGACTGTGATTCGTCTTCAGAGAAAGCTTCATTCGTAAAACCTCCTGATGAGTCCTACATATGACTAGCGCCATCTCCTTGATAGGCATAGTTATACGGTAGGGCGATCAAACGAAGTTGATTCCCAAGACCCGCCGCTATGAGGGTCCTACATCTTGATAGGTAGTATTATATCTAGTTCGTCCTTAAAAGCATTTTAATAATCCTCGATAATATCTACTTCCACTAAACTAAACACGATCCTCGGCCTTTGACATGAACTTCCACTACCTTTAGGTTCATTATGTAGGTAATTATGTAGGTAGGTACTTAGCAGGTAAGTAATACTTGAGCATTAACACGACTGGAGAGCATGGCAGTATACATTTCCAGCGGTGAACAGAAGCTTGGTGACGAGACGACATTATTGAAACCAACCTCACGTTACCGTTGGATTATGCTGAGGTGACAAGGTCGCGGGTCTTTTTTCAGTCATGAGAATTATATATACTGCATTTCGGAGTATCTAGTCATAATCCGTATCTCAGCTGCCGACTCTTGAGTGTTCTTCAGCATTGACATCCCAAAACAAGCACGTGCCCGCTAACAATCAGATGGGAGAGCAAGTCTTTGGAACTATGATCCAAAGCGATTAGGTTTTGAATACGCTTTACTGGCCAACTCAAGAGCCAAGAACTTCATCCGTGAAGCTAGGCCATGATATACGTGAGTATGTGCCTGTTTTCTTTCTTTTTCCTTTTCAAAGCCATCCTCGTCAATTCCATGACAACAAAGGAGAGCACATGGCCACAGCAATAAAAATCGTTGGGGGTATGAATATTTCGATGACGCCAATTCGATGGCTTGATATCGTACAGGGACGAGAGATAAGCACTACAAAGTTGTGATATGTGATATTGTGGGTATTAGGTAATGTTCATCTGGTGAGTTAGTGGCCTCCGAGATCATCCCCATTGATCCCATTAACAGGTAGTCTGTCTGGCGATTCTTGAGCACTCTTGATGCCATTGACTTGTGTTGTACTGGGCGAGTCGGTAGAAGGTGACAAGTGTTCGCTGGCGTAGTCTAGTGGCTCGTTCGATACCATGCTTCTGGGAGTTAAGTGAGCCCCGGTGAGCACAGCCTGTTTCTGCTGATCGGTAAGGAGATGGGCTAAGCCTTGTTCGACACAAAGGCGGGCATAGTCTGGCTCGTCCGGCATGACTGCAATGAGCCCTCCCCTTCTCGGCACCCTGTGCTCCGGAAAGGGGGTTTTGCTTGGTTTATATTGCATTGGCCTATCTTCGCCAACCAGCTGCCCAGTTATATAATACTTGCATCTAGGTGCAAAAGGCCCACGGCTTTCAGCATCCGGATCTTGCTTCCATTTCGCCGGGGCACTCCACGTCGTGAGGGCAGATTCGTGCTCCGGAAGTTCGCAGTAGCATATCGAAAGTTTGATATTGCGGAGATGAGGCACGGTCGGGACGATATAGAGAAAATCGGATTGCTTTTGTTGCAGAGGTTAGCTTCTCTTCCATCGCATCAATCGCCACCCCCGGGAAAATGAACAAGCTTACCTTGATAAAGAACATGTCCGTCTCGAAGAAACATTTTGCTGCCTCGCCGCGGAGTTGTTCCAGCCTTCTGTAGCCAACTCTGCGGGGGTCGCCTCCGTAATAATCAGGCAGCTGTTCTCCTAAGTGATACAGTCTACCTTCTGTAAGAGCATATCGTTCCTGTTCTAAACGCCAAATAACTCTTTTGGCTATAGTCGACACGGGAACACGTTCCCACGTAGAATCTGGAGGCTGGTTAATTTCATGACCCAAGGATTGGTGGTGACTTTTCACGGCTTACATTTTGAGAGTGAAGTATCTTTGTCACCCAGCAGAAGGGCAACTTGAGTGTTGAGGAGCCACTGCTCCCGTCCGTCTGGCTTTCCGGTCGCTGAAGGAATTATTGTGTCATATCTAACACCTTGTGCTTTGGCAAAGAGCTCGGCTATCTCCCTTTGCTTTGGGTCCGGGCAGCGTTCGAGCCAGCGCAGTAAAGGAGGTAATTTGGATATGCGAATTCGTTCCATCTCTTCCTGTTGAGCTCGTCGTATCTCGGCTTCTCGTGTAGCTTGTTCGACACGCTTGCGCTCTTCTTCTTTTTGCCTTTCTTCCTCGCGCAGACGTTGAGCTTCCTGAGCAGCCTCTTGCTCGAGACGGAGTCTTGTTTCTTCCTCTTGCCGCTTGCGTTCCTCCTCTTCTTTTTGTTTCCTCTCTTCCTCTTCTCGGAGCTTTCTTTCCTGTTCTTCCTTCTGCTTTCGTTCCTCTTCTAGTCGCGCCCTCTCCTCCTCCTCTTCTTTGCGTTTCTTTTGTTCCGTCTCCTGGCGAACCCGTTCTTCCTCCTCCTCCTGAAGACGCTTCTTTTCAGCCTCTTCTTGTCGTTTAGTTGCTGCCTCCTGCTCTTTGCGCTCTGCCTCCTGGCGAAGTCGTTCCGCCTCTTTCCTCTTGATCTCTTCTGCTGCAGCAGTTGCTTCGGCTTCGGCTTGTCGTCTTTTTGCCTCCTTTCGCTCGCGTTCACGCTCCTTGTCACGTTCTTGTCTTTCACGTTCTTGTTCACGTTTATGTTCCCGCTCGCGCTCGCGCTCAGCTTGTATCTCGTTGTCGTTGACAGAAGGCACCTGAGGAGCATCCCGCATTTCTATGTCCAGGTCTTCAGAAGCTACTGTTATGCTAGCTTTCTCAATCGGACTCGTCTTATCCGGCTCTCTGCGATCACGGTTTGTCTTTTTGGCTTTACCAGCTTCTTTTCGATCAGGTTCTGGGGCACGCTGTCGTCTTGCGGCATCTCGTGACTGGTCTCGTTTTAACTGTCGGCTCTCGGGTGAGGAATTTTGGAGTTGCCGTCTTTCTTTGCCTTCTGGGTCCAATTTTCTCCTCTTGATTGGTGCCTCAGGGTCGTCTTTGTCTCCTATTCCGTGACGAGGAGGCGTAACACTAGATCGATGTCTTTTGCCCGAACTTTCGCCGATGGAAAGCCTATCAATTGATTCGTCACGCTTAATAGCCTTCGTTCGATCATGGTACTTCTCCGAAAGTCTATCGGCTCGCTTTTCAACTGCATCTTCGTTCCTTGTGTCGCCACGATCAGTGGTAGAATTGTTCGATACCATACTCGCGCGTCGTTGCTTTTCCCTGTGTCCTTTCAAATCCTTCCCCGAGATCAACTTCCTACGTGGCTTGGGGGTTTCAGTGTCAGAAGCTTGGTCTGACTCTACCAATTTTGACTTTGCGAGTTGGGTCTTTGATACAGCGGGAGAAGCCTCTCGATCTGAAACAGCAAGGCTTGAGACCCGCTCCTCCTTTTTAGGGCGGCCTGGGCCACGCTTTGGCGAAGTTTGTTCGTCAAGGTTTCCAGTAGAAGGGAGCCTCTTTTCCCTAGGACTACCAGAAACTTTAGTAGAGGCCGCCTTCTTCTTTGAATCAGTATCGCGAGGGGGGCTTGATGGCTTGCGCTTATGCGACCGAGCAGAGTCTAAACTGGTCTCTGTTCGATTAGTACGTCGAAATTCTTGATCTAGCTCACGGTCCCGAGACTTTTTCGAAGATTTTGATGCTTTCTTATAGTCATCATAAGCATTTTTCAGAATGTGCTCCTCCTCTTTCCACGCAGGACCTTCTCGACGTCTGGCTATCTCGTAATAAGTCTGGCCCTTGTACCGGCGTGTTGGGTCGAAGTTAGATGCATTGAGAAGCAGTTTAATAACCTCGATATTTTCTCCACCAATAGCAGCCAACATTGGTGTTCCATATTCGATTGGAAGACTTGAAAGTGGCCGTGGATCAGCGTTTGCACCTCCCAAAGCCAAGAGGAGTTCAACGACGAGACTATGTCCGCCACGGGCTGCATTGACCAGGGCTTCAGGGTCGTCACATCGTTCTTTGACTTGGAGCACGCGGGTTACCGTCTCGTTATCGCCTCGCGCGGCGGCTTGCCTAAGGGTCTTGTCGTCAAGATTCATGTACAAGAGATGATTGCTTGTCTTGGTCGATCGCACAGCACCACCACGACGTTGAGCTGCCAATGCGCCACTGCCAGATGCTGTGGGGGAACGACGAGGGCTTTCGGGTCCAAGAGAAGAGAGAGCATCTTGTAAATCATTGGGTGGATGGTCCTCAGAGGTTCGTCGTAGCTCCCCCACCCTTTCCTTCGCTTCTCTTAATGCAGCCCGGATCTCTTCTGCATTCTCCAGATCATCAGGTACTTTCTCCAACGGTTCGTGTCCCTCGGCATCTGCCTTGCGGGGATTTACACCAGCTTTCAACAATAACTGAACGACACCAAGATGGCCATTTTCCACAGCGTCTAGGAGTGGCGTCTCTTTGTCACTGTTCCGACAATCCAAATTACACCCCGCATTAATCAGAAGTTGCACAATCTGTTCATGGCCATTAAGCGAAGCAACCTGAAGAGGTGTGTTCCCGGCGTAATCGGCAAAGTTCAGATCATCTGGACGTTCAGTCAACCGTTTCTTAGCAACTTCATACTCGCCTTTAGCACAAGCCTTGGCAAGTAAAGTCTGCCCATGATTGTCAACGTGTTTTCTGTGAGGTGGCATCCTCGCAGGCGATATTGTTGAGTCACCAGTGACAGGAGTAGCAATGCTCCTCAACTTGGAGCTTCGGGGATGCGGACTGCCACTGGCAGATGAATCGTCAGAATGATAATCTGTTGATTGAAGAGGAGCAGGGATGCGTCTTTTCTTTACGCTGAAGCCATTTGAAGATTGGGAAGGAAGTTGAGTCGATAAGCTACGTCGGTGAGCACGGCCTTGCGGTGAAGGTGATCGATTTCGAGTGGAAATTTTGTCATGGTGTGGACGAGTGGAGGACCTTTGGTCCCGTTCCCTAGCGATGGTGTTGTTGTCGAGGCTCGCGTCTGACATGCGGGGCCGGCGAGCCTTTCGCGACTCGCTTTCATCCTCAGATTCAGCTTTTGGTGCCTTACGCTTAGTATGCAACAACCTATCTACGGATTTAGACTTTTGTTTAATGGGTTCCTTCGGGTCTTTAGACTTTGACTTAGACGACTCTGAGCCAGATTCCGAATTAGCATCACCGGATATGCGTCGTCGAAAAGGTTGCTCGATGTTATTGTTTTGACGACGATGAGGAGGCGGTGATGCAGGAGCAGAGCTAAGGCCACTGGAAGCATCCTTATTCCGTGACTGCTTTTCTTTTCTAAGCAGTCCCTTTTTCCTTTCCAGAGACAGAACAGCATCGTTAGGAGGACCAACAGTGCGATCGCCATCCCTATCGTCTTTGGGGTGTTTTCTCGGAGGTGGTAAAACGTCGTCAATGTCGCCATCGCTCTTATCTTCATATTTTATCAACTTCCTTGGCTTTATTGGAGAAACACCGTCTTTCCCTGGGAGAACGATTGTCTCTGCATCGGAGTTCTGCTCAGGATTAACCTCCTCGTCCTGCGCACTCGAAAGTGTTGTCACGCATGATGAATTTTTGTCTGTGGAAGCGGATTTTGTGGTAGAAGGAAGCTTCGTGTTATTTGTTGTGGTATTATTCGCTGTCACCGTCGACTTAAGATCGTCAGACTCAACTCCCCGCTTCTCCAAAGCGGCCTGTTTCGTGTACGTGGACTCGACAGCATTCTGCGCATCCATAGCATTCAATTCATATAACGAAATAGAATCCAGTACACCATCATGGCCACTCGTGGGTGACTAATAAAGGAATGATCGTGTAGAAAGGCCGTACAAATTAGCTAGTATGGACTACTCTACAATAGTACGAAGGACGAGTTAAAACGGTCGGTCGGTCGCAAATTCTAATAGGTGTGGGATATAGGATACGGGATGAAGATGAGACTTGAGCTGGCTTCGAATTGGCACAGAGCACCGAGAAATTTTGAAGAAAAGAAAATGAGAAGTGCTGTTTGCTAATATACCGCTGTTAACAGAGGCTGCCGCAGATAATGACCATCATCGATTGGGAATAATTCTTCGGTGTAGGAAATTATTTGCAAAATTGAATGACTAGAAGGATTGCAGCAGCAGCAGCAGCAGCAGCAAGCAAGCAAGCAAAAGCCAGAGTCCAGAGAAATAATCAGCTAACGATAACAATTCTAGTGTGGTACGTTAGTGCGTTAGTGCGTCAGTACCCAGTACCCAGTAGTACCTAGTACCCAGTAGTAAGTTGAAGTACGTACAATACAATACAACTTGTACCTAGCTACCTAACTTTCAATAGCACGAGGTAATGGGTACTATGTAAAAGTAGATAGGCAAAGAAAGGCAGGCAGGCAGGCGAGGCAGGCAAAATGCATAAGCATAACGAAAGGGGGGGGAGAATAATAATAACAATAGAAATTTTAGGAACTGGGAAAGACAGACTAGACCGTGACTGCCCACGCAGCTGCCACACAACCAAAAGGAACATTGAAGCAGTTGAGGCCAACGGTACAACAGCAAGTATTCTCGTACCCAAAGTAGGCTATGATTAAAGAGGTCTAGCGTGTCATGCTAGTGTGGTAACACTAGGACTGTTTTCCTTGTGTAGCCATTGAAGATCAATTTCACAGATCAGTCTAACCAACTAGAATCATCTGTGATTGGATATCGATTTGAATACGGATGGGTCGGGTGGCCGGTATTTCCGCAAATTTGCAGCAGAGGTCCTGGCTCTTTTACCCCCGACAGTCGGCGCCCCCTGCTTAGTTTGTGCATTGGTGCTCTTTTTGCTACATGTAACTCGCAACTTCGCTGCCTTACCTTTCTTTGCCTTTCCTGCTTTCCTAGCCACCCCTGCCTGTCTCTGCTTCCGCCCCTCACTCCCCAGTTCTTTTCAGGCTTTTTCCTCCTCCAAAAAACAGCAGTAATATTAAAAAAGCTCTCTTACCAGTCAAGGGTGGTCATTTATGTATTAATTGTCACTAAATTCAACTCCGCCATCCATACGTCCATCCAATCTATCTATCCATTCATTCATTCATTCAAGAAGTCTGCAAGTCTGCAAGTCTGCAAGTCTCCTTCGTCCTGATAAGCCATCCCGCGTCGATCAGCTGCTTTCAGGTCCATTCAACTTTGCCTATCTATCCCAAACGAGCTCGAGATTATTATTGATACGCAGAAGCCCCAGCCTCACCACTCATTTGTGTGGGAATTGCCACCACGTGCAGTCGGCTCCCTTCTTTAGATGGCAAGGCGTATCACCACAATAAATATTCTAACCAATCTCCAGCAGTAAATTTAGTGTGTTTTAGGCACCAGCACGCCCATACCCACGCCCAATTCGCCGTTTATCACCATCATCACGAGCACCCGAGATCTTGGATTGTTAAATTCTACCTGCCCCCAAATAATTATCTGGGGCCGCTTATCATGGCATGCCACTTAGTGGATGAGCCTTTTGCGAATTCCACGACTCTTACCCTACCTGATTCTCTCGATCAAGTCCGAATCACAAGTTTACCTCCGGCAGCTTACTACATTTCAGATTTCATCACGGAAGAGGAGGAGAAGGCTATCCTGGATAAAGTATAGAAATACTTGTTTTGAAGACAGCATTAAATGCCTTTCAGAAGCCCACCTAACCAAGATACAGATCGCATCCGCACCGAAGCCACGCTGGAAGCAACTAACTCATCGACGACTGCAAACATGGCCCTCTGATCTTGTAAACAACAAATTGATAGACGCCCCTTTGCCCGCTTGGTTGAATGATCCCATCGTCACTCGTTTAGGTTCTATTCGAGTTTCGCAAGAGCCCAACTCGTCCGACATATTCTCTAATAGCCCTCACCAGAAACCGAACCATGTTCTAATCAATGGTACGTGAGGAAACTTGCCCTCCTCAAGATTCGACATGCGTTTGCACTTGGTGGAACTAGCACTTTAATCTCGCCTTCACCCACTGCTACCTACACGTCCAAGCTTACTGCAAAGCGATGCTTCTATATCGTAAAACTTAATGTCCCGAGCATGCGTTAATGTATAGGCACGCAGAATATCCTCCCGGTATCGGAATAATGCCTCACAAGGTAAGCAAGTAGTGTTGAAATGATTAGTCCTGATGAACCACTCATTACGGCATAGGACGGGGCTGCTTATCATCCTGTTGTGTGTACTGTGAGCCTTGGTGCCAGCCTCTGTCTCGATATCTACAAATCCAAAGACAACGGAGCTCTGGACCCCGAGCCAACATGGCGAATACTACAAGAACCTCGAAGTTTGCTCATCACTACCAGCACCCTTTATACAGACTTTCTTCATGGCATCGCTGATACCACGGAAGACATTCAACTTTCAAGAGGCACCATTGCTAATTGGGACCTCCTCCGATCGCCTGACGATTTCTCGGATGGCCACAACATACGAAGAACACGTACAAGCTTGACATTTCGCGATGTCATGAATGTATCAAAATTAGGGGGTAAACTTGGACTGCTCCGGAGAAAGTGATGCGTCGAGGCAGATTAAATTTCAAAATATGATGGGTATCATTCTCCATTTTTCTTGCACCTTTTCGCTGCCGAATCTTTCGCCATACCACTTCTTGGTGCCGTTAGCGGTAACACCAAGATTGACCACAACAAATAGTAGAGCACACATCAGAGTCCTGTTGTAGACCTGGCCTTGTGGTGCTGCTACTAATGCCAGTGAAAAATATAATATGCATTCGCACGTATAGTGTGGGCACACCAAATATTGGAACAGGCCGTCTCCTGGAAGTGAGTATTTCTTTAGTTGGAACAGGTAGCTATGACATCTGTACTGCATGGACCATGAACCCAGAAACATAACGGCACCGAGGATGACACCGAATGGGGGTACCCCGATATCGATAGATCCCCTATCAGAGGATTGGATTGCGCCTGTGATTACTCGTCAGTAAACTGTGAAAATCGACGGTGTCATAATACCTACGAGACCCTTCAATCCAAATGGAAATATTTGTGCAGAAATAAAATGAAACGCCCAGTAGCCAATGAACAATCCACATCTTGGAAGATGACGGCCGGATTATGCCCACATACTCGTACAGGCGTCTAGCCCCTTGCAGAGTCATCAGAACCCATGCCAGAATGACCTGCTCCACCGACATCGACGATTGCCGCTCATCAGACACCTGGCTGCGAACAAGCACCTCCAGGATTCCGCCGCGAGTAGCAAACTGAGCCGCCCAGAAGAGGGAGCAGCACAGGGAAAGAACGTAGAAGTGCGCGAACCAGGAATGCGGAACCTTGCCCACCGACGTCACCCAGTCGACGATGCCGAGCAGGAGCCCATTTTCCTCGCCAGCCCGTTCTTCTTCCCCTTTCCCCGTAGCTTTAGCATCTGCCGGCGTCTTCGAGCTTCGCGCGCCGTACCGCGTCAGCAGACGCTGCATCGACTCCGGGGCCGCGGCGATCGCGAACACGGCTGCGGCGGAGAGAACGTAGAAGAGCTGGCAGTACGCCGATGGGCGAAGGCTGCCGGCGTGCGCCAGGATGTCGGGTATTGTTGCCATCCGGGGAGGGGTAGATGGCCAGTATTTTTTTTTTGGGGGGGGGGTCTGCTCAGGTGCTTTTTGCCTTGCCTTGTGAGTTTTGGTACGGGATGCTGAGGACATATGGATGTACAATACATAGGTATGTAGAGGGAATTGGAATTCGCAGGAGCTTTTCTGGTACATGTATGTACTGTACCGAGGTAGGTGTCCTTTTTTGGCTTTGGTGCATTAGCAGGGCTAGTGTGGTATATGTAGCTAAGCCGTCTATAAAAGGGGGGGATCCACTGTGTTGCCTCTTGCCTGAAAATGACAACCGGGTAAATTATGTACTCAAGTCTCGAGCTTGTTAGCCAGTTCAGGATGTTTCTAACCTTAAGTATTTGCGATCTTCTTGAAGCTTCTTTTTTTTAAGTGTCAATCTTTCACCTAGCATGAGGAAAATGATTTGATAGCTGTTTAGCTTGGTACGTTGTTTGGAAGAAGCATTTGTAGATTCTTGTATGCTGTCTTCGGTACTATGCACATCTTTGTGTTGTCTTCAAGATTGGTGTAGGTATATTCAAAATTCCCTTGTAGAAGACTAAGGGGTTAATATATATGTAGGATCTGCGTGTATCCATCCAGTTGCTGAAACGCGATTCATCGTCATCTATCTCTATGAGTCTTCCTCGAATGCAGATATGCAGACAAGTGAACGGGGAGGCATGAGTTGCCAAAACTTGAACCCAAGACCGTTTGGGGATATTTCAGCTCTGAGGTGTACGTGGAAGTTGTAAGCATGGCAGAGTAGTATGCTTGGCCTGTTCAAGACATTGGGAGTTGATGTGATCGTGAGTTTATAAGCTAGGCGCGAATTTAAGCTGGAGGATGCCTAATGAATCATTTCCTCTTCCTTCCTTTTCCTTGACAGGTCTGTTAAACAAGAGAAATGTATTTTTTACACAGTGATCAGTTACGATGCCTATGAAAAACGAGACTCAACCTATTCACCCTTTCTTCTCTACAAAGTAGACACATAACCCTTATGAAACTCTGCATAGTAACTGGAGCCTTTCTTCTTCTTTCTCAATCCGGGTTAATTCATGTCAGGAGTTTCGAGGAGATTAAGGTCAGTGGGCTTGACAAATAGGGGAAAGCTGAGCTTCCTATGATATGAATCTTATACGTCCCATGCATACACAGCCTAAAGCTGTCTGATATCTTATATGCCCTGATATAGTAACATGGCCTGTAATACCGAAGCTAATTACACCTAATCAGACAAGATCTAGGAACTGAACGTGGACTCTTTTTACTCTTAGAACCTCAACATCTACGTCCATCCTAATCCACGGGTCCTCACCAAGCTCCTTGCGGAACTTATCAAGGGTTTCCGGATCCAAGCCCAACGCCGCAAGCCGCGGATCCTCTATGCTAACCTCGCCAATAACCTCATTCTTAAACCCCGATATTAGCCCCCGCGGGAGGAGAACCCCAACAGCGCGAATGTCGGCCGGCAGTGGCCCCAGAACCGCCTACCCGTGCGAGATATCCCCCACGAAGCACTCGCCCACCACCAAATACCGACCGCCTTCCACCGGGCGTAGCAGGACGGGCGCCTCGCAGCCCAGGAGAACGCAGATGACATCGCCGCTTTTCGCCGCGCGCGGTACCAACCCAACGGAATTACTCGCCGTCTTGACGAGCTGCCGGCCAATGGCCCAGCCCTTGATATCCCTTAGTATTCAATCGAGGGTCCCGTCGTCCATTTCACGATCCCTGGAACCCTTCTCATTGCAATGTACACGCCGTATCACCCGCCTAAACACCCGCCAACTTCGGCCGGGTGCTATCGCTAGGTTTGTAGCTTTCGGCGAACTCGTTGCACAAAAGCGTGCGGGCATAAGTATCCACCAGAGACGACGATGTCCCGGGTCACCCTCTTGATAGCCTCCGTGACCTCGGTCGCGGAAGAAGAAGGGACGATGTTGGGTGGCCGCACACCCGTGATCGCCGCAACCACCACGCCGGCGACTTGCAGCGTTGTAGACTCGCCTTGACGACGACGGATGTAAGGAGACAACTGAGACGACGCGTCGGTATGGGTGATGTATTTCCCCGTCTGCGACTTGGCCGACCAGTCCGGCACCCAGCTGGTCCGCGCCAGGTCGTCTCCGAGCTGGCATTCTGCCAGGATGCCCAGGCCCAGTCGTCTTCGCGATCGTATTTTTTGGTGCCTCATCCGATGCAGGGCAACCATTGCGTTTCTTAGATCGTCCCAGGGGATATCACGCTCCCCGCACTGGACCGAGGCCGTCTTTTGGGCTAGATAGATCTCCTGCCAGATCCACAGCCCGCTGAACCATGGCCGTGATAGCAGGTAATATATTGCATCCATATCTTTGTTGTCGAAAGGCAGTATCGCTTTTTCGTCGCCCAGACTAGTATCCACGGCACCCTCTGCCGCAACAGTCGACCACGGAGGGGATTGGTTTGAAAAGGGGGGTAAATTAACCGCGATCCAAAGTGTTGCATCAACACCATGGCGTGGTCGCTGTCGTCCTTTTCCGGACCAAGCCGAACCACGATGCGTGCGGCGCCCCGGTAGATGTCTCCCATCATAGCCACCTGCTTTCCCCTTTCCTCGTTGTCCGACTGATTGATGCAGATGGCGTCGATCCACATGATCCGAGGTTGATCGGGATGTCGAGGATGCCTCAGAGCGTTGTCTAGGTTCTGGGTCGCCGAGATGGTTGGCTGGCGGTCTTGGCCGTCATAGACCAGCCTGGGGTTCTCTTCGGACCCCTAGACATAAGACAATGCCTCGTACGCATCTTGACCAAAGCGCGACTCTTCCAAATTTATCACTATATCGTCGGCGGTGTGGCCAGGATTAATAGTGAGAAGCCTGATGTGATTTTGTGGCAGCGGCGAGTAGACGTATGGGACGATTTTGATAGGGGCCTATTAGGTATGTCAGGATGAGATAGACTGGAACTTGATGTCGAGAAAACTGCGCAGGCATCTCTCCTCAAAGACAACAAGATAATATTCGTTCGTTCCTGAGAAGTCCTGGGCTGTGCCAAGATACCTCATTCTCATCCCCCCCCCCCCCCCCTCTCTTCTACTAAGGTAGCTTGATCTCTCAGCCCATATCGCATCATCCCTACCAGGCACCTGGGTATCTAATCTTTCCGTTTCGTTGTCACATACTATTTTCTGTGCATGTACTTCATACCTTTCATCAATGTTACATGTGACAACTAAGATAAATGGCTCTTGTAAAAATAGAGAAAAAGTATCTAATTTAATATCTAAAGGGTCATGTGATACCCTGACGGATAATGGGTTACATTTCGGTAGTATCGGATTGCGCCGTGCCCAAAATATGTACCTATATGTCACGTGGTGTCAGCACTTGTCAGGTTCAATCTTGATCCCCTAGGCACTCTAGGTAGGCAATCACAGGGGATATAGGTATATAGGTACCTACTATGAAATACACTATCTCCTCATTTCAAAGTTACATGTAATGGATGTAAATTTCTCCCATCATATGCTATCAATGGCTCCTGGGGTTAGGTGAAACGTTTTTGACCCGGAGAGAAGCGCCGCGACGAGAATTCGCCCTACTAGGTATATCCATTCAGGTAGACGAAACGGACTTAACTATGGAAAGAATGCCATCGAGCGTTAGTAAATATGGATAGCCTACGCGCGAACGCAACCTTATGCAAGAAGGATCTACGCCGCTTTATAGCATTCCTGGTAATGGTAAGACATAATAGCTGTATCGACGCAACCTCACCTGCAATCCACCAGTAGCTGCTCCATAGGACCAGCCGCCCTCCTGATTAGCTGCATACCTATGTAGGCATCCACTGGCGAATCTAAGTATAGGCCGAGGTCAACCCTGGGGCGCAATCAGCATGCAGTGGATGAGTCTATGCAACATCAAAGAGCGCGCCAGGATTTGAATCGCCAAGGTATAAAAGGTAAAGTCCATCTGTTACTATTTAACCCCTATAAGATGATGTAGGGGGAAATACTCCTGCTTGATTTCATATGTGCTGTGGCCTTCTCAAATTAAGCAAAGACCCCTTTTAAGCCTACATACAAAAGCTACAAAACCGACATAATGTCCAATTTCAATCAGTATACCGTCGGCTGGATCTGCGCCGTCGATACAGAATTCATTGCTGCCGAGATGATGTTCGACAGGATACTTGAGGAGCCAGACGACATATCGCCCAAAGACCCAAACGGTTACAAGTTTGGTCAAATTGAAGGGCATAACGTGGTCGTCTCTTTGTTGCCGCATTGCCAACACGGCATTTCGAGTGCCACCGCCACTGTGAAGGACATGCTACGGAGTTTCCCCATCAGGCACGTTCTCATGGTGGGCATTGCGGGTGGAGCTCCAAACCTAGACGACGACATTGACATACGTCTGGGTGATGTTGTGGTCAGCTCTCCAGGTTACAGCAATGGGGGTGTGCTGCACTATGGCTATGGCAGGAAGGTGCAGGATGAAGCAGACCCCTTACGCTTCGAAACCACCGGGTTCCTGAACCAGCCACCCATGAGTATGCTGAATGCCATGAACCTACTGAAGGCGACACATCAGATGAAAGGACATCTGATCCAAGAGATCATACAGGAGGCCCTAGGCAAGTGGCCAGAACTTAAGCAAGAACTCAGAAGAAAGCTGGAGCGTCCTAGTATAAAAACCGACAAGCTTTATAAATCCCACGTTATCCACGTCAATGGCCAAACGACTTGCGACAATTGCGGTTACCAAAAATCAACTCTGGTCTCTCGGCCTCCGCGAGACTTGGACGATGATGACCCAGCGATTCACTACGGGCTGGTCGCCTCTTCCGATTCGCTGATGGAGGATGCTAAAATGCGTGATAGGCTCTCAAAAGAAAAGGGTGTGTTATGCTTCGAGACGGAAGCTGCTGGAATAATGAACCACGTTCCATGTATCGTCATTCGTGGAGTATGGTATTATTCCGACAGCCATAAGAACGACATATGGCAAGGCTACGCAGCAATGACAGCCGCTGCATATGCCAAAGAACTTCTCGGCCAGCTAAGACCTGATCGGGTGGAAGCCCAAATAAGGCTTATCGACAGAATCGATGAGGCCTTCTCTAGTGGTTCGTTGGCCTATGTAAAACACTCCCAATACGATCTTATCTAACGAAACATCTTTAATCATAGTGAATAAGGGGGTGCAGAGCATCAAGATGGACCTCCATCAGGACAATACCACCCACTGGCTTTTACCGTCGGGCCCCTCTATAAATCACAATACAGTGCAAGAGCAGCACCACCATGAGACTAACCAGTGGCTTCTACGCAATGGTCCTTAGTCCGCCTGGATAACACGACCTAACGCGTTTTTGTGGCTGAATGATATCCCTGGGCGCAGGACAACCATCCTTAGCTCTACCGTCATCGTAGACTTGGAAAGTACAGAACCCCCCACGACTTTGCTTGATTCCTCCGAATCAGCTCTCTTCCGATAAAGCAACTTGGTCTTTCATCAGTCAACTATACTGCCAGAGAAAGGAACGCTGAACAAAAGTGTATTCGTTGTACTCTTCTTGTCAAGAGAGGCGGCAACAACCATATGACACCATATTGCTTATGCTGCTGCAGGGCTTGATTCGGAACGTTGGCGAAGTCCGGATCATTCTTCACGCGCTTGACCAGCATGAAGAAAAATATCGGGTAGAAGGATTATTACCCTGGATCAAGGCTCTGCGACACGGTGTGCAGCCGATATCCATATCCTGGCCATAAGTCGGCCTAGGGTAGTAGACATTGAGCTCTTTATTAGAAATGGGGTTGTGATGAACAGATTGTCAGTCTTTAGAACGACGCGGTAGATGATGATATACGTGATGATTATATTGAGGATATAATTTTGGGAATGGAAAGGTGTTAGGGACAGTCTGGTATCTAGGAAAATATCAAAGCACTTTGGTTACAAACGCGAATAGTATGTGAGGCCTTTATAAGCCCTTCACTTGTTATGTTACTACGCGACCCGAGTATACAAACTAGACGACTCGGCTTTTGGAATTCCTTACATAGGTACTCCGAACGGCCACTATAGATCAAGGAAGCTGCCGACCCAGTTCCGGTAAACATAACAGGCAAGCCTCGTTTCCATCCAGCCAACCGAATGTCGAACTTTCGAGAACTCACCCAATATTGCTACAGTCTGGTTGCTCTCGTTAAAATAATAATTGACTAGATACAATAATAGTGACTGAGGTAGAGCTTGCGAACTTCTCAGTCTAGGAATACCTCATTTCAGATTGACTAAAGCCGGACATGGCCGTGAGACTTGAGAAGATACCCGCGATGGCAGTGATGACAAAAGTGTGTCTTTCCCACTTGTTGGATCTAGACCATTCCAAATCGTCGCAGGATGCCAGGAAGGCATGTCCTTTGACACATTTCTCACTGTGGTACTAAATAAGTTATGCTGCGGTGGTCGAGTCTTCTGAAAGGTTTCTTTTGTCCTTGGAACACTTTCCGTCCAAAAGTGCCTATGAACCGGGTATCATTTACACAGCCCTGGCAGCCCATGAATGGAAAGAAGAGACAGCATATAAATGATGTTAACACTTGTGGCGACTATCGCTACAGTGCTCTTGAAGCTGTGACAAGCGGAGAGAGCGAGGAAATACTTCGGATGTGTTTGGATAAAGGGGCTGCTTCCAGTGAAAATCCAAACAAAATCCAGACGCTTTTTGAAAAGGGGGCTAATGCAAATTTCCCTGCGAGCCACTTTCTGTGAAAGCGAGAAAACAGCATCAGGATTAAGGGGTCAATATAAGCACTGGGGTGAAGACATCCATACTACTCTCCAGGCTGTGTCATACGAGAGTCAGAAGAGAAAGTACAAGTATGTTCATGGGCTATCGAGTAAAATACGTAAGATTAAATAAATTAAGAGATAGCATCTTCCTTAATCCTCCTTATGTTGTATGAAAAGAAGCTGTCTACATGTGCATGATTATACATTTCCATATGCATATAATGAGCTTTATGACGTTAACGACTACTTACAACTAAGCAGAATGTCGGAAAAACCTTATCTCAGCGTGGCTCAGACTAGGAAGACGGTTTTGCTTCTGTACCTTTTGCGCCACAGCACTTTTCAGCCAATCAGACCTCAGACCCACCCCTCCCACGCAAAACCGTCTCCTAGTCTGAGGCACGAGTGTGATCGTTTATATGATAGCCTCCTACAACAAAAATTGAAATCATCAAAATAACCATTACAATCAAGAAATAAGCACCCAAATTTACTCTAATACGCATAATTACGCCATTGCGAATTCAATACAATTTTTTTGGTATTTTTATGGCGTTTGGTTGTTGGTATATTCCACAAAGTTACATAAGTATCGTCACTCCCATCAGTTGCCACATCAAACTAACGCGATACGCCAAATAGTTTCCCACGCATAATAATGGATAAACAATTGTCTTTTTATAGCCTGTCCAGGCCACGAGAATAATAACGCGTTGAGACGAAATACAGCGCGTTGAACCCAGATGGCACATACCGTACCATCAATCCAGTCAAGCCATTCAAAGAGCCATTCAAAGAGCCATTCAAAGAGCCACGCTCTTAAATAACAATACGAGCGTGGTCGAGGCTAGAAAGAATATGCTTTAAGCTATCAACAAAGTTTGGGATTGATTGGAACATTGTTGGTTATATTATCGCTGAGTGTCAGTGTTATATAATGGTAAAAAATTGGGTTTCTCACCCCTCGAATCAAATAATACATCAACATCACGCCAGAGAAATCAGAAAAAATGCTAACGGGCTTTAGAATATCTATCACTAGCCCTAAGAGCTTGTTTGAAATGGATAGGGCCTTTTGTTGCTTCGCTGTCGCTTAATAGGGGTGGTGATTGGTTTGGTTCAGGGAGCAACCTAAATTTAGGTTTTTGTCTATGTTTTTTGAATCTTTCCACTATAACATATAAAAATTATATACAGGGCTTGAAATGGAATCTATCTACCTCCGAGCGTTTAGAAATTCAGAATATCTATTTTTGTTGTTTAGTTATTGATTATTTCGTCGCAAAGATGAAAAAAATTTGTATGGCGTTTCAGGGAGCAACCTCAAAAATTCACACTCGTGTCTTAGACTTGAAATTTTGACACGACACGCACAGCCCCACAGATACATTGGCACGGTCCATGTCTGTGGTGGCTGTGGTGGCGTAAAAAATTTCAAGGCTAAGCTCGCTAAGATAAGAAAAACCATGGGTAATAATGAGCATTGACATCACTTGGAAAAAGCTTCTATTCTTCAATCTGCCCCACTAAATTATGAACGTGGAATTTCTTAAGGAATCAATTTCACTACAAAACCGACCTGACACTTACTCATACACAACAATCAACACAACAAAAGGAGAGGGAAATAAGTGCTAAAGATCTACTGAAAGAACCGAAAAATAATCATCAAGATGTCGACGACCGTGGAAAAGGTAAGTTGTCCATTGTTTTACGTGCTTGTGGCCGATCGGAGCGCTAATATATTTGTAGATCAAAGAGATCGAGTCCGAAGTAAGTGGATAAGGCTTGAAAAGGCTTCTCGAATTAGGCGCAGGATTCAGGGATGTACTAACGACTCTGGCTAAACAGATGGCTCGTACTCAAAAAAATAAAGCAACTTCATTTCATCTTGGTCAACTGAAAGCAAAGTTAGCTAAACTAAAGCGAGAGCTCCTAACCCCGTCATCCAGTGGCGGCGGTGGTGGAGGTGCTGGCTTCGATGTTGCTAGAACTGGTGTTGCTAGTGTTGGCTTTATTGGATTCCCATCCGTAGGGAAGAGTACTTTGATGACCAGATTAACTGGCCAACATTCAGAAGCAGCCGCGTATGAATTTACTACCCTGACATCTGTACCTGGACAAGTCATGTACAATGGTAGGGCTTTCGCAACTTTATTCGCTACCCTTACCCCCTTAGTGTTCCTCATGAACAACGAAACTATGGATCAAGTCTCCAACTCCAACTCTAACATTGTTTCTCACAGGAGCACCGCTGCAGATGATCGACCTTCCAGGTATCATTGAGGGTGCTAAAGACGGAAGAGGCCGTGGTCGTCAGGTGATTGCCGTTGCTAAGACATGCCATTTAATCTTCATTGTCCTAGACGTGAACAAACCCCTGACAGATAAACGAGTCATCGAGACAGAACTGGAGGGATTTGGCATCCGAATAAACAAACAGCCGCCTAACATTACTTTCAAGAAGAAGGACAAGGGTGGTCTCAACATAAGCAGTACCGTGCCTCTAACCCACATCGACAACGACGAAATCAGGGCTGTAATGGCCGAATACCGTATCAACTCTGCGGATATTGCGATTCGCTGTGATGCCACTATTGACGACTTGATCGACATTCTAGAAGCCAAGAGCCGCAGCTACATACCAGTTATCTACGTCCTCAACAAGATCGACGCGATTAGTATAGAGGAGCTTGATCTATTGTACCGAATCCCCAACGCAGTACCCATTAGCTCCGAGCATGGATGGAACGTTGACGAGTTAATGGAGGCTATGTAAGTCTCGACCGACTTTCATATGGGAATGCGTAGAAACGTAGAAGCGTAGTGCTCACATGGCTAATCTCCTTTCTTACGTAGGTGGGACAAGCTAAAATTGGTCCGGGTTTACACGAAGCCAAAGGGGAAGATGCCGGACTATTCGCAGCCTGTTGTGCTTCGTTCCACTAGGTGCACCGTCGAAGATTTTGTAAGTACTTCCTTCGTCTAGGCAACTTTTCACTAGCACCATCCCTCTAACCAATGAAAAATCACAAGTGCAACGCAATCCACCGAAGCATTGTCGAGCAGTTCAAAACCGCGGTCGTTTACGGCAAGTCTGTAAAGCACCAACCTCAGCGCGTGGGGCTCGCCCACGAATTGGCCGATGAAGATATAGGTACGCACTATTCCTTGCTTACACTCCACTGCCTTTGCAATAATTCTTACAGCATGCTAATCCTGTCCACTTTCAGTCACGATTGTCAAGAGATGAGTGGCTAGAGTTGAAAAGGGGCTAAAACCCTCCACGCGCCCTCGACCCGCAATCATAGATGGCGTCGAGAGGTATCCGGTCAACTTGCCTGCGTGCACAATTCCGAAGTCGCGAGTGCTTTACTAATAAGATGGAAAACTTCGTAATGATACCTTGGAAACTTAGAAACATCTTTCGTCTTATGATGCTGTTGTTGGACAGCTTCAGGAACAGGGGCTTGCGGTTGTCTGCAGATTTGCGGATCAAGGGACAGGCCATAGCCGATGCGGCGCACCAGCAACGGGAAGTATTGTTTGCTTTTTTCTGGAAGCCCGATCATGCAAAGAATGATACAGTAGTGGACGATTTACATGCAAGAATATGAGAATACGTAAAGCCTTGGGCTACGAAAAAAAAATAAAAAGTTGATAAGTTGTAATTTTTCGAGAATATTGTTATATTTCCCCCTTTGCGGGGAAACCCACGATGCACGCATACTTAGGTACGTTGAATTCAGAATGCCCGAGCGTACTCCGCATACTCCAGATACCCAGGGCTGCACATCGTCACCACCTGCATAACCGAACGGGCCTCAGTTGCTGCGGCCATGTCTTCCGACAAAGCGTGGGGATGCATGAGCGGTGCCTTACACTAGCTTTATCTTTATGAGGCCGTTATGATCCCCCCCCCTTTCGCTTGTTCGCTGTACACTAGGCACGATATTCTCTGACTCTTGATTTACGCCACAATGATGAAGAGTCTAGCGAGAGTGTTTACCGGTTATTGTTCTTGGCCTTGTTTTCCGTCGTTGCACCTTAACGACCGGAATATTTTGCAACCACTCACTGGCTCAGCATAGAAATTATCCACTCCCTAAAGTGGCCGAACGGCAAATTGGTACCTGCCTCCAACCTTTCACAGCGCTTCTCTAGCCGCCCAAAGTACATCTGACAGCCCCCTTCGTGGAGAAAGGTTCTCGATCGTCTGGAAAACTTTGAGAAGAGGGGGGGTCATTATGGGCCCAACTCCTATCCAACAAAGCCATCGTATCTCTTTTTTTTTCTTTTTGGGGGGGTTTTTTTTTTAATATTGTCGAAAATTTGGTTCATTATTCATCTACCTCATGGCCTACCCATGCGAGGCCATGCGAGACAACACTACCACCACACAACAGCACCACACAGTTCCGAATTGGGTAACTGGCCTGAACGACAAATAACACCATTGTTCTATTTCCTGTTACCATGTTTCCAATTTCGCAGGCAATTCAAAGCGACTGCGATGCTACCGTACACGTACACTCGCATTCGATGTTGTCACTGTAGCTTTCCTATCAAATGCCGGGCTGTCCGCTGCTTAACAGCCTCATTTTGAGCTTCTGGTAGCCTTGGCCTTAATATCCCTGTGGCCGTTTATGTGGCCGTTTATGTAGCCCGTTTCCCATCCCAAGGGGTCTCTCACTACCTTACATACATACATACATACATACATACCTACATAGTAGTTAGTACCTACCGCTACGAGGCAAGCGAACGACCGGGCTGCGAGCTTGTTGTCTCCAACAAAAATGTCGCACTTTTCTTCTTGATGATAGGTAATAATGCGGGACGATATGGCGTCAACCATGTGGTGTTTTTTTTTTTGACCTGATTCTCCATTGAAAATCTAAGATTACATCTAGTAATCTTTCTTTCAGCCCAGCCATGGGCCATGCTCGCCTTTCCCGGTTAGAAGAACCAATATCTCACGACGACGGATGTAGCGGTTCCAGATTTCGTAATATGTATGTACATATCTAGGTAGTGTAGGTAGATAGCTCAATGTCTATTGCCTATGTATGTCGACGCCAATGCCCATGTCATGCCATGCCATGCCATGCCATGCCTGTGCCTGCTAGTTCTACACTAGTTATGCCTTACCGCTTTTAAAATGTTGGACCTCGTGCCGCACCGCGCGTGCGTACCATGGTCGCCGGCTCCAAGGTTTGCGCACCTGGTTGCTGGTATCGTCCGAGAGAGAAGGGAGAAGAGAGAAGACAGAAGAAGAAGAAGAAAAAAATTATGGTTCGTCAACCAATGGCTGCTTTTACGACCCGAGTTATCGCGCGGCATGACGTTTGCTGCCTCGATCGCCGAGCAGCGCGCGCAGACAGGACCGTGCAGGATGCGTCTGTACTGTAGGTATTATGGCATGTATGTAGGTATTCTTCCTCTTAGGCTCCACAGCCGCGTTGTCGGCAGCTTACGGGCACATAAGCGGGCGGGCAGGGCAGGGCTGGCATGCTCATATGTAGATGGTCTCGAGTCTGGCTGGGATTATGTCCATGAAATCATCATCATCAATTCAACCATTACCATCAACAAAATGGAGGATCGGAGGATGGAAGTATGTATGTACACATGGTATGTAGGTAGGTAGGTAGGTACTAGTGTTAACCGACATCGAAGCTGCAGCGACCCATGAGGGGGGCATAATAATGAGCCTTGCATGAAACCGAGAGTGGGAAAGGAAATAAGATGAAATAATATAATACAATATAATATAGAAAAATCCAAAAAAAAAAAGGAGCTTCCTACAACAGGCGAAAGCGTACCTCGCAGCGAAGCTTTGTACAATACAATACAATACCAGGCTGTAACAGTAGCACAAATCTCGGCCTTATAGCTGGAGGTAACAAGTTACATACATGGGATACAACAATAGCATTGTTGAACCTATTTCTTACTTACATACCTCTAACCTAAGTAAATACCTATGCTTTTTCTTTTTTCGTCCGAAAGACTTGACACTAGGCTCGAAGGAGCTCCCTTGCTTTTCTAGGATTCAAAAAGCCTCTTTTCAGCAAGAATTCACTATTAATACTATGTATGTACATACATACATTAGGTAGGTAGGTATTATTAATGTATGTAGGTATGTATGTGTAGGTATGTATGTAGACATGGGATAGGATAGGATAGGATAAAGTCTGTCCAGGATGTAGATAAAACCAAGCTGACCAACTGGAAGAGAGCCCGGACCACGGAAAAGAGTACTGGATTCGCTTGGACCTCCTGACCATTTATGCCCAATCGCCCAACGGACCTCGGTGTAGGCCTCGCGTCGAGACCCGGAAATTATGTCCAATGGCGTCTCCGGCCCTTTCGTCTTTGCAACGTGCCCGTTGGCTGCTTTCTTCTTTTTTTTTTTTTTCTTTTTTTTTTTCTTTTTCTTCTTTCTTGATTTAGGATTGGGCCAACCCTTTTTGGGTCTATCATGTATGTATATACATATGTACCTACCTCTTTGCGTCTATCACGTTGGTGGGTTGGGAACGATGGATGTGTAATAGCTTGACGTTGAGCCGCCTGCTGAAGAACACCTTCAAATGTTCTTTCTGCTTTCTCTTACCTACATACGTACCTTAGGTTCCTACCTATGTAGATTAGTGCACACTTATGTAGCCGTCTCACCAACATTCGCTTGAGCGAGCCCTCACCGATGATGGAGGAGGATTTCTTAGGTAAAGGGGGTACATACATAGGTAGGTAGCTTAGTAGTCCCGAACGGTCAACGGGTTGGGGTCCTAAATGCTACACAAAGCTAGCTTGCCGCGACAGCTTGATCGAACAACCGTCATCGGCAGGTGTTACAAGGACCACGGCTAGACGAAATGTGCCTCTTAAGGCTGATGCCCTGTCGCATTGCTTAGCTATCTTGTCACGAGGTCATTACATATTACATACATACTTGGAAGAAACAATGCATACTGGACCTAGGTACATAGACATACATACATAGGCATATGTATCCAATATACACATGCTAGGTAGGCATGGCTCGGACTTGCGCATGCTATAGCGCTTTATGTATAGGTTAGGTATTGTAGGGCACATCTTGAACTTCAAACTCGAGGAAGGTAAGGTCACGGACACGGACACGGTGGCGTAGAGAGAGAGAGAGAGATCTCGACCCCTGTTGCATAACATCGATCTTTTACGGGCTACCGTGATCTTCAAATCTTTCACATGAGGTTAAGGCTTCCGCTCCCGGCATTAATGGTCTTCAACTAGGGTTTCGGATTGCACAAGTGTAAAAGTGCACTAAACAGTTCTAAACAGTTCTAAACCTGCACTTTTCAAATCAGTGTAGCACTTTTCGGGCCGGAAATATTCCGGACCCATATATTTAGGATTTGGGACCCATATTTAAGATATGAATTCAGTTAATTCCTGATAAATATCTTGGTTGAATATACCAAATTTGAGTTTTTGCTTTTTTGTAGCCGTAATATTATTTCAAGTTTAAGCCTCTTCGCGTGTTTTTAAGAGGCATATCGTGATAGTCACAAATTCGTAATATCGTAGCGACAGCAAGCTCGATATTATATTCCCTAAACATTATGGATTGAAGCTTAAGTGTAAGTTATTATGGTGATAGTAACGGTAGTACACTAGTGATGTTTTGGGAAAAGTGGGGAAAAGTGTAAAGTGTAAAGTGCTGTTTTAAACAGCACTTTACACTATTTAGCACTTTTCCGAAAAGTGCTACACTTTAGAAACCCTATCTTCAACCGATGAAATGTATGTAGCTTGGTGGAGCTATGTAGGATGGGAAGGGAGAGAGTGAGAGAGAGAGGAAGAGACCACAGAGCAGGGGAGCCAGAGCCAGGACCAGGAACGTTCGTCAAGTGTCAGAAAATAGTCGAGGAGGAAACTCACAGACCTTTGGGGGTCCTTCCCACCCCCGGTGCAATCGGCCTTTGAGCTTTGAGCTTTGGAGAGGGAGAAGGAGGAGGATGGGGATGGGGGAGACAGGGGAGAGAGAAACGACAGGGACCCCCGTATGCCGCTCATCTCAATTTGACCTGGTCAAAGTTGTCTCACAAACGGAGATAATGGCCATTACGCACCACCTTACCTGGTACCTACTTACCTATGATTGACAATTGTGGGAGTCGCAAGATGACCTCTCTCGGCTCGGCGGACACAACGAATCTCAATACCCCTCCTTTGTCATCATGTGGTCCGATTATGGCCGAATTGGTAAATCCAGACGAGCTACAGTTAGGTACCTTGTCGGACTTCTCACTGATGGATGATGACACTCCTTTTCCAAGGGCCACACTAATATTGTGTATGTACATACTAGGTATTGTACACATGTGCATACGTACATACATATGTAATAGAAGGTGAGTGGTAGTTAGTTAAGTGGTAAGGTAGACGAGTCGCAACGAAGGAAGTAACCAAACACCAAAGGTGAGCTCTACCTAACCGAACCGAACCGAACCGAACTGAACCGAACTGAACTGGTAATAGTATAGTATTACGATAGGTTTATGTAGTCTAACCTACATGTGTAATACGAGTGGGAGTCTCTTTTCAAATCGAGGTCGAACTTGAAAGATGACTGGATAAGCTACATATGTAGCTATGTAGATAGACCAGAACTTGCCCATTTGTAGATAATGTGTATGTAGGCCTAGGTAGGTATGTATGTATTAATGAGCAATGAGGGGCTCACCATATTACATAGCTACCTAGGCTAACCCACCTACATAGCACCTAGTTACCTACTTACCTACATACTAGGTATAGTGAGTACCAGGTATAGCAGCTAAGATGGTTAGAAAGAGAGAACAAGAGATCTGGCTCGCTAGCGACTGTCAAATAAAATCGTAGGAGTCTATTATGACGATCCGTAGTGGACGGAAACCGGTGGCAGATAGTGGCCCCTTGGCCCCATGTTTGCCCTATGAAAAGGCGATACGGTCCGTTTGGGACATGGGGGGGAAGTGGATCATGGACAAGCCATGGTAAGTTACCCTGTTGAGACCCTGTTACTTCAACTTTTACTTGTATTGTATTGTTTTGTATTGTACATATAATATTACTACCTAGTACATATTACCTAGTGTGTAGTTACATACAAACATCATGTCTGTGTGTAGGACCTGTAGGTACGATACTTAGTAATACCTACACGCCTACACATGTCACATACTACAGAGTATCTTACCAGGTAGTGTACTTACATGGAGCCATCCATAGATTCCATACCCTACCTAGTAACCTACCTACCCAGGTAACCAGCCAGAGCCCGTCAACCAAGTTCCGCTAATAAAATAAGACCTAAAAAAGGATACATAAAAATAATATAGGCAGTGGAGAAAGAAAGAAGAAAAAAAAAAGTGAAGCCAAAGCCAAGCTTCGTATGAAATACCTCATTGAACGATTTTCTCTTTCTCCGATTCAAGTTGAAAGAGGCACAGCAATGTCAGCGACTCGTTGATTTCCCAAGACCCTCCGTCGAAACCACCACCACTACTACCACTACTACTGAAGCCTGCAATCCTTCCCGTCGAGTTACCTCTGTTGGTGTCGCGACGGCTACCATGGTTTGGTCCTTAAGATTGCCAACCCGGTTTTTTAGTTGAACCGTCAAACCATTCATCTCAACTATCGTGAGCCTAAATATATCTAAGTACGTTTGGCCTGTGACAAGGGGTTGACGCTCTATTCGCTACCATTGTTCCCCATCTTTTTCTTTGGTTATTGTATTAATATTAATGTTAATATCGAAGGAGAGAATAAGAAAAAAAAAGGATATGTAGCGAATCGTGTCGTATCGTATCGTATGTATCGTACTTATTGTATTGTACATACATACATACATACATAGTACCTACCTACATACATGACTACCTACATATAGTTTAGATAAACTACTTACATGATGGGACTAGCAAAAGCTGACAAGAGGTAAGGAGAACAACGTCCCTTGGTCCAACTGCATGTGGGGTTTGTTCAGGGCTCATAATACCTAATAAGAAACAGGGCAGGATTTGCTATCGTCTCTTGTATTCATACCTAGTATTAATTCATCGCTTCTTTTTTCATTTTGATGATCCCCAAGGCCCCTAGTTCCGCCTCGGGAGCATCCAGTACCCGCACTTTAGTCAGATTCGGTTGACCTGACCAGTCCAGATCGGCTGGCCCCTCGTTCGCTCTCTTCGCGCGTCAACGCCAAAAGGGAACTTCCTTCGACGAGCACTTACAACTCAGGTTACCGCGTTAGTCAGAGCCAGAGACCTAATGGCCCATGGCAAACTGCCACTCTCCCATTCTCCCACTCTGCCACTCGAACGAGAGCATGAGAAGGACTGGCTGCCGAGACGCCCAGTCTAGTCCGAATCAAAGCCACAATATTTCGTGTTCTGAAATGATCAGAATCCAGTCGTTGCTATCACTGCTACTACTACTGCTACCGTTAGGTACTGCTGCTATGTCATTGTTGATGAAGATGTCTAATCTTCTCTGGTTCTCTCGCATTTCATTCGGCTTGTCTCATAAGACCGCTACGCTACCTTGCCCTCTTGCGTGTGTACGGCTTGCCGAGTGCCCGGGGGTGGCGCTTTCAGTTGCTTTTTGCGGCCCTTGCCAATCCCGTCTGATAGCATGGCTGTGTACTAGGTATTCTAGGATATAACTCTCCAGTTTGTGGTTTCTCTGACAAGTTAAAAAAGCACCGTAGCATCGTGGTCTCTCCACACACCTTGTGAAGATTCAACCCCGGCTAGCCAGCCCTCTTTTAGACGCACATCCACGGGCCTAACTACATTAATTCCTCTCTGTATTGTACCTCTGAGTAGGGACCCTCGTCCTGTCAGACCTGTCATACCACATCTTATCCCTTGAAGGTTACCACACACACCCCCCCCTTCTACATATGTATCTCTCATTATTCAGGGCCCCCGGACTCGAAGGACACCCACACATCCCTGCTACATGGTGCATATAGACTTACATATGTATCTATGTACGGTTTCCTCCACATGTTCTGTGTCTAGCATCTAGCCCTACCTTTTTGTCGTGCGTCTTGATATTCATATCTCAAAAGCCTAGCCATGACACTGCATTGCGGCGTCCTCTGTTAAGGAAATAAGACCCTCAATCGACGGCCAAGTTGGTCAAAACCAGCTCATTAGTCCAAGTTGCTTCTGTTTGCTACGCCGTCCACCCTACCACGTAAACTTGTCTGCCCTTCGGTCGTTTCCATTTACACCAGCAACAGCACAGGCCATTCTATCCCACTACTCCTCGATGTACACTGCTAAAGAAGGAAAGAAACAACGAAGGGAAAAGGAAACTAGAGAAAACTAGAACAACTCCAAAGGAGTGACATCGTTGTCTGACGGTGTAAAGAGTTGGGACCAGTTTATTACTAACCAACGGTAGGCTTCTGGGTATACTTGTTGATTGGTTCCTTTATGAAAAGGTTGGCCGTCTGTTGTTGCGCATAGGATACAACGACACCAGACAGCAAGCTATCTAAAATCCAGACTTACGCCTCCTTTCACATTCTCTTCTAGGGGAACTTCCAGGACGACCATCTACCAGACCACCAACTTTTTCTGCAGCTCCCAACTGCACACGAAGATAGTGGGCTATAGAATCAACGGGCTACGGCACACCTCTCCCTTTGAACTAATTGGTTGACTGAACCTGAATATGCATGCCGTCTTGCACCCGTAAAACCCGAGCTGCCAGAAGAACCGTCCCGGCAGATCTCCACAGTCACCAGCGCCAATCCCATCACTCTAACAAACTTCTGCTGCGGCTCATTACAAACCTACATAACGGAAGCAATAGGAAACCCCTCCATATCGTGACCAACGGTCAATGCGGGCTACAGCCTACAGATCCTACCAACTATCTAGCATAGGCGGCTCGACTGGACGGTAGCCATGCATAATACAATGATCGGTTCAACTGGAATAGACCAGGATAACCATATGGCTCATGATAACTCATATTCGAACGAACAATGGGTTGACATGAGCGCCTATACTCATTTGGCGATGACAAGCTATGGCGGTGATTACTACATCCCACCAGTGACTCATGGATTACCCTCCGAGTCCATCGGCATGGCTCCACCACCTGTTCCGCATCCAATGCACAGCCAGCCGCATAATAACTTTGCAAACCATCTTCCACATCCTTTGATAATACCAACGCAGCAGCCTTCTCAGGTTCCATGGCCCAGTCTCCGGACTAATCCCTCCCAGAGCTATTCAGCTCCTCCTGTACCGATCCCCCCAGCATCGGCTCCCATGAGGCAGCCACCGAAGCTACCCACGATTAACACGTCTCAACCCAGGAAGACCTTGACGGACGAGGATCGTCGGAATATGTGCCTGTTCCATGAGGATAACCCCCATGCTAAGCAGACAGAGATTGGCCAAAAGTTTGGCGTTGAGCGAAGGTAAAGTCGACAGGCGCCGAGACGAACCTCGATTGCTAACCATGCCGCAATAGCACGGTATCTAAGGTATTGCGAAGGAAGGAATTATATCTCAATCTGGACAGCCAAGGTGGATCTCCGGTGAAGAAGACCAAGGGAAAGTCTCCGCCGGACATTGAACGAGCTCTGGCGAACTGGGTAAGGGGTCAACAGAAGAAGGGTGTCGTGGTTAGTGATTCCCAGATGGAGGAGAAGGCGAGAGTATTCTGCACTGGCTCAGATAGCCCTCTCAAGACCATCACAGCTTCCTGGATCGAGAAATTCAAACAGAAACACAATATTGGACCTGGAAAACTGATCCGGAGAGCATCGGAAACCGCGATCCCGGACAACGCCCGACTGGACACAGGTTCGCCGTTAATATCCACGCAGACACCAGGAGGAATTTCACCAGCTTCACCTTCCAACCAGGCACAGTCTCCGCAGGCTCCTTCGATGACCGAGAAATCCGAGGGGAAAGACTCCATCTCGTCTAGCTTCATGGACTTCGAGACCAACGGATACCGCCATCCTCATTCACAGAGTTCCACCTCACTCTCCAGCGCCGTCACAGATCCACCGAGCTCGACATTCTCAGCAGGTGCTTTCAGTCCAGCCTCACAGTTCAACTTCTCCCCGGATCCAAACTCGGGAATGTTCGGTGACCGGAATCAGATCCATCCAGGAAATGCCAATTTTCAACGCCCTCGGAGTCAGACAGTGCCAGACCTAGGACCCCTCGACTACATCAACCAATCTCAGTCCAGCGAACCACTAACACCCAAGTACAGCCAGACTGGAACGGCGCCCTCCTCAGCTCTCGAGTCGCCCACCCACGAGATGCCAGCTCCGTCTTTCGGGGGGCTGGACTCGGCCATCTCTCCCACGCCGCTGCACCATGTGAGCAGCAACGGCAGTCTAGCCGGGCGATCTACCTGTTCAGGAGCAGCCATCTCCGGGACGCCGATGGTTTCATCGCCGAGTTCCCCGACGCAGGAGGACGCAAGGCGAGCAGCAGACACGCTGCTCAGCTTTCTGCAGCACTTCAAGTCCACGGGCCTGGTCGACCACAACGAGTTCTTGACTATCCAGAACCTGACTGAGAAGCTAAGGTTACAGCCACCACCACTACCGCTGCTGCCGCCTCCACAGCAGCAGCAGCAGCTACATGGGGGTCCCCAGGCTAACTCAGCTACTCAGGGCCTCGGCGGGTTATCGCGGATACCGGAAGGCGACACCGAGATGACGGCTCCCCCACACCTAGTCAAGCTCGAAGCGACGATGACTGTATAGCAACCACACCTACCTACCTACGAGAAGCAGTATTATTTTGTAAAGAAGGAAGGAAAGCCAGCTTGTATTTCCTTTAGGTAACTATGGCTTGAGCTTCTTTCTCTACCTACAGCCAACCTGACCGGAATCCCCTTTGGCCTACCGCCGCGATGTACCCAACCAACCCCTCTCGTTACCAGAACCGATCATTTCGGAGCCTGTCGATAATATTTCGAGAGACGAGACATGAGGGCTTCTTTGTAGATGACTGGGAGAGTACTACCTATCTGTCTGGTTTCCCTGCTCGTCGGACTCCTACGTTCGACACCGTTGGATTTTTTGGGTGCCATAGGTAATTACGGATATTCGACGCCACGAATACAAGGGGCCTGACTGTCTTGCCTGGTGAGAGGGGCTTGCTTGATTGAGAACCGGTGAAGGAGCAAGGTGAAGGGAGAGGGGCGTGGAGGAGGAAGCAAAAAGAGAAGAAAAGGAAAATTATACCAACAAACATCAACACTAACAACAAACACATCGAGGCGTAATCAACTTCTATATATACACTATATTCTCACGAAGCATCATTCATCATTTATACATTACATTACATACCATATATACATTATATACCCCCACCCGACGAACAGCGACGACGACGACGCCCCAACGCGTGCGTATAAGCAAAATTATACCCCGGAGAAAGGGAGAGAAAAAATAACCCACCACAACAACAGCAGCAAGAGCAACAGCAGAAATCGAGCAATCGAATCAACGCGAAAGAAAGGATATTTTTTGTTCGGCGCTTTTATAATCAACCACCTCGTATAACTACCCACTGTGTCTTTTCATTCTTCTATACTTTTATTTATACCAAATGTGTTCTGGCAAAAGAAAAAAACTCCCCCCCCCCCCCCAATACCAACTCTGAAATCTGGCTCTGGCAACAGCACGAAAAGACTTTGTCCCGCTCACGCGAAATATTATCCATCTCCATCACGCTTGCAACTTTTATCATCAACGAACATCGACCGAGAGGAAAAACGAAAAAGAAATCAAGAAAAAAAAAAAAAAGAAAACCAGGAGGGGAGGAAAGCAACACCATCGTCACGACCAACCAACCATTTCGTCTATTCTACTTCTTCTGATATCTTCTCTTCGTAGCCTTTTTTCCCCTTTCAAAGAAAAAAAAGGGGGGGGGGGGGGCGGGGATAACTCAGCGTATATATATATATATACATATAGGTACCTAGGCAGGCAGATATTACATATATATAGCGATCCCTTTCTTCTCTCTCTCTCCGCTCTGGCTCCTTCGTTACTTGTGTTTCCAGCCAGCAACACGGAGCAGAGGAAGGAAAAGACTACAACAACAACTTCAACTACAGAAACAGGAGCAGCACACACACACACACACACACACACACATTCGTTAAGAAAGAAGCCCGGTAGGGTACTTAAGGGGAGACAGCACCAAACCACCAACCAAACCACCAGAGCTTGTTGTCGCCCACAGAAAGACAAAGGGGGAAGGGGAAGGGGGGATATCCATATGGATGTAGGTACGGATGGTTGGGAACGGACGGGGCGTGAAATGGTGTTCGGTGATAACCGGTGTTTTCAACATATCATATCTATCGCGCGTTTCTTTTTCTTCTTTATCTATACATATTTTTCTTCTTCAAAGCAAAGCAGCACTATCAGGGCGTTTATTCATCTTGGTGTTTTTTTTTCTAGGGACCCTTTTGTAAAAAAAAGGGGTAGGGGATAGGGGGGGAAACCACCTACTTAGTAGAGGTGCTGTACCTAGGTATGTATGTATGTATGTATGTACTTCACATCAACTAATTGACTTGCACAACCTATTATTTTGTCTCTGTTTCGTTGCTTATCCGTAGGTACCTTACCTAGGGTATGTGGTAGTAGCCAATATACGTTCTCCCACGAGAGAAGGGGGGGATCTGTCTACCTACGCACGTAATAGTATAACAGATTTCGCCGTGTACACGAATATCTAACTACCTAGCATGAGAGATTCAGGGGTCAAACCAACCTACCTACATACTAGGTTGTCTACTAGGCAGGCAACAATAAATCACCACTATTATCGTAACAACCCAGGAAACAAAACACAACGTCGCAGTGCAGAAGAGAGAGAGAGAGACGGCCAGGTTACGCTACGCTTCTATATTTTCCTCTCTGTTGCTCTTTTCTTTTTTTCTTTTATTAAAAAGAAGAAAAGAAAAAACGAGGGTAGGGATTTTTAGGAAACCCGAGCAATCCCAAACAGAGACCGATATTTATTTTTGGCCTTGTACTTCGTAGTGGTAGCAGTAGTAACAATAGTAATAACAATCATTATTACCTGTTATGTAGCATTCACCACCGAAGCAGAAGCCCTTTCTCCAAAAACATGAGCAGCAACAAAAAGACAAAACATCAAACAGAACATAGACGAACATCTATCCATAGTATCTAACCCCTAACCCCTAACCTCGACCCTACCTATCTACCACCCTACCTGCTACCCGACCTACCTATGTAGGTACAAGTAGGTACAATACAGTACATACCTGGTAGGTACCTAGGCAGGTAATGCCGAGAGATCGAACAGAAAGTCTAGGCGACTCTCCATCCTCCATCCTACTTTGCCGGAATTTCTCCTCCCCTGGGCCCCGTCGTTAGTTTCATTTGCTTGCTTGCTAATTAGTGTTGGAAAGGATATTAAAAAGGATATTAGAAAGCAATAAGAAAAGAAAGGTACCCAAGTAGCTAGGTAGGTTACATTGCATGAAAGAGAACAATCCCCGATCTGGAAAGGGCGAATGCATAACAAGTTGAAACTCCTCGTGAAAGTTCATTGTCAATCCGTTCTAACAGGAGTATAATTTATGTAGGTTGGGTATCAATCATTACATTACTTATTTCGTTTACGAGAACCGATGGACTGGCCCTTCGTTAGTTAGTTTAGTCGCTCTTCCCATAATTCAGTAATCCCCTTCTCGGCTAGTTCGGGCATGAGGCGCACGAGAATGAGCTCCAGGATCCCATACACCAGATGCTTGTTGCAATAGGCATCTGAGAAGACATCAAGAATGTCTGTATCTATCTCTGATATGATTCGGCTCTCATCTTCGTCATCGGCCTCGTCACACATGTCAGCCTGAAGATCGCCACCGACCTCGGTCGGCTGCACACCGGTTTCCCCAAATTGCCGCTTTGAACCTTCTGGGGTCAACGTTGCATGACTGTCTCTAACAGATTTGCCGTCCTCGGTAAGCCGCACGCGTGCAACTTCCTCTCCAGTGCTATTGGTATTATGTGCGGCGTTATTACTGCTGCCCTTGGACGGTCCGGACCGCGAACTCGGACCCTTTGGAGCATTGGTCGATCTGGTGGACCAAGGCCAGGTACTGCTACTATAATAAAGCCTGCCCACCCTCTTCGGAACAAGCGCCAAAAGCGCGTTAGCGCACCTGCGACGCAGGGCGGCCAGCTGCTCATCGGATGAAGGAGGAATCAGGCTGGATGCGCCTGGGGCGTTATTGGGGAAGACGGCGCCGCGCACAACTCGAAGGAGCGGGGGAAGACGGGTAGGATCGAGAACATAGGCGTGAATATGGTGTGAGAGAAGTCTGTGCGAGATCAGTACAGTGCAAATCTTGTAATGGAGAACATTAATAGAAGCTTCTAAGGAAATATGTTGTAGGGAGCGTGGGCCGTGGGGGGGATTAGTGGTACAGGTGCTACCGCATACGGGATAGTTCGAGGGGAACGAGGGAATAGGTAGAATATGATGTTGCATCGACTGGTAAGATGCTGAATTCTAAACAGTCAAGTTTCCTGGGGCAGACCAATCTGGACTACATCGTACTGTACGCTGTAGAAATGTCCTGTAACCTGTAACCATGGCTTCATGGGATAGGGCATCAATGACGAAATGTAACCAGGCTTTGATATTGATTGATAATGCAAAGTCAGTCAACTATGCATGATAGTATTGAATAAACAAAAAAGCGATATGAGGCTACAAGGGGCCAAACAGCTCTGCCTGGAGAAGAGAAGGTCGTACAAGGGAGCTAAAGGCTGCATGAGCCTTGGAGCTACACTTGGGCCTTTCCGATCGGGGAAGAAATGCGACGATGATAGTCTTTTTGGCGCGAATATGCGAACCGATACCATACCCAACAGCCACAGCATCTTTCTCGGAAAGGTTTCAAAGCACCCCTGCCTAAGCTGCGCAAGCTAATGCCACCCTTCGACGATCAGGTTTGACAGTATCCAAAAGTTGATTTCCTGCCGTCGTCCCGTCCCGTCGAATCGAATTTGGATATAAAGTGTTATAGTGGATAGTAATATATTACCTACTACTAGGTAGGCACTAAAGTGAGAACACTAGGTAATATCGGGGTACCTTGGGAAGAGAGCTAACTATTATCGTAGGTACCTAGCCTGCTAGACCTCACATGCAACTTTCAAAGAGATCTAGCTAAACTTCCTGCACGCCGGAGGTATTGTCCGTGCGCGCGGGAACGGTACATGGCTAGCAGTGGTGGGGCCTACTATAAGCTGTACCAGACATGCCAGAGTCCAGACATGTACATACACATGTATGTACTATGTAATATGTATGTATGAAGGGAGTGGATGGGAAAGGGATGAAAGGGAAACGACTTCGTGGCGTGGTACAGGGGTCAAACAAACTGACTGAGAGCCTGAGAGGGATCCTTGATCGAGGGCAAGGAATCCCTGCAAGTTCTAAAGTTGGGCGCGTAAATAAGGCTCGCGGATGGCTAGGAAGGCCTGCCACACTCAGCCCCGCGCCGTTTATCGTGCAATCGGATCAAGGATATTCAGCTTTAACCGGTCATTGGTCGTCGACGAAGAGAGCCCTGAGATGAGGGTTTTATTCGTTGATTTCATCGCGAACTCGGACTTGGGGGACTGTTTGTTTATCCGGTTGCGAAATCAATCATGAAGGTATTTGCCATGTTGCAATATACTAATACCCCCCTCCCCCTTTTCTTTGGAATATAGGGTGGCCTAGCCTGGGCTTAGTATGTATCTGCATCTCCTTTGGTAGATTTGCCAAGTCGATATCCGAACGTTCATGGAAATTAATCCTGTGACTAAGAGGAAATGTCCGTCATGCACACTTGCGAGACAGGTCGTTCTTGGAAGATGAGTGGACAAAGCTTGGATCCAGTGACCTGAAGCGCATGCGAGGTGACGAGATAAGTGCTTCCGGGGTGGATGAAGAAAGGAAATTGATTCGCCTACCTATCGATCATCCCATTAAACCCTGCGAGCTGCCCAGGGCCTCTGACTGCTCCCCATTGAACCATGGATAAGGCTCCGCTCATCCATGGCATGCGAGTGTCTATTTCGAGCAGGTTCCCAACGCAAGACCAGAATTTGAAGTTGGCGATGGGGACTTTGACTGGCTGTGTGTAAGCCTCGGGAGTTGGTGGAGGGTGGTAGGACTCTTTCCGATTACCATGAGAGGCTTGGTCTACTTGGCGGATAAGAGTAGGGTTAGACCTTGGAGGAAGTGTTCGAGAGAGCATAATTGTGCTGATGATGAATCGTATCGAGTTTACAATAATGAAACCCCACTGGATCAGAGACCAGAATGCCTGCTGGACGTACAAGCCCTTTTTGCTCTTAGACGGGGAACTGATGCCGTAGCCCGCCTTTAGATTAATGGCCGGGCTGGTATTTCGAAGCCTAGAAGCTTCAACTGTGCCTCTCGTATGCGCTACTCTTGCCAGAATGATGAGACCTTCCCAGATGAGCCATGGCTCCGAAACTTTATTGGCAATTAGATTGCCAATAACGAGTTCTGAGAATAGCTGTCCCACCAGCGCCGTCAGGCATTCATTCTCGAGATCTTCCGTCGGAAGTAGCACGGCCAGGACTCCCCGAACTAGGAGTTGACGGTATGTACTTTCATTGTCTGCCTGAGCTTGGATGATGCTGCTATCCTCCGACTTGGGTACTGGGGACAGGGCTGGTAGTGGCCAGAGCGAATGGTAGATCTCACGTGGATTGGCCTCTACTGGTGGACGAGCTACTGAATTCTTTGCGGTCCGATAAGCTGTATCGTGTTATTAGCAACGTGGTAGTGACACTAGATTCTAGACCCAATTCGTTCGAAGAGTGAGACATGGTAGCTGACCTCGGATGTGAGCATTTAGCAGTTCTGGTAGCTCATCGAACAACAAACTCTCGAGGTCTACCTTCCGTAACCTTTGTTCCAATGCGCGGGTACAATGGGCAATGATTTGCACAATCTCAGCAACAAACGTCTCATCTGGCGTGATTTTGGTGTACCAGTTCTGTACAAATTCCTTTATGATAATGGCTATGAGGGCGTACAACTGAAGGTCCACATCATTGCGGCTAGTAAGAGGTGGAAGTAAGTCCTGAATGGGTGCAGGTGTGCTCCTCCCCCTATCAGCCAAATGTTGGGCGCAAAGGACCCGACGTATCAAGGCAGCGGTGGCCTTGTCGGACAAGAAGTCGGAGGATATAGGACGCGTGGGTCGACGAGGCGCCGAAGGAGGTGGAGTCACACGAGGCGAATTAGAAGGTTTGCTGCCAGTGGAAGAGGTGACGGACTCGGGATTGGTGCTTGATGTTGCTGGTGCCTTTAGGCTGGTTGTCGGACCACCTTTTGGCGGCATGGGTCCTGGCGATGCGGTCGCCATTTGCCCGGCCGAAGGAGAATGTGGTTTTTTTTTTTTTTTTTTTACCGAATTGTCATCGTGGCAGTCAGTTAAACCTAGTAGTATTGGAGGGGGACGAGGAGGAAGAAGAGTCTTGTCTGTCGGCGGTTAATAGCGTGTATGGAGCTATGTAGGATGGTATACTGTACTAGACTGCTATGTAAATAGTATGTACTATGTAGAAAGAAGGGGTGCGCCGTCAAGTTGAAAGTGGATTTATTATGTGGATTGATTTCTTTGGTTATGCCGCTAACTGGCTAGACGTCGTCGTTTGCTGCTGCTTCAAGAACGATTATTTGCGGTTCCTTTTTTTAATTCAATTATTACTAACATTAATGAACCTTCCAGGTTACTATGTATATTTTAAAGGGTCCGCCGCAAACCTGCGTCGCATGTCAACTGCCCGCAGCCCGTGCCACCTGGAATGACGTTGCCTCAAATCGCAGCGGAACGCCCCGATAACCCGCAGCACCACGCATATCGTCATAATGCTAACCGAGAAAGCACAGGCTTTTATTAGCGTACCACCGATCAGCTACACATGTATTGTACATATTATTGTACATACATCTATGGATACATTATGTAGGTAGTAGTATGACTTCAATGTTGTAGAACGTTCGTTGAGCCTCATCAATGATACATACTACATACTATACATATGCAGAATTACACATATATTTGTTAGTAAGGCTAGTTGCTACGCATATATATCAAGTTCGAAGTTGTGGATTTGCATCACTTCAGTTCTATTTTTATACAGCAAAATACATGTAATATAGACTTGAAGCGGATCGCGATATTTATTCTTATAAAGTGACACAACTTTGTACATGATCGAGCCATAAGAATTCCATATTCACCTTCGGCTGCTGAGGCTTCTAAGATAGGTATACCATCTGGTAGTATGCACAAGTTGACCGGATAAGATTTATATCTTATTCAGTGTCCTTCTTCGTTGCTTCGTATCTGTAATGGTGGTTAGAATTATGAAGCTCGAGTCCTTATTCAATTGTGAAAGCACATACCTCTTTCCTCGGAAGGCCCACACCCCCCAGTTACCACAACTGATATCTTGCGGATCTAGGTCATTCAAGTCCCATCGCAAACTTCTAAAGGTGTTTTCACCAGGCTCCATGAGCATGTCAAACTCCCCACGGCAGGTTTTCCTCACCCATTCGATATCTCTATCCATGTCGTACTGTGTATAGCCCGTCACTATGATCGGTGCCTTTGTCTCGAGCAATAGAGGTACCGTTTCTGTCCACTCGTGAGAGCTGGCTGGGTGACCTAAGCCTGGATGGAACATGACAAAACAGTCAAAATAGGGGTCGTATGGGTAGAACTGGCCGGTTTTGTGGAGCGTATGATAATAGTCCACGATGGTACTGATCTTCATCGTTGGCCACACTCGGTCCTCTACGATGGCACCAAACGGATTAGAGGGCGTTCGAGGTGGCAACGGGAATTCATCATCTCGATTTGCCATGCTTTCAGGTCCAATAAAAATGAGATGAAATTTCCCCCGGGGGAACAAGTGAGCTAACTGGACCCAGACATTCCGGGGGAGAGATGATTCAGCACGAGCACCTAATATGAATATTCTCACTGGGGGGGCTTCGGGGCGCAGGCCTTTGATTTCTATCCCTCCACCAGTCATGGGTGGATGTAAAGTATATCGTAAGGCGCTTAGGCTCTTCAAGCCTTCGGGCGTGAGTCTGCCACCTTTCCTGATATTGTAAGGACTGAGCTCATGAATGATGCTTCCTATAGTTATTGGGTAGGTTAAGAGTCTTGTGACTTGTCTCATACTTCGGTCGTCGTTGATGGCCTCGAACTGCCTTGTGTAGAGGAACGTGTCCCAGTTGATCATATTGACAGCAGCTTCTTCTATTTGTGGTCCTGCATACTCGAACTCGGGGAAAAACCTCCCGGAGCGAAGATCGTGGTCGTCTTCATTGATCTGTCGTAGCGTATCGCAAATCTTCAGATGAGCCTCATAGTCTTCTCCCCAGTGTTGCTCGCTACAATAAACGGGGACTCCACAGTCCGGGCACTCAAATTTAACGTGAGCCGGTGCCTGCGTCCCGGAACTTACGGGGGCTTTAGTATCATTCGGGATTCGCGTGGTCTGATGATCTGGATGCGGGCAACATCCATGTTGCCTTATGAAAGCAGCACGGCGCCGCATATCAGGAATTGGCGAACTGGAGAACGGATGGAATAGGTCATTAGGGCGCAGAATGGGTGGCTTCGATGGGCTTTCAGATGCTGAGGCCGATCCTAATACAACCGAACTATCTTCAGCCGGTTTAGACTGTTGCCCAAATAGGGATATGGACCTAGAGAGACCAGTCCTGGGCTGGCATGCAAGACCGGGTTGCTTTGAATGTATACTCGAGGTAGGAGGGCCATTTTTGCGCAACGTACGAGGAGGGGCGGCTTTGGAAAATGACCTCGTAATGGGTGGCCGAGACGAATTAACGGTAGAGAGTCTTGCGCATGCTCGGCAAGTATGTGATGCCGTGAGTCGTATTGAGGGCTCCATCGTTAAGAGCAAGCGATCAACAAATCATCCGATGGTGGTAATAAACTTGCGACTTGCGACTTGCGACTAAGTAAGCTCAACAATAAATTTGGAGCTACATGTCTATGTCGGCGTTTATGTTCATGTGGGCCCGTGTGTCTGTACCTATGTATTAATAGTATGTAACCTGGTACCTTAATACTTGAGCAACTTGAACCAATCCAAATTCAACTGGTCAAATTGAAATTGAGTTTGGAATATTAGTTACTAGGTAATGTAGTGGGTTTGCGGATAAAACTTAATCCCTGACAAGCTCCACACCAGCTTTTATGGACGGGTTGATTGGAAACAAAGTTTCGGTTCTTCCAATCAAATTTCTGCGTCGTGAACTTGGAGCTACATCAATTTCATGAAAAACCTTTGAAGCTTTAACTTAATCATTTCACACACAATCCCTACGCAGGAACAATCCCACAAATCATTTTCTACATAGCGACAAAGAAATAGAGAAACTAGAAGAGTCGCGCAGGCTTCCTGCGCATCTGCTGCTGCGAAGATGGCGACTACTTCTAATATGTTTCTCTACTCTCTCACAATCCAACCTCCCACTACCATCACTCAAGCCATCATCGGCCAATTCTCTGGCACAAAAGAGCAACAGATTATTACAGCTTCCGGCTCAAGGCTTACTTTATTGAGGCCTGACCCATCTCAGGGAAAAGTTGTCACTCTTCTAGCCCACGATGTTTTTGGCATCATCAGGTCCATTGCTGCCTTCCGTCTGGCAGGAAGCAACAAGGGTAAGTCAACACCTCCCATACTTGTGAGGCTTCACTTAGTGATGTTGAAGCTGTGTCGGTAGAAACACTCGGATTGAAGTCTCGACTCATGGTGCGGCTTCTGGACGTTCAAGAACCCGTTATTTGGATACAATCTCGCTAACTACTATATTGTCGTAGACTACATAATACTTGCCACGGATTCGGGACGCATTGCCATAATAGAGTACATATCACAACAAAACCGATTCAAGCAACAGAAACTTGAGACCTTTGGCAAATCAGGCGTGCGTCGTGTTATTCCAGGGCAGTACTTAGCTTGCGACCCTAAAGGTCGGGCGTGTCTCATCGCCTCGATTGAAAAGAACAAGTTGGTCTATGTTCTAAACCGAAATGCTCAGGCTGAGCTTACCATTTCTTCACCGCTAGAGGCGCATAAGCCCGGAACAGTTGTACTTTCCATGGTTGCTTTAGATGTTGGCTACGCAAATCCAGTCTTTGCAGCCCTAGAGGTCGACTACACCGAGGCAGACCAAGACCCGTCAGGCCAGGCATTAACCGAGGTGGAGACTCAGCTAGTCTACTACGAACTTGATCTTGGATTGAACCACGTTGTTAGGAAGTGGCATGAGCCGGTTGATCCTACTGCGTCCATCCTCTTTCAAGTTCCTGGCGGCAACGATGGACCCAGTGGCGTTCTTGTATGCGGAGAGGAAAACATCACGTATAGACACTCAAACCAAGAAGCATTCCGAGTTCCAGTACCTAGGAGAAAAGGGGCAACTGAAGATCCTCTGCGGAAGCGTTCCATCGTTTCAGGTGTCATGCATAAACTGAAAGGAAATGCGGGAGCATTCTTTTTCCTGTTACAAACTGAAGATGGCGACCTCTTCAAAGTCACAATTGACATGGCTGAAGATGAGGAGGGCACCGCAACAGGAGAGGTGCGCAGACTCAAGATTAAGTATTTCGACACTGTCCCTGTCGCCTCAAGCCTCTGTATTTTGAAGAGCGGATTCTTGTTTGTTGCTAGCGAGTTTGGAAATCACCATTTCTATCAATTCGAGAAACTGGGCGATGACGATGAGGAGCTAGAGTTTACAAGCAGCGACTTCCCAACGGATCCCCAGGCATCATATAAACCTGCCTACTTCTATCCCAGACCAGCTGAAAATCTAAGTTTAGTTGAGAGCGTCGATTCAATGAATCCCCTGATCGATTGTAAGGTGGCGAACTTGACAGGCGATGACGCCCCGCAGATTTACTCCATTTGCGGAAATGGTGCTCGAAGTACATTCAGAACCCTTAAGCACGGTCTTGAGGTCAACGAGATTGTGGCCTCGGAGCTTCCAGGTGTTCCATCCGCTGTTTGGACTACGAAGCTCAACCGAGATGACCAATACGATGCATATATCATCCTCTCTTTTAGCAACGCTTCTCTAGTGCTTAGTATCGGAGAGACTGTGGAGGAAGTTTTTGATACAGGCTTCCTCCTGTCAGTACCGACGCTTGCTGCCCAACAACTTGGTGATGATGGTCTTATACAAGTTCATCCCAAAGGTATTCGGCACATCGTCAGAGGGCGAGTAAATGAGTGGGAAGCGCCACAGCATCGTTCCATTGTTGCTGCTTCTACCAATGAGCGCCAAGTAGCAGTCGCGTTAAGCTCGGGTGAGATCGTCTACTTCGAGATGGCTGATGATGGGTCATTGGCCGAATACGATGAGAAGAAGGAAATGTTTGGAACCGTCACCTGCTTAAGCTTGGGCGAAGTTCCTGAAGGCCGTTTACGAAGTTCATACCTAGCTGTTGGGTGTGATGATTGCACCGTTCGGATTTTAAGTCTGGATCTCGAATCCACTCTGGAAAGCAAGTCCGTGCAGGCCCTGACAGCTGCCCCGTCTGCGCTATCAATCATGTCTATGGAAGATTCCTCCTTTGGTGGCTCAACTCTATATCTTCATATCGGTCTTCACTCTGGTGTTTACTTACGGACGGTACTGGATGAGGTGACTGGTGAACTCACCGATACCCGTCAAAAGTTCCTCGGGCCCAAGGCTGTGCGACTATTCCAAACCTCGGTCCAGGGTCGTACGTGTGTTTTGGCTCTCAGCTCGAGGACTTGGTTAGGATATGCAGATCCCATTACGAAGGGTTTCATGATGACCCCGCTAGACTATAGCGACCTCGAATGGGGATGGAATTTTAGCAGTGAGCAGTGCGAGGAAGGCATGGTTGGAATCCAGGGCCAGAATCTAAAGTAAGTGAAATTTCTTATTCAATTCAACCGGGAGAATGATGAGAAAAAGGGATCCGAAGCTACGGCTACTGAGGTCTTTAACATTTGTATACCAATTGTTCCTACTGAACTTCCAACACCCATACCTAAACACGATGTTCGTCGTCGTGGCAAATGGCTAACAGTAATAGGATTTTTTCTATTAACCGGTTGGGAGATACGCTTTTGCAACAATCGATCCCTCTCACGTATACCCCTAAACGCCTTGCTAAACATCCCGATCAACCTTACTTCTACACTATTGAGTCCGATAACAACACCTTGGCACCCGAATTACGCGCCCAGCTTCTGGCCGACCCTGGCGTTGTTAATGGCGATGCTGCTGTGTTGCCTCCCTTGGAGTTCGGGTATCCTAGGGGCCGTGGTCGCTGGGCTTCTTGTATCAGTGTAGTAGACCCGCTAGTTGAGAAGCGAGTTCTGCAAACAATAGATTTGACCGAGAATGAAGCAGCTGTTAGCATGGCTACTGTTTCATTCGCAAGCCAAGACAACGAAACATTCCTCGTCGTTGGTACCGGAAAAGACATGATCCTTAGCCCTCGCCAGTTCACTGCAGGGTTCATTCATGTTTACAGGTTTCGTGATAACGGCAGAGAGATCGAGTTTATTCATAAAACGAAGGTAGAGGAGCCGCCAATGGCGCTAGTCCAATTCCAAGGTCGACTGTTGGCAGGTATCGGCAAGACCCTTCGCGCGTATGACCTTGGGTTGCGTCAACTTCTCCGTAAATCGCAAGCCGAGGTGGCACCTCAACTTATTGTCTCGATACAAACTCAAGGAAGTCGCATTGTCGTTGGTGACGTGCAACAGAGCGTGACTTTCGTCGTCTATAAATATGAGAGCAACAAGCTGATACCATTTGCTGACGACACAATACCACGCTGGACAAATTGTACGGCTATGGTGGACTACGAGTCGGTTGCGGGCGGAGACAAATTCGGAAACGTCTGGATCGTACGATGTCCGCAAAAAGCAAGCGAGGAAGCTGATGAGGATGGGACCGGAGCTCACTTGCAACATGCCCGAGAGTATTTACATGGTTCTAATCACCGCCTTAGTCTCATGAGTCATTTCTACACGCAAGATGTCCCTACTAGCATTAGTAAGACAAACCTTGTCGTGGGTGGACAAGACGTTCTTCTCTGGAGTGGAATACAAGGAACCATTGGTGTGCTTATCCCGTTCGTCAGCCGTGAGGATGCGGATTTTTTCCAAAGTCTTGAATCACACATGCGAACTGAGGACCCGCCACTTGCTGGAAGGGATCACCTAATCTACAGGAGTTATTATGCTCCTGTTAAAGGTGTTATTGATGGCGATTTATGCGAAAGATTCACGTTACTACCTAGTGATAAGAAGCAGATGATCGCAGGGGAGTTGGATCGCTCGGTCCGAGAGATTGAAAGGAAGATATCAGTAAGTGCATGCCCTTAAAACTCGAATGATATGGAGCTAATATTGTTAAAAAAAGGACGTTCGAACTCGGTCGGCATTTTAATGGAAACTCGGGTATTGGTGTCGGGAGTTATTTGGTGTCATGTATTTATGAAGAGATTCCCTGGGATGCTAACATTAAACCACCACATCGAATGGTGAGTATGGGAGTTCAAACAATTTCAAAAAGCATTTTGCTGCCCGAACATATAAATATGCACCTTTTATTTTGGTAGAGCTATGAAAAAGCCTTTTAAGTCCAAGAGTATTATACCAAGATGCCCATTGGAATCATGTCCGGCTACTCCAATATGCGTTTCTACCACTTGCCCGTTTAGTAGCCCTCTTCCCTTTGCCCACTGCTTCAACGGGGTGTGCCCGCTCCCATTCTTCGTCCGCAAGGAAGGCCTCGGTCGCCATATCAAGATTGTAGTTGGCCTGCTCTAAATATAGAACGGCAACGTCGTACTCGTGGACTTTGCATGCTACCATCCACCGGCGAATTTTCGATTTCCGAGCTTCCTCCTCCTCACCCTCGATTGGTCGCGGCGATAGGCTGACGCCGCCCTTATAAAATTCGCCGGGTATTATCACAGTCCGCCGACCTAGAATTAAGTGATCACTCGCGATGTTGTTGGCTCGTCTCAGGGCAAACGCAGGTACGCCATAGCGCAGAGATAGAGAGGGAATACTATCGTGTGCATGGTTCAGAAAGTGCAAAGTGTCCTCGGTTAGCTCTTGGGGAGAGTCATGCTTCTCATCTAGTTGATTTGATGGCTTTTGCGTTGCGGAAGGGGTATAGGGCGGCGGCGCTGCTGATGCCACTGTGCCTTTGGAGGAGGAACTGGCCGTAACTGAGGATTCGTAAGAAGGAGGATCTCTTAGACCCTGCGGTAGGGTTGTGTCTGTGAGTGAGATCTGGCAATAGGGACAGTAGGTGTTGAAGCGCGGGTTATTCTATTAGGGTTTGATGGTGGTTAGTTGAAACTAAATGTTCCTGATCCATACTTGGGGTACATAACTGCAACTAAACCCTAGATCGATGGTATTCTGGTATTAACTATTCAAAAAACAAAGTGAAGTTAACACACATTAAGGCATTTGCCACATATTACTCTTCGACAGCAATCCAATTGGCGATGCAACGGTAAAGGCTTTTCCGATTCGCTGTAGCGAGGGACATTGCAAAGTAAAGTTGCACAAGTGCAGCAGGACTCGACAAGGCTTGTCGTCATTATCGTTGTCGTCGCCGTCGTATTAGGTTTACATATAGTCATGGTCATAGGAGGAGGGAGATATATAATGCATACATGGATTGATTCAATACAAAGGGATATGATAATATATGATGGATAATGGATGTAAGTCAAAGGGCATCACCTAGCGAGCTTGACCTAACACTACGTTTCTGTTATATAGCAGTTGGCCAGTTGAATGATTCAGTGTCTCAAGGTTGAAGGTGGCGTGCGAATGAGTGAGCGGGTGCTTGCCGGCCATGACGTCTTCTATTATCGATAAGGCATTGTACATATACTACATAGTAGGTTAAATGGCCTTGGAGCTTAACACCGGGACATCCGATAGTGGGTATCGGCATGGATGATGGTACTATGGATGTATGCAGTACTATGCACTACATAGTACATAGTACATAGTACTTAAATTACAGTAGGTATGTAAGTTAGTTATGTAACAGTTACATTGCATCGCTGCCATCGCATCTGTAAAATGTATTGATGTCAGCGGTAAGTCTACTTAAAACAACTTTGGACAAGTCAACAAGAGTTCCACCCGAAATCCCCTTTTAAGGCTCAACAATGAAATTGATGGGTCACTTGAAGCTAGGGAAATTAAGAAGCGACATGAGGACATAAAAGGCGGAATTACATACCAATTGAGCAGAAACCCTGGTTGACTGGACAATCGACAAACGACGCGTTGTGTGAACAATCCCGACTCATCTTCTTTTAACTGCCCAAAGCTTTAAGGCATAGCCTCGTAACGAAACGAAATATAATCCAATGCAATAATAAATCCGAACCATACACCCCTTTCCACGATACTCTTGTCAGTACCTACCAAGGACCAAAGATACTAGTAAATAGTGCCTAGATATGGCCACCGCTGTTGGCTCCGGGCCTCCTACACCGGCACCTCCTCCGCCAACCAAATATCCAAATCCTTCCATTCCCGTTACTCTCCATGAGGCTGGTCTCGATTCTCCTTCCTTTCGTGCTGCTGCCCTATACTTCGCCGAACAAGTCGATGTGATTGAAAGATGGTTGGAAGGATACGTGAGGACGACCACCAAGCTATCACACGACTTGCTAGGTTTGGAAGAAACTATCAACAGCTATCTAAACAAGGCCATCCCACCACCCAGTATCAATGCCGTCGACAACGACTATGCCGCCCTGGCGCTTAAGCGGTTCAGTGAGGGGTCAAGAGAATGGTGGACGCAGGTTTTGAACACGGCTAGGAAGATGGATACTATGTCGGCAGAGCCAATACGTAACTTTATCCAGACCGATCTACGGAATTTCAAAGACACCAGAAGAACATTGGAGCAGGCGCAAAAGGCTTTTGATACCACATTAGCTCGCTACGTCAGTCAGTCTAAGACGAAGGAGCCCTCGTCTTTACGCGAAGATGCTTTTTCTGTATATGAGACTCGTAAGGCTTACCTAAAGGCCTCTATGGACTTCTGCTACTATGCACCACAATTTCGCCTTAATCTTGACAGGCTGCTGGTACGGATATCTTGTGATCTTTGGCGCGAGATAAAAAGGTCCCGTGATGCTGCTGGAAGCTTCGGGAAATATGGTTACGAGATGGATCGGGTGAGAGGATGGTCAAAGGACATGGAGCTGTCTGAGCCCGCTTTCAAACGCGAATTGCAGATAGCACGACGTGACATTGGTGAGAGCACATTAGCAGCGCTCAAGCCTTCACGGGAAATAGACGACTATAATGCCTCCACTGTACCGTTTATAGGCTCCAGGGGACCCATGAACGTGACTACAACAGGGCAATCCGCAGTGATTACGGAGAAGCAGGGCTGGCTTTTCTTACGGACGATAACTGGCAAGCCTTCCAGAACTAATTGGATCCGAAGATGGTACTACTGCCGCGATGGCATATTTGGATGGCTTGTCAATGGTCCTCAAGGAGTCTTGCAAGGTGATGAGATTGGTGTTCTTCTCTGTAATGCAAAACCTGCTGTGGGAGAGGAACGTCGGTTTTGTTTTGAGGTCAAGACCAAGAACCAGACTTTACTACTTCAGGCTGAAACGCAAGCACAGTTGATGGAGTGGCTCGAGGTTTTCGAGGTTGCGAAGAAGGCAGCATTTGAAGCGAGCGTTAAGAGGGATAGCTCGTCTTTGCCAGGCGGAGTCGATCCGGCTTTCTCCATCACTCCATCTTCACTTCCAGAATTTTCAGCTAGAACATTAGACGTTCAAGTTGAAGACGCACCCGCACCCGTTGAGCGGCCCGGTGCCCTACCAGCTCCGGCGCCCGAAGTTGGACTTATACCTAGACCAAGTTTTGAAATTACATCAGCTCCTCCCAAACGCTCTGTGACCTCTCTCGCCCGTGAGGAGGGCGAGAGTAGTCGTGAACATGCGGCCAGAATTATGCAGAAGCTCGACCTCCATCGAAAGGCTGCTTTCACTTCGGGCACAGACATGGGGCCTATCCCGTCTCAAGCCCCGACTGGGGGGATCGCTAGTCTCATATCTGCCAGTCATGGGTTGCTACCAGGATATCCAGCGGTGACTACCAAACAGCAACAGTCACAAGGAGGAGGGCCAGTATTCGGCGGACCAGAACAACACCCGGGAAGCCTCGCGCCTTCGACGTTAGCAAAGCCGCCTGCAACGACCAATCTTAGTAAGACGGCCGTTGTCTATAGCAGTGATAGAATATTCAGCGCGAGTGCTTCGCAATTGTTGCCAACTGCGATTATGGCCAACTACTGGGGAAGCAATGCCTGGGGACATGATTACTTCTCCAGGACTAAGCGAGTAGACCAGGATCTTGATGATCCATTCGGGCCTAATTCGCCATCCATCAAGATGACTGTAGTTGGTGACAATGAGGAGGTTAAGAGTCCATCCTCCATACATAAGAAGGCTATCAGCATGGATGGCCGAATTAACCACCCGAAGGTTGTTCAGCCTACTCCAGAAAAGCCACCGCCAGAGACCTTCCCAGCGAACTACCCCATAGAGCTCAAGACGAACTCAGCACAGTTTCGCTTGCTTTTCCCAGGTGTGCCTCTGGATGAAAAACTGGTTTTGGTCTTTCGGGCTTCTTGGAGTAGTACCTCAGAAGCTAACCGCGATACACCAGCGATGGCTAGCGATGGGCGAATCTACGTCACTTCGGATAATATGTATTTCTACGGGCACCAAATGGGTCTCGTCGTTACATACACGATCAATCTCGATAGTATCGCGGAAGTGACAGCTGCACCTGGTAGAGATTGCGATTTCATTTTTCTACACCTAAGTCAGGGGAGGGATGATACCGGGTACAGCCGGATCACCATCAAGACTTTCCTTGAGGATCTTGATCTTCTATACGCTCGTCTCAATCTTCTCATGGATGACTTACAAGCCGAAGAGCCTATGGAATTACCAGAACTCATTATGGCACTCATTAATCTAGAAGAAAAGGAAGAACTCGATAGAAGAAGTCCCAGTGTAGGAAGCTGGGAGGAGATATCCGAGCATACTCCTATTGACGACGGCACAGCGGCGGGTAGAGCAGTCAGTCCTAGATACCGCAACCCTGCCCATAGGTCACGAAGCAAATTCTCGCGAAAACCTCTTCCGAAGTTCCAGCTTCCAGCCCATCCGGTTATCTACGAACCCGAAGACATGCAAAAACTAGTTGCCGAACGGTCGTTCGAAATCAGCGCCAAAGCATGTTTCCATATACTGTTCGGAGATAAGAGCTTCGTCTTCCCTAAGCTCTATTTTGATCGGAGGGCTCAGCATATTGCCCAAGGCCCCTGGCAAAAGAACGAGGCTGGAAAGATGCAGAGGCAATTCCGCTTCAAGGTCAACTACACCACGAGGCTAGGTCGGGCGCGGGTTGAAGAGGTCACAGACCAACAGACAATTGACTTATTTAGTGATCACGTTACGTACGTTGTGACCCATACGAAGACCCCATGGCATCTACCACACGCACACGGCTTTAAGTTAGTAACGAAGATTGTCATAACGCACGTCGCGAAATCCAAGTGCAAATTGACAATTTTCACGAAAGTGGCATGGTCGAAACCACCGGCACTAGCCAAAAATTTGGTAGAACGACAAGCAATGGACGATGCTAGTCAGGATGCTGAAGAGCTCGCAGAGGTGGCTACGGATCAAGTTCGGAAACTTGGCCACCAAAGTCGTACCAAGAGAGCAATTCAAGTTTATGGCAACGTTGGGCAGCAGACGCAAGTCGTGGTATTCACGCCAGGAGAGGCTGGCATGTCTAAGAAGACCCAAATCAACCCTCGTACTCTAGGTTCAATGCTAGTAGAGACTATCAGGTCCTTTGCCGACAGCGTCGCTTCATCACTAATGATGTGGACATTTGCGGGAGTAAAAAAGTTATGGGATGTAGTCTCAGCACAGCGGCTCATCCTCGTCCTACTCGGGTTCAGCGTGTTTACCAATCTTGTATTCTCATCCCAGGGTACTTCGACTTGGTTGAGCGAGCGGCGCGCGGCAAGTTTCATGAATCGTATCGGTGTCTCCCCGAACGTAGTCATGAGCAAGGCCATCTACATAGCAGATCTAGATGAAGCGGTCCGAAGTACAGCGCTACAACCCGCATCGCCCCAGGACAGTTTCTGCTATGCTACCTTCCAATCTATCGCCAATAGCACCGACATTGACGCTCCAAGTGAGTACGCTGGGACCTCGCTTGCGTGGGGCTCAAGCAGGGCAACGGCGCGGCGACTCCGTCAAACTAGACAGAAGCTAGGTTCCTACCGCCATGATCTACTGGTGGCTATGCGCGTAGTTAACCGCGTCGAGCGCGAGGCCCTACAAGCCGAGTGGGAAAATTGGCTCCTCGACGAAAATCATCGGTGCGAGCAAGTCGGCACCGTGCTCGAGGCGTGGAACGACAGCTCGTCGGATAGTAGTGGTACCAAAGGAGATGACAGCGACGTACAGAAAGTCCTCCAAAGTAATACTGGTGACAAGAGTAAGGACGATGCTCGGCGCGAGAGTCTAAAGCTATGGCATGAGGAGTACTGTGGTAGCTGCAGGGTTGATCGCGAGGATCTACTAAAGGAGAGGGAGAACATGCGCGTATCAGCTGCATTCTAGACTTGAGTCTTATATACTACGTATTACTCGTGGTAAAGAAAGGGAATAAGCAGGTAGCTTAGGGAGGGAAGAAGGTGGAGATAGAAGATAGGATACTTTATAGGACATCAGCATTCAATAGGCGGTTAAAGCGAAGAGGTAGAGAGAGGGGGGGTGGCATACATACAGCATACACAGCGTACCTAGGCACATGCCTACATACAAACTAGGATATGATACATATAATACATAGCAGTACCTAACTACTTGAAGGTTCATGGACAAGTATTTGGTACCTTCTGTTTGCAACGAGGAAAGAACACTAAGAATGAAGGAGGCGAAAAGAAGAGATGGAAAGGGGGCGAAAGGGTGATGTACAATACAGTATTATATCGTGTTATACACAGGACAGATGCCTATGTACGTGGGCAGGTAGGGTACACATGACGCGTTCGTTTGTTTACATGGATGCTGGCTATATGTATATGATAATTATATAATGATACATACATACATACATACACACATACCTACCTACCTAGCGTACCTCCTTGGTTATTTTACATCCCTCCCCTGGCCTAGTAGATATGTACTACTACGTCGTGGGCGCCTATTTACGTACCTACATGGTAAGTCTGAAGAGCCAGTTAGTTGTCCGTGTTTGGTGTCTGGTGCCTGATAACGATGAAAAGGGGGGAGGGAGCCTTGCCAGCCCACCTACACCTACCTACTAACCTAGGTACCTACCATCGCCACCCTTATCTTTACTATAGTTAGGTACTACTTACCTAACATGTATATAAACGATCTCAACAAGTAGTCATGATCATGACAATGCAAACAGGCCAATGGCCAATGGCTGAGTGGTAACTAAAGTGTCTAGCACGCAGTCTGTTCGTCGCCTAGGTATGGCGACGAGACGACACAACTTGCTCACTCAAACTCAAAGGGTCAGGGGCTCGAGCCAGTCTGAAGGCGATTGGAGAGTCAACTTGACATCCAGCGAGTGAATATTAGCTCTGACTAGGCACCTACTGATTCTGCGGCGGCAGGCGTGATGATGATAAGGGTTGGTCGGAGGATATACCTTTTCTTTTTTTTTTTCCCCTTCTGGTCCCCTTATAAATAGCTAACTAGGTACCTACCTAGGTATATAGATAGATATCACATGGGCTTACTCGCAGCCAACTTCTTATGTGTACCTAGGTAGGTAGGTGGGGCAATTTTAGTAGCCCCTATCGGTTCGGTTCAGTTATGTTCAATACTTCCAATCTCACCCCTTAAGTCATCCCCCACAACAAGTCTAACTTAGACATCTCATGAAGTCGACGACGTCGGAAGATATTGATGTTTAACCTACCTATCTGCCTACCTATGTACCTAGGGTAGGTGCCTAGTAAATACTCCATTTGCTCAACAAAAAAATTGGTATCCTACACACACACACACATACACGTTCACTCGCCTCCCCCCTTTTCTCCAAAGCCCCTCAACTTCAACCTCATATACCTACATGCCTCTAAGATCTACCACCATCTGGGGATTGCATCTAAGTGTATCATCAATCAACCCCAGTCCACAGAATCCATGTAATCGCATGCACATCGTCTTCTCTAACTTCTAGCCTCAAATCCAAGCTCAAGTATAGCGTTGCACCATCACCCATCGCCCTCTGTCTACGAATACAAGCCCTCGACCCTCCTATTCTCACGATCGGGAGTCTGATCCGTCATGGACCGCTTTATGCCGGGCCCGACCAAATCTTCTCCGTCCAGCGCGATCCCCTCCCGCCCTAGCCTTGCAACCAGCATCGTGTTTTGCGTTTGTAGATCGCCCATCCGTTCCTTCAAGATATCGATCTGCTTGCGGGCTATATCTCGCTCTGCTCTAACTTTATCAAGCTCCATTGCCAGATTGTTCTTTTCCTCCCTCTCTAGAGTCTTGCGCCGGCGTTCTTCCGCCTTCTTCTGCTCGCTCGCCCGTTTGGCTTCTAACTTCTTCATTTCGCGCTGGTATTTTTCCTGCTGTCTTGCTATCTCACGTTCGTGTTTCTCGCGAAGTTTCTGGGCCGCAGCCTCCTCACGTTCAGAAGCGGCGTTCTCGTTGCCTCGCTTGGCGAGTGCTCGGTCTTGTGCCCGCTTGAGTTTCTCCTCCATCTTCCGTTTGCGATCCTCCAACTTTCTAAGTTCCTTTTCATGCTGAGAAGGCGCAGTCGAACGCGCAAGAGAGTCAGTTGAGCGCATAGATTCCGCGCCGCCATTTGTAATTGAAGGCGTGAGTTGTGTAGAACTTCCCTCCTCTTTGGGCGACGCATTATCAATTTGATCGATTCCTTCGGCTTCTAGACTGTGAAAGCTGTGAATGGATGAGGTATCATCGTTCAGGGGTTCGGAGACGTCAGTCGAGCTGATTTCTGCGCCTTCGACTAGCCCAAAGGGGTTAGGAATGCGGTAAGCTGCCGCCGAAGCTGCCGTATTTAAAGCATTCGCTATCATGCCATAAAATCCGGTAGGGTTAGGATGATCCTCCATTTTTTGTTCGATGGTCAATGATCGTGGGGCAATTGGAGTATTGGCAGAATTTAACGTGGGCTTCATTGAAGCTGTCGTCTCCCGTGTTGGCTGTTTAATCTCCGATTCGTCTTGCTCGGGTTCCATCTCTTCGGTATCTTCTGCGAAATCATCCATGGATTTGGACGAAAGCCATTTGATGAACTTGTTAGCGTCTCCGGCGATTCCAGGCGGCGTGCCCCTCTCTATCATAAATCTCGGTACACTGCCGCCAGGATCACTCCGGGTGACCATTAACCACTCTATCATAGTCTCATAATCGTCGTCATCTTCCCGGTCGTCACAAGCGTCTGCGGCCCCGACAGTTTTGCCTCGTTTTCTTCCTATATCATCCGTGGTTGCAGATGCAGAGTCGGCTGCCTGACGAGCTGAACGAATTGTAGCTTCTCTGCCAAGATTTTCAGCACTATCCCGTAGCAACGACCTAGACCCATCGTTGGGGAGATCTATGGAGGACCGAGTTTTTCGTAGGGGTTTTTCGACTCTAATCTCGCGGATGAACTCGACAGATTCATACTGACCACGAATGTAGCCTTGGCGCGGAGGAGTTTCGGGATGTACACATGGCTTTGACACGAGCATGAAATGTTTGGGCGTACCGGGTGCATCGTCGACAGAGTCCGAACTTAGCAATAGAGTGACGAAGTCTCGAGGCGTGGTTGGTCCCGGGAACTGAGCTGACAATTGATAGACTAGATAGACTGATAAGCAAAGTTTAGCAGACGGAGCAATAGTACGTAGAGCCTACCTTGCATTTTGCCAGTGTTTTGTACAGTCTGGTTTACAACCTTTCTGTCGGCCCCTATGCCTCGTATACTCCCATCACCCGGCTTGCCTTGCACCTTCATGCTCTCGTCGAGCTCCTTCTCCATGCCCAGTCTCCATTTTTCAAAGGTGTAGTTATCGTGAACACTACGTCTTGCAAACCAAGCGCCCTTCCCGTCCTTAGCAGCAAGCTTGTAGACGTCTAGACCCAGAGGGTTTTCGCGTGGGTTGACCTTGACTTCTCTCCAGTCTTTGTTCAAAGCCTTGATCTTATCGGACGAGTTCGAGTCAACGGTGGATCGCGACTTGTCTATTTTCTGTGGGAAAGAGGTCGGGGACACCGGGATAGAATCAATTATGCACTGTGCATGGGTAAATGTGTTTTTCAAGAAAGTATCCAGTTGATCTGGGACAAGGTCACTCCAATTGATAGGACCAAGGGCCTTGAGGGGCTCGTGGGCGTTGGACATTATTTATACCTTCGTCAGTACCTTGGATATACACACGGGTGGGTTCAATGATTGAACGAAGCTATCAAGGATTGGGATGAACGATGGTGGATTTAAAAACGCCAAGTCGGCCGTTGCAATTGCGATTTAAACAATTCCATTCTATGCGCAAACAGCGCTCTAGGTAAAATAATACATATAGAAGTAGTGAAGCCTAGGAAAATAAAAGGTAAATAAAAAAGGTTGATTGGTAGGTAGCAATAATAGGATGTGAATGAATTGGTATAATAAATATATTTCCAAGATTTTTTAGGGTCATAAGAGGTTGTTGTGGTGATAGTTAGGTAGTTAATGATGATGATGATGATGATGATGGTTTCAATTTCAGTCTCAATTTCAATGTCGTTCGGTTTGCAGATGCACGCAGACGCAGGTGGCCTCTTTCTCTATCTCTATCTCTCTTGTTGAGTGGCTGCTTCCCTGCTTCCCTGCTTCCCTACCCAGGCACATGGGAGGTAGCTAACGCTTTAAAGTTAATAAATTTAGTGGTTCGTCTGGGGCTAGCCCGACTCTCGCATTCTATCGGATATGAACCTTTGACGTCACCACAAAAAGAGGCCAACCAAATTGGAGAAATGGAGACCCCTGAATCCAGTTTACGATGTTACACTAAATTTAGCAGTTTGGTTATGATAATTACGTAACATTAGTAGTACCTAGTAGTACATATGTACAATATGCTATACAATAAATACCTATAAGATTTCCAACAAGACAACGAGCTCATAAAATAGTCTTAGTTAATGTCTAAAATTGCCTACTATCAAATAGGTAGCTGGGGATTCATATGATACTGTACATACATACCTATGCAGAGATTTCGATAATATCGCATTAGCTCCTTTTTATGGATATCGTTCACCTAGGGCATGACACTCTATGGTAGATTCACATCACAGGACAGGAGCAGCAGATGTATATGAAAGGGGAAAACATGGTGGGTTCTATCCCAACTTCTTCAAGTCCTAGCCGGCGCTACCGGCGAGGGTTTTTCGATTTATGTGATTGTAACGATCGTAAGGCGCTCGTAGGTCCTAGTGACCTTTGGGCATAACTAAGGAGAGAGCTTGTAGATTCTTCCACTTCTTGAAGATGAAGCTACCCGTAACGGAATAAAGGCTGACTCGGTGACAGGATGGCACTATGCTTTGACAGTTTCTCAAGAGTTTTAAGCCATGCCCTCGATAGGATTTCGCGGGCTAGGCGGTGGAGTGGGCGTATTCGGTCGCGGAGGTATGGGTGCTGGCCTGTATGATACGGAGTTAGTTCTTGTAACTGAAATGGCTGAGGAATACGATGCGAGGAAGTGATAAGATATATAAGAGGTCCATAAGATGTGAAGTCAAGTTTCATGATAGACCCATCACTAAGTAGGGGGTTGGTACTCGGTCTATAACAAAGAGGGTAGCTACGAACTAACCTTGGTGGCGGTCCCGGAGTTGGTGGTCGAGAAGGGACTGGCATTCCTAAAACAGGCCAGACACCGACAAGTCTAACGGTAAGAATAGAGAAGGGCGTAGCCAGAATCTCCTGAAGCCATTCCATTTCATTCTCCTTTGCTGTCTCGCATTTCCGAATTTTATACTGCCCAATGCCAGCCATGGCAATCGAAGCCTATATTATTTCTGTTAACCAGGTATTCATTCATATTTACCCAGTGAGTCAAAGTGGTCCAAAACTCACCTCTGAGTACGTTGGACGTAAATGCGAGTGAGAGCAGTAGAATTGTATGATTTCACTCGAATGGAAATGGAAAGCTAAGATTAGCCCAGATAATCTGCTTTGAAAATAAGACCAGCTTGTTTTGGTATTCAAGAAAATTCTAATGGAAGTCAAGATTAGAGAGTAGAAAGTATGCGTTTGATGTGGTCGGTTGGCCATATCCATAGCTGGGACTTGGGAGCTATTTATGTTCACCTCAGACAGTCACCCTCATTGTCGTGACCTCGTTGCTCTCACTCTCGAATTAACAAGTTTTTCCATTTATCACGATGTGGGTGTTGTAATGGGGTTTAAAGGAATCAGCTTGAGGTAAATGAAGTATGCCTTGTGGCCAATTTGAGCTCACGTTCTAAACTAACAATACAACAAGTTGAATGCTTCTCTATGAATAACGAGCACTATATACGTAGGTACCTGGCAAGGCTTTGAGGGTGTTCTTACTGAAATTTACTAAATGATTTATACAGTCAAGTCGCTGGTCAAGTTTATGGTCACCACTGCCACATAAACTAGGCCATTACACGTAAATCGCTAACCTAACCTAGCCCGCCCAAGATTGGCAATATTGCTATACTAACAATGGTAGAAGCCTGTCAGTTGGATGCGTCACAAGGGTCTTTGTATACCCTTCTAACATATAGGTCTATAGTTATTCCCGTGATAACGTCGTTATTTTCAGGCCTATCGAAGGGCCTAAACATACTTCCAGACATTTTAGATAGAGGGTTTTTTTCTGGAAGGAAGGCAGTTAGCCTTGGTATCATTATTTAAAGGAGCCCAGGGACATGGAAACCGGTCCCTCTGGGCTGGAATTTTGTACGTGGCGTAGTGCTTGCCCTCCTGATGTGAACGGTTAGTTTTATCGCGGCCAACATTATACCTAGGTATACATTGGATAGGTACCTAGCCTGAGAATTTTAAGCCATCAATTTATACCCAATCTTCTTGTTAACTGGATAGCATGTGAGTCTTACCTATCTCATCACTTCATCAAAGTTGAGTTCACTTACCCGCAATGCCTCACAAAAGACATTGTGTCAAGGGTCTACCTGGGAGCTACATGGGGGACTAGACACAGCTTACACGTATAGGTATGTAGCTTCCATACTCCCCGGAGAGGCGTTGGAGATCCCCGCGCAATAACGATGTTGTTCTGCGTCTTCTAGGCTTTGCCTCGTGACAGATGGAAATTTGAGAAGTGGGTTGAATTCCTTCGCGAACAGGATACTCGCCGCGCCGTCGCTAAATTCCTACTAAAATGCAAAGATACCTACGTACCCAGCCACATACAATCCACGTGGTGGACAAGGGTAGGTATAATGTTGTATTCCATCTTGAATATGAAGATTTTACTATCAAGGACATGTCATGAGCTGTGAAAATTCCTCCATTAAAGAGGGGGGGGTAACTACCACAACCACCCACCCCCCTACTAATCCACGCCAAAGCCTGCCCCTTTCCCCACCCCCTTTTCCCTTTCCCCCCTTACGACAACGACAACCACTATCATCACCGACCATCCAACCCCTCTACACACATATCAAGCAACAGCCCATTCACCCCCGCCACCCGTCCCTCATCCCCAAACCGGCGCAACTCACCCATAACCCCATCCGCACCCGCACCACCCCTAGCAATCGCAGCACCACTAACCAAAACCCGCGCACAAATCGCAAAAACCTCCGGCTTCGACGTCCAGCCGAGCGGTCCATCGCCTCCCTCCATCCTCGCGATCCGCGTCAGCGTCCGCAGGCCCGCGAGCGTCCATTCCTCGAGCGTTGCTTTGGGTGTAGCAGGCGATGTCGGCAGCGACAAGAAGACGTCGCGCCACCGACGAGCCTCGCGCACCTCGTCGACGTACAAGTTCTGCTCCTCGACGACGAACAGCGCGTCGTCGAAGCGCATGGCGTCCGCGAGCTGCGCCTCTGCCGGGACCCAGTCGGCTAGCAGTAGCGCGGTGTTAGGGGTAGGAGGAGTGTGCCCCGCCATGCGACACGCGACGTGCGCTCTGAACTCGTCGAGGGCGCCGTAGCGCGACACGAGCCAGTGGAGCAGACGCTTCCCCGCCTCGACGGAGACGAGGCGCTGGTTCGACAGGATGGGCGTGGTGGCGGCGGCAGCGGCAGCGCGGATCTCGTCGTCGTCGTCATTGAGGGCATCGTATAGGGCTAGGAGCCAGGGGAGGTGTGCTGGATTGGGGGTCGCTTCTGCAGCTAAGTTCAGACTTGCTGAGAACGAAGTCATGGCGTTGACAGCGGCCATGCGTGCATCGAATGTCTATATACGGGTTGATTGTTAGTAGGTACTGTGGACTAGGCGGTTAAATATAGTACAACATGCACGTACCCTGTCTGCGATTCCAGCATCAGTCATCATTACGCCCCAGGCTCTTAACCACCGCTCTGTATCATTTCTGGCAGTTTCATCAGATCGCAAAATGATGGTGGCTAGTAGGGGCCCGCTTGCCCGGATGATGGCATCCGAGAGACTCGGGCTCATGGGCTTCCTGTGTAGATCCGCCCACAGCTGCACGACAACCTCTTTGGTGGGAATTTTCCCTAGAACTGTCCCTGATTTGTTGCAAAGCATTTCATCTATCAGGGTTGAGAGATTCTCCAAGGCGATTGTGCGTGGCTCAGGGGCATCTGTCGCTAGGCATACTTGTATGTATGCGTCAACTTGGCTTGCTCGAGCTTCGTCCGATTTTGCCGAATTTATAGTAGGCATACTCTCTAGTATAGAGCAAGCAACGTTGATATCTCCTTCTAGAGCGGCCGTCAAGATGTGTGCCAGAGTTGTACCCATATCTGTGCTGGATTGCTGAAGAACATGCTGAACAGTTACCTGTCCAAGTCTGATATCGAGTAATGCCGAGGGCCCCGTGCTTGTACCAAAGTCAGTGCTGAGTCCCGAAAGTCCGGTCACAAGATCTGTTTCTCGCGGGCTTTCTGAAAAGTTCAATCTTGTCAAGAAGTTGATAATCTCGATACAGACGGCCCTTGCTTCTGAACATGTGATAATATAGGGATTTATTGAAGGTAGTTTCACGAGCAAGTCATAGACAGCACGTATATCTTGGTCTAGTAGCCTTATGTTAGTACACCAGCATGATGGTGAAGAAAGGGGATACTAACCTCGAAGTTGTTCAGGCATGACCTCAGCAAGCCGATCAAGTAAGAATTTGAGGGTTAGAAGCGCGCCGTGAAGCTTGTTTGCAGATGATCCAGAGCTAACCAAGAGATTCGTAACGGCTTCCAACCAGCCTGGTCTGAGAAGAAAAGAACACAAGGTCCGAGCTGCAATTTCTCGGACATGCCAGATGTGACTTCCCAAGTACCACGCAATGATATCGTAGAGTTTATCGCGGAACTCCTCGGGTGGTCCAGCGCGGCGGATGATATCGAGTGCCGGGAAGACCGACTCGGCCGTTTGTGTCCCTATCAAGACCCCCTTTGATTGCTGACCCATCTCTAAAAGATTCACGATAAGTGAAGGGAGAGCCTTGAACTTATGATAGGGGATCTTAATGGTCCGGCCGTCCCAACCGCCCTCAATGGAAGCCTTGCTTTCACTTGTACCAAAGAGACAGTCAATGAGACTTCGTAGAAGCAGAAGACCGCAGTTCCGAATCGCCCATCTGGAGATATAGTTAGCGTGAAGGTAGGCATCGCATCAGTTATATGGGACTTACAATTCTGATCTGAGACTATCAACTGCTAGCTGGAGGCAGTCAGTGAGATACGGCCCTGCTCCTTTACTCAGATAAGAACTCTTGAAAATGTCCTTAATGCAGTTTAAAGCATGCACTTGAGGCAGATTCGACCCGTCTGTCTCGGATACTAATGCTGGTCGACGACCAATTTCCTGGAGATTACGAATCACCTCCTCAAAAGATGGGCGATCTGAATGAGATGAAAGTATGCCAACTATGAGAGCTGGGATACCTGCAGATCTCCGAGTGGTTGATGCCTGCGTGTGGATGCAAGCAAGAGCCCCCTATCTAGTAGTTAGCGCAAGCCCTCTTGACTACCGTTGAAGAAGTCGAGTTTTACGAACCTCGTACCATTCATCTAGCAAACTTGGCCCATCCTTCGAGTCAACCGGGAAACACTTGACCAATTGACAGCAAGTCGTAAAAGTCTGAGATACAGTCGTGAATGCTCCTCGATGTCGCAGGTTTGACAATTCATCGAACGTGAGCCGTCCGATTTCCTCAAAGTTATGTTTAGAGGGCGCTAGAAGCCCCCTGGAACGGCTTTGACGAGCGTTATTTGCTATTGTTCGCATTAAGTTGCTGAGGAAAGCTTAGCTCATAGTTCAGCATACATAGTCTAGCATCTTACCTGGACTCATGGATTGCACGAAAACTGTAGCTTAATAAGTCCTTAGTATCGAGACCCTCAACTTCCTCGAGCTCCTCTGGCAGGTGGCCTTCGGGAGAATCATCGCAAAGAACATGTCGTACAGCTTTCCATATCCGTTGACAACATATAACGGCACGGCTCTGTAATTCATCTAGCAAGCTGAGCTCCGCCTCGGAAAACTTGGTATTCCAAAGCGAACCCCATATATAGCTATCTCACAATCAATACTTAAATATTAGCATCAAGTGTTAGATGGGAACTCACCGAAGAGACGCAAAGCTACCATGTAATGGAGCTTGGAGTACTGCATTTGCCAGATCTTGCTCGGCCGAGGAGAGTTTAGCCTCAAGACTTGACAGCACCTTAAATGGAATTTGAAGTCGGTCACTCATAGTCAAACTCCAACGGCACAGGAGCTCGAAAGATCGAGCAGCACCATCAGAGTGATCAGCACGAGCAGTTCTCCTGGCAAGTTCGTCTGCCTTATGGCAAAAGCTTCGAAGCTCTTCGGTGGTCGTCTTTCCTACTACACCTACCTGCTTTTGTGAGTCCGGCTTGTTACTTTCAATTGATAGCGACATCATCAATGAAGTTGCAACCTCCCTAACATCATCGAAGGGGTCCATTATCAGATCCAAATTTAAGCGGAACCATGTTGCATCAACCAGTAAATCTTTTAACTCAGAAGAGCCACCCCCTTGAGGTGGTACTGGCTGAATTATGAACCCCATTGCCTTTAATGCGGTTATATGTCGCTGGTAGGATGTGGTAGGAGCGAGTTCACTCCTGAGAAACCCAATATACCAGGAGATAAAGTCTTCGTGTTGGCGTAGCGTGGCACGCATTTTTGTCACAGTGTCGTTCTGTTGCTTTTCGGGAACGTGATTTTTTGCTTCTTCAGCAGACGTCGAAGGGGCACTTTTACTCGCCACTTTACTTGATCCCGGCTTTTCAGTCTTCTTTGAAATCCGTTCTTCTCCTCGCCGAAGTGACTCCACGGTATTTTGGATTCGTTTTAGCATATTCCTTGAATGCCCTAAAACGTCGTAGCGCATCTTCGGCTCGGCATCCTCGTGGAATGACGGCAAATGTTGTTTAAGGAGCTCTAGTGCTTCTACTGTATATGGTTTCGTTGTGGAGGGTGACGCAATGAGAACAGAGAAGGCGGATGATCGCGCCTCATTAGAGTCGTGGCATAAGACACTCTCAAGCACGTCTGCTTGGAGATAGAAAGCCGATGCAGAGTTCTGCTCCGATTCTTTATGTTGATTAACAAATCTTCTAGTGTTTATATACAAGTCTGACATTGAGGGCTTACCACGACCTGGTTCATTTACTACTCCAAACTTCTTCCCTTCTTCAAGCATGGCGAGCCAGAGCATTGAATTGAGGTCCCAGCTGCCGCTGCCATTTTTGGTGAGCTTTTGCAGGGAAAAGAGATGGTTTAGGTACATCAATGCACCAGGCCTATCCGTTTTGAACAACGGGACGAAAATGTAATGTTTAATTGGCTCAAGGTACTCCAAGTTCGACTCCAAGCCCCTGAATATGAATTTGTGCCAGGCCTCGGGTCGATGCGTTATATCACTGTCTTCGTACCAAGGACTAGTGAAGATAGTAACGAGGAGCTTTCCAGCTACAGGGCACATGTGATGCTGTTCCATCCAGGCAAAAATCTTGGCAATGAAGGCATTCCAGAGTGCGTCATCCTCTGGGGGGAGACTGTGAATCTCTCTGAATCTCTCCAGAATGCTGTATAGGTATACTAATTTCTTCTGGATCAAATGGTCTAGAGCAACCAGGGCAGATTTCACGGACGGTCGGGATGACTGCTGAGTGATTGTGGATAGGGTATTGTTCAATATAGCTACCTTAACAGAGGCACCAGTCTCTGGTGTGGGATTATTAGATATGGAGTGTATAAGGAAATCCAATATAAGTCTCATAGATCGGTGGGAATCTTGCTCATTCCATTCCATGAAGAAGTTGAAGAGCTTCAGGGCAGTGTCCTCTGCGAAAGCAAAGGATCTTAACCCGGGTTTGGTAGATTTAGAGCATTGCTCGACAAAACCATATAGTTTTACACAAGCATTCCCAGATGATTGTCTTGGCTTCGCAGCAAAAAGGAGAAGCTCTTCAAAGATGGACTGCCTAGGTGGTCTATGTGAATAATAGGACCAATATTTTTGGAGTTGAATCAGACTTACCAAAGCTGTAACTCTTCGGGTTGGTCTTCAAGCCAAATAACAGCATGTTTTGGATTGAAGCCAGTCTCTCCGATGCTAGACAGTATTTGTGATTCCATCTTAAGTTTTATTTGGTGAGAATTTTGGATGACTGTGTAGGTTCTCCCCCCTTTTTTCGTTACCCCCCGTTTTCTATAGTTCCAGATTTAGGTACTATCATAGAGATGAGTACGTAAACCTCGCGAGGAAATAAAGAAGTATTTTAAGTTATGAGTTTAGTTACCTACCTGTAGAGACACATCTCATTTTTGGAAATTCATGATGCAATTACTTCAATATTTAATATCGAGAAAGAAAACCTTTAATATTCATCCAACATGTGAATGTTAGTCTGGTGCTGAAGAAAATTGAGTAAATTGAGTAAGTAGAAAAGGTACGTAGGTACATAGGATATTCAACATTGATTGAATCATTTGATCTAAAAAAAAATCTAAATGCCCTATCAGATATGCACGGGCCACATATCAATCCCGGCTCCTTTCTTCCAGTTACCCCCACTACCCCTGCAAGGAAATCAATCTTCAATGTTCTATTTTTTTAATCTTTTTTTTATCTAGCAAAGCTTCAAATCAAATCTCGTCATCTTCTTACCCACCTTTCACTCACAACTTGGTGAACAACTTACTAGGAGAAGTGAACGCTGTCGCGACTTGCCTATTACAACAATTGGAATATAAATAATATTGTCGAAACTTTTGCTATCGCATCTTAATCGCTATGTCCTTTTGGGGTGCCCTTACTGGACGGAAGTCCTCCTCTTCTTCTTCGGCCGATGCAGGCTCTGCGCCTACGCCAACACCCACCGACACTTTCACCCCGACTCCCTTTAACCCAGCAGAAGCACAAGGCATCGATTCCTTCTTGAAGAGTTCCGAGTTTGCCGACCCATCTCTTTTACATCCTCTCGCCGGCCTAGACAAGGAAAGTTTAGAGTACTTAAGCCTAGAGGATTCGGCTCTGTCAGACCTTCCCGGCGCGCAATCTGCCATCCCTTCCCGAGGCTTCAGCGACGACTTGTGTTATGGAACTGGTATCACATATCTTTCAGCACTGACATTGGGAGGTGCCTGGGGACTCCAAGAAGGATTAAGAAGATCTGCTGGTCAACCACCGAAGCTTCGTCTGAACTCGGTTCTAAACGCTGTTACACGAAGAGGCCCGTTCCTCGGCAACTCTGCGGGTGTCATCGCAATCACCTACAACTGCTTTAACTCAGGCATCGGATACATCAGGGGGAAACACGACTCGGCGAATACTATTGCAGCAGGAGCTTTGAGTGGCATGATATTCAAGAGCACAAGAGGACTGCGGCCAATGCTGATATCCGGAGGTATTGTGGCTTCCGCCGCAGGAGCATGGGCGGTATGAATGAAATCCGAACCTATCCGATAGACGGAACATAACTAACTTTTACTAGATATCTAGGAAGGTTCTGCTCTTGTCCTCGGAGGATCAGAGACACGAGCAACACCTTTAAATCCAACAGCATTTGCTAGTTTAACGTATAAACGAACTATCAGCTCAAACAAGGAAATTGAGGATGGGGGTGTTGTATGATAGTGGGCCCCGAAACGAGGCCCCGCGCCATACGATACTTCGATGTAATTTTGTGAATAAAATCCACTACTTGGTTAGTGGTGAACGATGGATGATCTCTCCTCTAGCTGGACAAAGTGTATGAAATAGGCGGTTAAGCATAGAAAGCATCCACGGACGTGGGTGGATAGGCGTTCATGTCAGCTACGGCACGGAATTGATTTTAAAATTTTAACGAGCCTCAGTCCGTTTGTATCAAGGCCACGACGTTATGTATGACATCTGGACCTTGAGGATTGTGTACCTGAGGGGAGGAGGAATTAAAATATTAGAGGCGTTGGGGCTGCCCATCGACAGCTACCATCCATGTGTACCTTAGGTACGATTCAAGTTGGCACCTACAAGTACGGCCATGTATCTACATAGGACATAGTAGTACTTACCTACATGTATTATCTACACTGATTATAATATTGAAACCCGTATGGGTTATGTAGGACATCGTACCTAGAGTACTTACCAATGTATTAGGTGCCTACGCTTCTTCAGTCATTGATGGGAGTATTATACGATATATTGGTGCGTATACATTTCAAGTTCCGTCTAGAAGCACTGGGGTCATTTCAATGTCTACCTAGTACTATCGTATGTACCTCAGTACAAAATAGACATCATGCCTGATATGTATGTGCGGTTTCTATTCATGTCCTGTATTTCAAGGTTCAACGTTTAATGCTTTCTTTATTCATTTTTCATCACTGAATTGTGTAGCGTACCTAGATGCCTACATGTATAATATTCATTCGCCCTTTTATAGTCCAGAAGTATCAGGAGGGGGTTCTACCTAATACATACACTTCACCTGTCACTTCTCACTGACAATCAAGAACATTCAGGCATTACAGACTTAATCACTCAATACTGCAAACCAGCAATGTCTGAGGTACCCTCTGCGGCCGACTACGAGGCGGCAAAACAGATCAAGGAGCAACTGATTGACCATTTCATGAAGCCATGGCTTTCGAAGGAAAATGTCAACGAGGAGAAGCCTGTGAACGGGCTCTTCATGCAGCAATGGCATTTTGGTGAAGACCAAGAAGCAACGCCAGACGCTTTGTGGGCGCAAGAGAAGCCCAACGAGGGATGGTATTTCATCGACTTCGACAATCTCCCTTGTCCAGATCAAGAGCTACGAGAAGAACGTGAGCGCATACAGACCCTACTCGAAGACCGTAAAATCCTTCTCGCTGTCAATAAATTGCTAGAGAAGGAGATTGATGAGGAAGGACTGTGCGCATTCGATTGCGAGTCCATCTTCGACGTCCCACCTACAAGCGAGCTTAACCTACAAGCAAAGGTACATACATACCCAGGTACCTAGATACCTAGTTACCTAGGTATATACCTATTTCCATAAAGTAATCCCCTAGCTAACTGGTTTCTCCCAGATTGACCTAATAGTCAAGTTCAAGCACCTATATCAAGTATTTCCGACTACTTCTAATAAGCCTGATCCTAAGCCAGAGCCGGAGCCCGAGAAAGGCAAGATGAAGATGTCTATGCTCCGAATCACTGCTTTCGATACACTTCACGTCGAAACCTTCGTGGCTCCAATCGTACCTGAGTATTGTCATGATTGCTTCCGTGCACTCCTCGAGGATGTTGCTGAGCCATACCTTCATGCTGGTATTTCGAATCGTACCTGCCTCGATCGCGACTTACTCGATATTCCCGAGGCGAAGACAGTCAAGCCCGCCACAGAGGAGGGACAAGAAGAGCGGTATATGGAGTGGGAACTGGAGCGTAAACTCAGCAGCGAGGTGCTTGCCAGCTGGTCCTACCTATTGTTAGACACGTGTGCCAGCGAAGGCCCCCTTGCCGATCCAAACACAGTCTATCTGCTATGGCTACCCATTGACAATGAGGAACAGTATAAAAAGATGCTTTCGTCGGTCAAAGACAAGGGCTCATCTCCTATGTTTATTCGCGTAAGCCATCCTAGCAAATCAATCAAGCAGAACGGAATCAATGACTAACTAAAAGTTGGCAGACTTGGAAACTTAACAAGGCTATGCGTGTTGCCATAAACCGCGAGCGCGAAGCCAGCCGCTCCAAAGAGCCACCCACAAACCAAGCATGAGCTTAGTTGGGACGACACGGAAGACTCTTTTTGGAGTTTGTCGGAGCCCGATGTATTTGCCTGACCTCATCTTGGAGGTCGACTTTGTGTAAATGGGAATTATCAATTGAGAAGATCAGGGTGCACTGAAGATGGCCCATTGTCTGGGCATTCATGGCAACGAGTCTTTGGTGATTGTGAGAGATCAACAGTAAACGTCGGGTATCTCAGAATAATACTGTATTGATCCATACTTGCTCTTGTTTCTTGTCCCCCCCCCCCCCCCCTTTCCTCTTTTAATTTCAGTCCGTGCTTAAGTACCTGTCTCCTGGTACCTAGGAGAACATGAGGCAATTAATACATGATTAACCCGATCAAGCCGTATTGTTTGATGGAATATCCTATAGTTACTTACCTAGGATAGGTACTTAATGACGAGGTGTGGTCGGACGAAAAGATTGCTGGTATAAGGAAGGTGAGGTAGGATAGGTAAATTCCGCGACCAGTAGCAAACAGAGACTTCGGATGGTACTCGTATCTAGTCACAAATCTAGCAATCGATTTAAGTGAGCATATTCATGAACTTGGAAGTATTAGAACTTCCAAGTTATCTACATACATAGTAGGTACATTTCCAAGTTCTCTGGCCATCTACAAAGGTACGTAGTAGTCACGTAACGCTCCTTCCTTGAGAATTCAGCCTCCAGTTCCAATAATACTTGACAATCCACACGGAGAACTCAAGTGCTATCCTTCGATTCAACCTTCGATTCATCATATCGACTTGAAAAAATATCATTCAACACACACTCACTATCACCACCTATAACTTCACCCTATACAAGACGCGCCAGAGATATCACATCAAGTCAACATCAGACGCCAATATGTGCTGCTTCCCGTGCTGGGGAGTCAAGGATATCGTTGTCGAAGAAGACCCTGTTGAGCAGCAGGGTTACCGATATGTCTGGAATGGAACTCAGTGGAAATTGAGAGGAGGAGAAAGCCAAGCTGTAAGTGAAAAGAAAATAATTAGAATATTTCTTACTCTCGAACTCTTCTGTTATTTTTGTTTGTTTTCTGTTATTATTCTTGAAGTAAGGTAAATAAACAGCGCTTTCTTTTCTTTACACCCGGAGGCTGTGAGTGACATCACTGTCGCCCATTCAAAGGGACATTTATTTTCATCCAGGGCAACGGGGCGAGGGGCGAATGGCAGCAAACAGTGTATATTGTGTATATACCTGGTATCTCAGGGGACAATTATAAGGCACGCAACGCAAGTCACGGATCCAAGGTACCACTAACCATACTTACCTACTTACCTACCCAAGGACCTACCTTCCTTCCTTCCTTCTTCCTACCCGCCAGTTTAGCACTGATTTCTTTGAGACCACCCATCGCACAGTCTCGAGAATCAAAAATCAAAACTGGTCCCATTCGTTTCCCCCATTTCCCATTCGCTTTAACCGCGATTCACCTCTTTCCCTCTTTCCCATTCATTCCCATCCATTCATATTCCTCCACCCTCCGCCCTCTACCTTCACTTTCAATTAGTAGTGATTTTCAATCTCTATTTAATCCAATTCCGCCGCCCTCCTTCCAACTTCACTCACTCACCCATGCTCCCTGGAAAGTAATTAACCAAGTAAAAGGCAAGACATACTTGGTCTATCCAAGGCATTGGGATTCACTACTTGAACACACTCTTTTCTTCTTTCCCTTTCAATCGTTGTTGTCCCTGCCCATCGGTCAAATAACCACCTCTGGGCTTATCCATCATGAGCCCATCTTCCAAAAGTCATCAAAATCCTCAACACAAGGAGTATTATTTCCAGGACCAACGTCGTCGTTCGTCCGTTGCGAATACTGACGAAATCACTCGCGAGAACACGCGCGCCAATACCCGTCCTAATACTAGCACTCGTTCTCGCCTAGACTCTCACCCTCAACCCCACACTCGTGCCCCTCCACACTCCCAAACTTGCACACACTCTTGCGCCCACAACCACACAAGTGCTAGTGCCGGCGTAGCCAATCCCAAACCCAAGCCCAGCATTGTACCAGACGAGGAGGATATTTCAGTGCGCAAATCTATCGCGACTGAGTCTGCTGAAGATCAAAACAAGAAGAGTGACAAGCCCACTCAGCCAACCTATCAGCCCCCGTCCCCTGGTTTTCACCACACTGTTACCAACGTCCCCGGCCGAGGCTTAGTCTACAGTACCAATTACACTGGTCACAGTGTAAACACGCCTTTTGGTCACACACAGCAACCAGGCCAGTATCAATTCCCAGGAAGTGTCCCGCCTACCGTTCTTCTGCCACCAGGTATTTATCAGCAACCTCACCAGACAATTCCTCAATCGGTTCCTGGCATCCAGCAACAGAACCTAGCAATGGCGTATTCCACTGGTAGCATGCCCAACATGGGCCAGCACTTTCAGCCTCCCGTCCCGGATACCACCAACGGTCCTATCTCACACACTTATCACCCTCGCTTCGACAGCCAGACGGCCGCTGGTCAGTACATCATCATTGACGGCCAGGCCTACGTCGCCACCAGCCAGGCCCAGCCTCAGGATGGAAATGTCGGTGGCGCCTCGATCGTCTATGTTCCCGTCCAGACGGGCGCTCAATTCCCGGGTCAACAGGTATATACCACCTTCATCACTCATGGTCTATCGAACAGAGGATTGGTTCTCCCAACCATCCACTACTACATCCAGCAAGATATTAGACTGACCCAACCTGTTTACTATGCTGTAAATGCAAGTACGCTCCATACTCTGGCGAAGTGCCTATGTTTGGAGTACTCGTTGTCATGTCCAAGCGGATAGACTCCTCGTCGCCCATCTGATTTTCTTTTTCCTTTACTTTCTTGTCTTGCTTTTTTGTCTTCTTTTTTTTAATCTCTGCGCTCACTTACCTTTCCACACAAAAGCTAACATGTCTCTCTTCCAGACTCTGAACACTACTGGCAATGTGCCCATTGTCATCCACCAGGGCGGCCAGCAGCCAATCTATGTCCAGACCCCGGGCCAGCCTCAGCCTGGCATTACTGTTGTCGGCCAGCAGCCCCAGGCTGCCGCCCAGCCTAGTGTATTCCCGCCTCAAATGGTAGCCAATGCCACCATGCCCGGCGCCTTCCCCAGCGGTGTCGCTCCCGACGTCATGGGAATTGGCAAGACTGGAACTGAAGTCCAGATGGAGCAGTACTACACTGCCTTGAACAACGGCGCCCTTGAGGGCCAGGACATCGCTCCTGCTGACCCCGATCCTTCTCGCATGTACTACGTCCGTGAGCTTGATGGCGAGTGGACTCTTCGCAACCGCTTTGGTATTGACAATCTCGACGGCTGCCGTTGGTACGTCATGCCTGGCGGCGTCTTCTACGCCGTCCGCACGCCCGAGTGAGTGGATGTAATCGGTAAGAGATCTTTTTAGATGATGACGACGCATGTGCCTTAGTCAACTAACATCTTCTTCCAGCCACTCCTTATTCAACTCGACTTGCATGAACGTCCAAGCACAGATTTTCGTACGTCGATATTCTGCTTTGCAAGACACAAGGATGTGTTTTTCTCCTAGGGCTTCTCGTTTATTGGTAAGTTGTAACTTGTTGTCATCCTTCACAACACTTACTCATGCGCAACATAGGTACTTTTCTCGCATTTTCACCTATAAGTATGGACTTGCTGCAATAATGTCCCAAGATCGAGAAGGTTAGTAGTAGTCAATCCCTCCAGGACTAGAAGCCCCGTTCAAGAACTAATTCATCGAAAAGGTACCATTGCCACCTTGCACTGAAGGCTTTTCAATGCAAATATAATACAGCAGGTGGAACTACGACAATGACACCAAATGGCTCATCAGTCTAACCCTCTTTTTGGGAGAATGTTTCTTATGGGTGTTTTTCCTTTTTTCCCTCCTTGTTTTCCCTCTAATGAGATATACCCAGGATCTTCTGGGTTGGGGTTTTCACCAAGGATCGCGCGCTGCTTTGCTCCTAGGAGATTGGGCGCAAATGCACAAGTCCCGGAGTATTGGCTAGGTAATGGTCAACAATCATGGCTGGGGAAGGACGGCTCTAGTTATTTCCAAGTCATGGGAGTTGTTGATGCTGAAAAGAATCAGCTCAACATCTTCCTTTCACACTACTATTACCCAGTTGCGCATAGGCGTCCAGGGTTTTCTTTCCTAGCATAGGTCTCATAATAATGACGATGGTTTTCTCCTATCTTAATGCATCGAGAATGTGATCCTTCTACATGATAAAAACTTGCTTTGCTTTCGTGTGAACTTTTGACACAAAATCAGTGTAGATTGTTAAGAATAAAGGTAAATATGCCTGCATATGTTACGTTGAAGTCGTTGCGGCTGAGATAGTGGAACATCTATGGTCCGGATAGACGCAGCACGTGCTAATAGTAAGCGCGCTAATTATTGATGCTTCGAACGGTACATACATAGGTACAATACTAGGTACAATACTAGGTACAATACCTAGGGTAGGCCACCCCTGCCCCTCGCTATTTGGAATTTTGGAACATTGTGAGCCTTCCAACTTCAAGGAGGTTACCAGGTTTTAACTAATAAATGCACTAACTAAAAATCTGGGGCAACCACCAGCAACTTTAGGGACCTATCTAGTAAGTACCGGCGTATGTATCTAACGTTAAGTGCTTCAATTTCTTCAGCATTACGTTGTAGTTAAACATTAGTACTTGTTTCTTGTTTCTTGGCCAAAACTCCTTTTACATTTTGTCCCTTTCATGTTTTTCTATTCTCTATCGAATCTAGGAACCTTTCAAATGCAGAATTCACTACTACATAACTCATCCATCAGCCGCAACGTTTCGTCCAGGTTTGATGTATGATACCATCGGGGTTTAATCTTAGCAAAAAGGGCTTCGTTCAACGATCTATTGTATCACTAGGAGACCGCTATTTTCCACAAACGCTGGAAAAGGGATCTACATATCTATCTTTTATTCATCCTCTCTTCGACCCCGCGTTAAGCAATATGCGGTAACTACTATAACTACTATAACTAGTATTAACTACTACCTACCTACCCGGTACTGGGCACAGCTCCCTTTCGGCCCTATCCTCGGTACGACTACTTAGGGTTACTGTCTTATCGATTAGGTAGCTACTATGCACTATGCATAAACGCGTGTGCAGCTTCTAGCTCCAATGAGTTGCCTATTCTCACTCTGGTCGCCGAACTACTCTAACTCCGCCTCACCACCCTAGCAGCTGTATTCTACACCGAGTCACAATGCCGACGCAGCTCGACATGTGATCGCCCCGGATCATGCAACCGTAGCCTTCCCAGTTGGGGTAGGTAGATCACGATATACAATACCATGCACAGATCTATCTACAGATCTATCTACAGGTCTATCTACAGGTCTTATACTTTCTTACCATTCCCAGCGACTGAACAGGCTTCTCTACCCACAAACCCTAGTGTCTACTCCGCTGGTGAACTTCGCTTGCTGGCCGAAATTCGCCCATCGAGAACTTTAATCGGTAGTCGTCAACTATGATGTTAACTAGCTTGACTACCATACTTCAAGTTCAACGGCATTGAGGAAGCCGGTGTTAGCAGGACCTGCGAAGACATGGTTACCCCAGCGGGCTTACTTCCTTTTTCATAAATGGCGTAGTCAACGATCTACTCTGGAGTCTGAATCTCTCAAAACTTCCCTTCTAGAATGGATCATGGAGGCAGTTTGTTCGCTAGCTCATGACCCCCTGCTTTCTGTCTTCTATGCTATTCCCTGTCCTTTTCCGGCCGTGATATCGCCATCAAGATGGTAGCCCGTCGTCTTGGCCTTGTGCCCAAACAAGACAAGGGAGTAGTATAATACTCACTGCTTCCCCTCCCTCTATATTCTCTTAGGCCCGATCAATGTGATCTTAATCGTCTCGAGATTGCCCTTCGGGCTGTCTAAGTAATTTTCTTCTCGATTCCTCCTGGCTTTCGCCGAGTATATATCGCTGTTTCAACTACTCCTATCCTATGCCATGGCGGAAGACAATCGCGGACCCGAGCTGGTTGGCACCATCACAGTGTTTCTCGGACTATCAGCCATCACGGTGGCTCTCAGATGTTATGTCAGAGCGTGTATGCTGAAGATATTTAAGATAGAGGATTGGTTAGCTGTTGCGACGATGGTAGACTAAAGCTCCTCCCGACACTCTTCAAATACAATTGGGGCTAATCAAAGCAGGTATTCTTTGCATTATACTGTGCTATCTCTATGGTAAATGTGTCAAACGGGGCCGGCAAACATATGGAAGATGTCCCTATTGAAAATATCACCAAGGTTCTCCGGGTAATGCTTCCGACATCCTAAACCGTCTCGATGCTTTGAAGCTAATTACTGATCATAGTTGAGATGGGCGGGAGAGTTGACATATATTGTCACATGTCTGTTCCTCAAATTTACTGTCGGCATCTTCCTCTTGCGCATATGCTCGAAAGCATGGCAACGATCAGTCATATACATGGTGCTTCTTGTGTGTTTCGTATATCTGATCTTCTACGCCTTCATGACCGTGTTCCAATGCCAGCCTATACCTTACTTCTGGCATCGGTTTACAGGAGACATGACTGGGAAGTGCTGGAGTAATGAGCTTATCGAAGGCGCGACATATACGGCCGCCGCGATCACTTGTATTTCGGACTGGGTATTAGGTTTATTACCTATCGCGCTGGTGAGGGATCTGGAGTTGACGAAAAGAACCAAGATAATGATTTCTTTTACCCTGGCACTTGGGTCTCTGTATGGCTAACATTTCTCTTCTCCCTCTACCCGGTCGTTCCCATCTACTGTCTTCTACTTTACCCCTGAACACTTGACGGCAAAACCGCTAATGAAAAAAAGAGCATCGACAGCAACTATTGTCCGCATCCCGTACGTTCGAAAATTGACCCTGAGCGGTGACTTCATGTACGAATTCACAGACCTGGTGATTTGGTCTGCTGCCGAGAACGGGCTGGGCCTAATCGCGGCCTCGATCGCCACCCTGCGTCCGCTTGTGAGAGCCTTCTTTGGAGGGACACGGGTAGGGACGCCATCACACCAGCGGCGTTCTATATATTCGTGGCGGAGATCAGACGTTGTTGAAATCCGCCGCAGGGCGCAGAGCGAAAATATACAATATTTTAGGATGGGGGATTATAATATCAAATCACCTGAGCCGATTCGCAAGCATATTAGGAATGCGTCGGATTTTAGGTAGATGTTGTAGGTAGCTAGCTACCTTTCTACATACTTACCTACCGACCTAGTAGATAGGCGGGAAACACATGAATGAATAAATGAACAAATATCACTCAACTTTGTCGTCAGCCGTCCTGAATAGAAATTTCTCGATACTTAGTGAAAAAAAGTTTTTTTTTTCTTTACAAACAAATTTCAGCCGCGAGGTGGGTGGATCTGGCGGTCCCCTAAATCAAGGCACCTGCGCTAAAGTCATGCTTCTACCTACTACCAACCCCTTTTCTGTAGCTAGTTAGTAGTTACTAGCTAGAGGATGGTGAGTATTGAGATGCTACAGCGCTAACGTAAGGCTAACCATCAAAGTTCAAAAACTATCGAGTATCAAGGTTTCATGTATTAATATTCTTACCTAATTGGCATGGAAGAACATATAATAGCAATACATAGCATTGTTTTAACACTCTCAATCAACTAGGTTACCTAGGTTTGTAGCTTACCTACATGTAGGTAGTAGGTACGAATAGGCGACAAGTCATATTCGGTTAAACCTCGGCGCAAATAAAGCTATGTAGTTAGTTAAACTAACTCACCAAAAAAAGAAAAAAAAAAGTTAGTTATAGTTACTACGACTTAGGTAATCCACCTACCTACCTACCTACATAGCCATCCAAACGATCCATCCAATGTAATGGCACCACCACCCAGCGTCGCCAACCCCGAAACCTCCTACAGCAATGACGACTACGACTACGAAGCAGCGCTAGCCAAGCTGCAGCCGCTGCGGCCGGTCCTCGGGGGCTTCAACCACCGCAACCGGAACCAGCACCGGCGCGCGGCGTGGTGGGGCGCGTTCGGCATGCTGCGGCGGCACGTGGAGGTGCTTGTTGACGAGCTGGCGGTCGCGTCGGCGCTGGTTAGGAAGAAGGCTGTGGCTGCTGGGGGGAAGAAGCGGAAGCGTGATGGAGGTGGTGGTGGTGGTGGTGGTGGTGGAAACAAGGACGGCGCCGAGGAGAAGCAGGTCCGGGGTCACGTGAGGTGGTTGCGGGATGTGCTTGTTCCGAAGTGTTACCTGTATGTATGTCTCTACATTGTCTATATCTCGTTTTCTACGATCTCTCTCTCTTTTGGCTATGTCTTCTTCTGTCTCCTTTTTTTTAATCATCCTATCTCATCTACCTACCTACCACCCCCTCCCCTTCTCCTACCCCCCCCTCTCAACCCAACCCTCGTCAAAACGATGAACGAACGAACGAACCACCACGAAACAAAATGAATAAATCGAACCCAACCGCTAACAAACACCCCTCCCGGCAACAGTGCCTTCTCGCAACTAACCGCAGACAACCAATTCGCGGCCCTGGGCCTCGTGCTCCTCGGCGCACTAGCACTGGTAAACACAAGCTGTGAACAGCTAATAGGCCCCAACACCACCACCGCCTCCCTTCCATCAGACAGCAGCCTAAAAGCAGATGCCGCTCTCCCCTCCACAGAGCACAGCAACACCACCACCACCACCACCAAACAACCACCCGCAGCCCAAAACCCCAACCCCAACCCCGCCCTCGACACATCCGGTCAAAGGAGTGGTATAAGTAATAACCACAACAACCACAACAGCAGCAGCAGCAGCAGCAGCAGCAGAGGCGGCGCCCCGATCTCCCGAGCCGAGGTAGCCAAGCTCCTCCTCCAGCCCTCCCCTTCCCCTTCCACTTCCACTTCCACTTCCCCTTCCCAACCCCAACCCGCTCCTCTTCTTCTTCGTTCCACCTCAACCCCACCCGCCAAAAAGCGAAGAAGCAAGGAGAACCCAAAGGAGGAAGAAGAAGTTTCCGCCACCGCCACCACTACCGCCACCGCCACCGCCAGAGACAATGATTCTGATGATGCTGATGATGCTGATGGTGATGGTGTGTCGTCATCGTCAAGACCGGTAATGAAGCAGGGGAGGAAAGGGAAGGGGGTGGAGATGGAGAAGGGGAGGACAAAAGGGGAGAGGAAAGAGACGGAAAAGACGAAAGGGGAAGAGAAGCAGAAAAGGAAAAAGCAAAAGAAAAAGAAGGGAAAAGGCACAGGAGGCGATGAATTCGACGACCTGTTCAAGGACCTCTTTTGATGGTACGAAGGACGGTACGGTACGGTACGGTGCGCCTTGGGAGGTAAACCTACATATAGCTAGCTACCTGGGGTATCTTAGGTAGTATTCCTGAACCCCTTTGGAGAACAACAAGTACATAGATAGGTACCTACCTATACGGAGCTCACCCCTACGATTGATTTACGCAAACTTCGTGCACCACCCATACAAGGGAGCTTTGAGAGATGAGAAACAGTTTAGATTTAGAACCTCAATTTCACAATGCAGCTTCTTTTACTCCGCTGACTATCTACCGGCATAGAAAGCTAGGTAGGTAAGGAGCAAAGACTAGGTAGACATACACCACGCATTTGTTCGACACTATAGAGAGTAGTTTCTTTTTCGTTACTGATTAAGACTTGTCTTCTAAAGCCAGCCAGCCAATGGAACACCGCTACGAGATTTTTACCCCCTTGATTCTCCAAGTAAAACCAATATATCCACACCTTCATGTGCATCTACGGAGATGAATAGTACGCATCTACCTTAGACTGAACGCACCGAGGTCTCCACGAGGTCAAAAGCTAACTAATTTCTTGTGCCATCCTCTGCACTTTCCGCTGAGCCTTGTTTATATTCATGGTTTTGCCATCCGACATGGCCGAAGCTGAGTATCGCACGGAGTGAGTTGAGCTCGTTTCAAGTAAGGTGAAGGCATTCGTGCAAGGACCCTCGCCCTTAAGATATTGATCGATACGACCAGATACGTGCTCTCATGTCGCCAGAGCCAGTCGCAAAGAAGCCACCGGTTGGGCTGGGTGCCACGGAGATAACCGAGTTCTTGTGTCCTTGTAACATGAGCTGGGTAAATCCAGTTCGGGGATCCCAAAATTGAACTCCACGATCCTTGGAGCCCGACATAACCCAGTTGGCATCGGGAGTAAGGGCAACGCTGAGCACGAAGTCCTGCAAAAGTTAGCATAGCACAACAGGGGAGAATGGCATGGGGCTTACCCTGTGACCTTCGAACGTCTTCACACATCGACCGCCCTTGGGGCCAGGATTCTGCACACCTCTGGGAGTGGATAACTCCCACATCTTGATAGTCTTGTCTAAGCTGCCACTCACGAGATCTTTCCCGTTGGGAGAGAATGCTACCGAGTAAACACTATCTTTATGGCCCTCGGGGCCCTCAAGACGCTCAAGAAGATACCCCTGATGAATATCCCAGACCCGAACGCTCTTGTCGAGCGAGCCAGCGGCCACGTACTTGGTGTCGGGAGAGATGGCAACAGTGGTAACGCCGTCTTCAATAGAGAGGGTTAGCATATTTGTGCCTTGTTCGATGTCCCAAAGTCGCACGGTCCTATCGCCACTACCAGAGGCAATCGTTCGCCCATCCCGGGCAAAGTCCAGGGAATATATATCCTGCTCGTGGCCGGCAAACGTGTTGCGGATAGTCCGGGTTTGAATGTCCCATACCTATTTAAATTAGTAACGTGTGCATCCCAAAGGGAAATATTAGTACGGAGAGCTTACGCGAATGAGCTTATCCTCGGCGCCGGTGGCTAGATATTTGCCGTCGGGACTGAAACACACACTTCGGATATATAGGTCTCCAGTGATATCCACATTCTCATCCTGCAACACGCACACCTTCTCTCCAGTAGCCACATCGTAAATCTGAGCCGATCTATTGCAACCCGTCGCGACGTATTTTCCATCGTGGCTGAATCGGACACAGCAAACGACGCTCTCGTGGTTGAGCGTGTGGACTAAGTCAACGTCGAGCATACGCGGGACGTGCTGGTTGAAAATTACGAACCAGTCGTCTCGCGTCTTTTTGACATGCGCGGGAAGACGTTCAACATCCAAGTCGCCTAGAGCGTTGTTTACCATTGGGCCAGGGTGAGGCGGCATAGCTCTATGGTCCGGGGTGGGATGATTTGCTACCTGAGGTGAGGCCCCAGGCCCGGGATAGGGCATCGGAGTATTGATTTGGGGAGTGGCGGGCCCTCCAGCCGGAGGCCTACCGATACCACGCTTGCCCGGTCCGGGGGAAGCCGTGCTCTGAGGGGCCGGCCCAGGGAACCCATTGGGGGCCGGTCCTTGGTAAGCTGGCTGAAAAGGAGGCTGCTGAGACGGGGGTGGAGGTGGTGGTGGAGGGCCTTGGAGTCCCGGAGGCGGCTGCGGCATCTGATGCTGTTGAGGCCCCGGGGGAGCTTGCTCTTGAGGGGGAGGCTGCGGGGGAAGACCACCACCTTGACCTCCCTGGCCGGTCATTATACCGCTAAATAGGTTGTTACCCATACCAATCGAGGGCGGTGGGCCTGCAGAAGGACCACCATGTTGGGGCGGACCAGGTATACTAGGCTGAGGGGCACCCCCACGCGCGGCCTCAAGCTGGCGACGAAGTATCACCATCTCCTCTTCGTACCTATAGAATAGAGTTAATAAATTGCCAATTCAGCTTTGACATCAACGCCTAAGTTTCGAGGATTCTTACTTTGACTTAATGTTGATATGCTGCTGCTCTAATTGATAAACCTTTTCGCGAATCAACTGGGCTTCGTTGACTTGCTGTTGAACTACGAGACTGTTAGCATTATGATTTTGCGTATGTATGAACACAAATCCGGTGCGTATTTGCTTCGTTTAGCTAGAAATTTAATGAGCCGCAGCGAGTAAGCTCGACTGCGCTCTAACATTCTTCTTTTTTTATTTCTCATTTTTTGAATTTTTTATAAGTTCAAGTGTCTCTCTCTACTCACTTTGCTGTTCGTATCCTTCATTCATGCGAACTTGGTTATCAAACTCAGTTCGGATCTGGTCGAGAAGCTCGTTAAGACGCGCCGCATTTTGCGGCAGAGCGCGATGCGGGTACATAGACATCGTGGAATAATTATATGGACGCGCGAACAAGTTATGGCGAGACGGCGTTTTTGAAATTGAGTAGTGTTAAGACAATGCGATTTTGCTCGACGAAGGTAAATGACCGTGATTACGTCGGATTTGCAATTCTTTTTTGATGGTTGGATTTCTTTTGACCCTTATGCAGCTTCGTACGCGAAAAAATACTCCCACCCTCGCGACCCAATTGCACGAGCGTCACGGGCGAACACGGGACTTGGCGAGGGCCTTGTTAGACGACAGTGGGCATAATCGTGCTTGCAAATATGAAAGGTCGTTAAAGATTAATGGAGTTGCGGTAGAGGCGCAACCGTGGCTTGCCGTTATTCACTTAATACCGAAGATGTGGATGTGGATAAGTTGTTTTGGCGACGTGATTGAGGCTTACCAAATAAGTGTGGTGTGGTGTTGAGGAGTTTAAAAAAGCGATCGAAGAAAAAAAAAAATCGAAAAAGAAGGGATGGCAGAGAGAAGAGGAGATCAAGGTCGGTAATACTCAGATTTGTTTGACCAGGGCTTGGGGGGGGCTAGGCACGAGCTGGATTAGAACCATGACATGTTGCGTGGAAGTACCTACTATGTATGATGGCTAGTGGGTAACTAAGTGCCCAGGTGGGTTTAATGTTCGGGCGACGGATCCTTAGTATGCAATGCACGCATTGTGAGGTTGACAGGGGTCGTTAAGATGGACGGACCAATGTACAGAATCCACTTCAGTGTAACGGTACTATAAGTATGTACTATCTACCTAGGTACTTTGAATACGAATACAAACCTGCAAGTTGCAACTGCCTCATAATCAAATGTAGCATATACATAATATGTACTATTAGATAAGGTTACCTAGTACATACATACAGCATACATACAGCATACATACACATGCACATACATATGTATGCAGGTTTCATTTTATAGTTTTCGTTTCGTTTCCTTCTTTTGACCTCTAAACAATAATATACTATTACCTTATCTGGTACAGCTTAAGTTTTTAGCGGGATACCGGGTCAAGGCTGCCTGCATTTGGGTGGGGATACGGGGAGTTCCATTGGCAAGCAAGAAGAGGTTGAAGAGGAAGCAACGGCTTTAGGTACACGCCGATTAAGTATCCGCTACATGAGCACGCACACTGACAGTTTTGGAAGTTTGTGGGAATCGCGATTTCACGGAGGATATGGGGCGCGCACGCTACAGCAAGATGGCCCCCACTTGACCAAATTTGGTAAGCGCAATGGGTTAGGTACACAGGGAACATCGGTACATGACATTGGGCGACATGATGTGCGGGTATGTTAGCCAAGGCTTGCCATGTAATGCAAGTGTACGGAGACATTTGTTTTTTTTTTTGGTCTTTTTTTCTAATGTTCCTCTTTTGTTTCCTTCCTGATGCGTTGCATCGTTTCAACGCCTCCCATTTGTGCTTTGGCAACGTGTCTGCATAAGTAATTTGGAACCTTGCCACCAGAGTGCCTCCGTTGATTTTTGCAGAGAGCAACATTGAAGTTTTCTTACTTGGCTATCTGGGTACACACCCGACATGATTTTAGCGCCTTCCTGACAGGGGAATGACCTACATAGAGCACATAATGTCAACGGTATTAATAGTACGCTATGTAAGAGAATAGTTAATTGAGCCTTATCTAACAGTTCTAACTACATACATACATATCAGCTCGGATGAGGATAGGTACATAGGTATGTATGTATACATCTATTACATCCATGGATATTACTAGGTATGTACCTACATATGTACATACCGTTGACCATGTGTGGTGTCTGAAAGTATGAAATTGTGGAAAGGGGTCGGTGAGCCAACAGTCGGCTTACCTTCCTCAACTAACTATGGTGGTAGCGCATTCCCGGCTGCAGTATAGGGTGACCATTTGTACACGCCCGCGTTCCCCCACCTTTTGACCTTCTTTAGTTAGTGCCAAGTACCTAGCCTAGTGCCTTGCGGCGATACCACTCTGCTGCCACTGTGCCTTTTTGGCCTTTTTGCCGTTACTAGGTACATTACAACGTAGAATCTTTCTACAGTTATAGTGCCTATATAGTACTAGTCACACTTTGTAGGAAAGGTAAGCTCCTCAATTTTAAGGCAGGCTGTTAACTTTAGTTACATGGATCTGATGGTTGGATTATGATTTAAGTGCCTGTAAGTACGGAGTAGGTAACAAATAACATCGAAACCTTAGTACCTCTCTGGCTTGGCTGTTAGTAAGAGTAATATAGTTGAGATTTAAAGAAGAGCTTATATTCGTACCTGGAGGGTTAAGTGAAGAGGTAGTTCATAATATATAAGCTTCTTTTTTTCCTTCAATGTTTTTCATACATGTACATTAACTTCAATGTTGAGTTACATAACTACATGTAGGCAGAACTTCTTTGCAACGGTAGGTAATGGTGGCATAAATACTTGGCGGGCGCTAACTACAACACGTTAAGCCTCGCTCGGATACCCGGAGATATCGAGGACGATAACTCCTAGTCTACGGCAGGGTGTGGCTTTAAAGAAAGCGTATCCATCTCCAATAATAGCTCTGAGGCCTGGAGAATGAACTTGCCCAGACTCCACACCAACCAGCATCCAAAAACAAGGCTCTTCGCTAACTCGCCTCCTAATAAAACCAGGGGGCCATGATTCGGCAAATTTTGAGAATCTCGCCTATACGGATAGAAAACGTGTCTTGCAAGGAAGAACGAATAGGGATAGTTATTGGCGGCCCAGGTGGAATGACCTTCTAGATCGGAGCGTTTGACCTTGTCTCCATCTTAAACCTTGTAAAAACCCACTTAGTTACATTACCCAAACAAATTGTATGGCGATCATATCTTAAAATATGAATTATGAATGGTTATATACACTGTATTACGTATATTAATTCTTTTATCTTATATAGGTTATTCAAATATATAGCTATATAAGTGCAACCGGTATCAATTGAAAGCGCATTGAATAACGAATCGATTGATACCGGTCTCGAGTTGGTGAGATATCTGGTTGTAAAGTTATTCAGGTAAATAAGCTAGCTGGGCGGGCGGGCGGGCGCACGTGATCACCCTTGAAGCCACCTAAGAGCCTGCACACGATCGCCTAGGGGTGTCACATGATAAGCTGTCACATGATATCTCCCGATATATATACCTAAATAACTTTGCAACCAAGTATCGCATTCATATTTAACTTATATCATTTAATGGACAATTAAATTCTCTTTTAATTGATACCGGTTGCATCATTGTAGCTATATGTTTTAAACGTTTAGGTTGGATATTAAATAATTAAGACTTTATTTAAGCGATTGTATGTTGGCCTTAAGGGTGATCACGTGCAATCCAAATAACCGGCGTTTTACGGCCCGAGAAGGCTCTAGATTTAAGGTTTTAGGGCCCGATAGCAATAATAGGTACAGTACTACGCCGTATATGTAATTACCTAGGATACTCATACTTTAAGATATGATCAACACACAATTTGTATGGGTAATCTAACTAAGTGGGTGTTTACAGGGCTTAAGCAGGGTTTAAGGTGGAGACAAGGTCAAACGCTCCGATCTAGAAGGTCATTCCACCTGGGCCGGTTATTGGTGAGCGATATATATTGTTATATTATAAATAAGAACTTGGTATATATAAGCTCAATGTTATGCCTAGTAGGAAACCAATATTTGTGTAATTTGTCATTTTTCCTCTACCTTTGCCGTATGGATGTAGTTATGTACTAGTACCTAACCTAGTATATATCCATCATCGAAGTTATACAATTAGATATGGGTTCAACGTATGTAGAATACGCACAAGTTGCAACATACCTATTCTATTCGCTACATACATGTACATAATCCTTAGATGGCCACAATGCAAGTCTCACCTGTCACTATTTATAAGTACGAATATGAATATAATGAGCCTAGGCTACATATACCTACATATGTACATACCTACGTACTCTTCAAGGGCTACTGGGGATGTATTCGGCGGGGAAGCACTAACACGCCTGCCTGCTTACATAGTAGGTACCACATCTATGCCAAAGGCCAAACGAACAACTTAGAGCTACATATATCATACCTACCCAGGTACCTACATAGTGTGGTGTGGACAGCATATATGTATGTGGGCAGGATCTACACCCCAAATCTATCTCACCCTAACCAAGACAAGCGGCTTAGTATATAAGATACTTAGTATATAAGATAAGAGGTACGAATACAACACAAGAACACGGCACGTCATAAAAATAAATTCTCGGTGTGACAGGTTAGTCAAGGCAACTGGCATATGTACCTTACTATGTAGGCCTGTATTGTATTGTATTGTGCCTAGGTACGTATAGGCCTCTACACTATCTGCCCTAGACGACAGCTGCTATGCAGACACAGGTAACATGAACGTATCGATCGCCAGTAGGCACTTACTTCGCAAACCAAACGCCTAGAAGAAAGATAAAATACACGGCCTCGTACCTAGGTAGTCTGGCAGGAACGGCTACCGCATCTTGGTTTGTCCATCGTCTACTACCTACTGTAGTAACCAGCATAGCGTAAGGCGCGTTAAGCGTGGAGTGTGTAGTCCCATTCGCCCTAGGCACTTGGGGGTTTCTACCTACCTATATATAAACTTAGACTATAGTTACACCTACGTAGTTTGTACTAACAGCCGGATAGAAACCTTCCAGGGCAAAGGGAGGAGGGCCTTAGCCGAGTCGCCACACCAACTCCCCCGGGACTCCGAAAGCCAAGCTACCTTCCCTACCTACCTACCAATGCATCTTAGCTACTCGGTGACTAACCAACTTGGGGGCACTTGGGGTTGCTTCTTATCCCCGAGTCCAACACCCCCCCCCTCAACTCCGGATCTATCGTTTGCTTTCTTAGGTATGTATTGTACACTGCGACTTTGCTTTTTCCGACCGCACCAGCGGCCAGTGCAACCCGCTTTCTCGACCATTTCCCCTCATGCGAGTAGATCCTTGAGAAGGTATATTGCCGATGACTGCAACCATCAGCGCATACATATGTATTGCTGCAAGTAATGTACCATGTATATATATATGTACATGTATGTCATCCCATTACATATCTGATTCCTGCAGCATCCAACTTAACTTACCTAGGGTAATATACTACATACATCTGATAAAGTAGTGCGGCCCCTGACTACATATATAACGCTAGCACATCAGTACCTAGACACTTATCTTCTTAGCTGTCGCCTATGAATGCTACAGGATAGATATCAGAACCTGCCCGTGGAAACTGTGATAGTAAGTGCTGGACATACTGATTCATTGAAGAACCAACCGTTAACTCCTAACTTCACCACGTAGCGCTACTTGCCGCCGTCCGGTCCGATGTGCTGCCTGCAACAGTCAGCAGTTTTTGGTGGCATACCAACCTAATATTCAAAGGGTTAGACCTTATCCTACACACCACACCATAGGTAGGTGTGCAACCCGGGGATAAACACCTACATATGCCTACATATGTAGGTATGAAAAGTTAATATCTGACTCAGCCGCCACATGAATATGAAACCTGGGTATAAACCAATAGAGTGGGAAGCTGACTCCATGTTGATCCTTAAACCCCGGATTATCGTTCTTAGCGTCTCACGGTTAGGTCTAATTTGCGAACATGGTATCCTAGAGGCTAGCCGTTGAAAATATAAACCACACTCAGTATAGATTTCGTGGTGTTTTGCCAAGAGTGAGTCCCTTAGGCGAACCGCGCCGCCGTCTCGGAAATATCGGTCCCACCTTCCTCCGGCATGCTAGACTCTCGGAGCTTCCGAAAGATGAACGGTGATTGAAGGCCGCTGGACTTGCGGGCGAAGCTCCAAATTTCAAATCCTCGGACTAAGAACATGTCTCTACCAAGGTAATAAACACAACCCGATTAAGTTAGTATCCAAGTTGTGGAAGAGCATGCTATTTGAGCTGGGGCAAGTTACTATATCGTAGCGATTTAGTACGGTTCATCGTCGCTTAGCAAGCATGTGACGTGTTAACACGCAATAGCCAGCTTAAAACATACCTATGGGTGAAGCGACTGGCTATTATAACGACACAAGCCATACAACCCTGCTGCTTACCGAATCTTGTAGGTTCTACCAAATACCGAGGAGCTTAGGCTATTGGCTCTGTGACATGTCTTCGGAGCTTCGATTCGAGGCCAGTGCTCGATATCAAGGCAAGTTTTGAGTCGTCCACCCTTTGCTCGTCAAGTCTCAGGCCACCGCTCTATGTTTTCCCAAAAGTGCATTGTCGGCTTATTCGCACTGGCTTATATAGGGCCACTTGAAGGTTGGAGGGAGAATTTGTTCTGTTCATGAACGCATCCATGGATATTTTCGATATGAGCATCCAGTGGGAACTCGACGGCGTAGCGGGTGGCAATACAAGACAGTTAGGCATCGGGCTCGATGACTGCTAATTGCTGCTGAATTAATGTTGTCTTAGCATCTCCGACCCCCTGGAGACTTTGGGCACTTTAGTTGCCTCACTCGACGTATCTGGAAAGAGCCGCGTAGGACCGGGAAATTCATAGTTCTTGGTGTCCTGCATCGTCTTACCGAGGCTGTATTGGTAAGCAAACAAGCTCCGTCTTTTCTTGTTTTCTTTATCTCTCGACTATTGTAGTCATCAATCTTGGGATTGCTGGAAGGTAAAATGGGCCCCCCTAAGACCTTGTTCCTTGAACAAGTGTTGAGAAACATAGGAAGTCGAGCGACACATACGTTAAGAACTCGACCTCTCATCGTACGTTTATATCAAACCATGATGGGCAGTGGGGGGAATGCTTATGGTACGATGGCCCGATGATGGAACGGACCTTCACTGTTTACCTAGACAACCAACAGTCGGTTATCGCTGGCTTATGTTCAAGAGGTCGAAGCAATATTAGTGCTATATAGACTGGATAACTTGTCTTCTAATGACGTCAACCGAAAGGACAAATACAGTATTAATAATATATGTAGGTTAGGCATATATCTATGTCCCTAGGGTATGCATGTGTTGTATATGTCGTGATGGTGATGTAGTTAATAGTGTAAGTAGTAACTACTGGGTGTAGATCGTCGAAACGGTTCTGGCAAGAAGTCACTGCCCTGCCAAGAATCCGATTGATTGATCATCGACTTCTAGCGAAGAGCCGCAGATCTAACAGGGTTGATGTATATCATCGACAGTACTTGCCCAAGATACTCTAAGCCTTAGAGTCTGGAAGGTAATAAGGACGAACAACATCTTCAATGTTGTTCTCAACCTTATGTTTAAATGTTCTCTCTAGCCTTATGTGACCCCCCTGTCCTTACATAATTTAGGTATTCCAGAACATGGACTGGATGTTTCGAGTCCAAGCTGAAACAAGCCCGCTGTGGTACAAATAGAGTACTATCATGAATGTAGGGCCACTGTATGGCCAGTGTAGGTTAGGCACCTACTGGGTACTTTCGTAGGCTATTAATGCATGGCCCCTACTATGCAATTCTAATTATTTTCTCAATTTCCTTAATTTTAGAGGTGGAATCAAAGTGCAATATCGTAATTAACCTCATCTTTGGTAGGCCATATATAACAACTAGTTACAACTTACATACTTGGAAGAATCTTCGATGCGTTGAAGTTTTGCCAAGGTATGCAGTTCAATGTGTTTCATGTGCCCTGAAAAAGAACAAGATATGGCCAATCTCTCACTCGTTAGTGTCTGGGAATAGTAACGCGCCTATGAGAATCCCCTTCTGTTTGGGCGTTGGGCGCTAGCATGATACAATTCGAAGCATTCTGAGACACCGATGCTGTAACATTCGTGATGGGTTCCATGGATTCTTTATCGGATTGCCAATTAGCGGAGATCTTCCACGCACATCATGGATCATTCCCAGGGATTCCACTTCGCGAGTAACTCTTAGCGACTTGCATTTTGACGATGCCCCCCTGACCTATAGTAGAGCTGAGAAGTCATGTTCTCTTTTCTCTTGCTTTGCCTTTCTCGTTTCTTTTCTTTCCCTTCTAGTTGTCGATTTGTCTCTAGTTGGGTGTGATTGTTGCATTTCGTTCGTTTCTTGCACCAGGTGTGCCTTTTATTCTACTAATATCATTTCATTTCAGCAATTCAACAATTGAACAATGGCGAAGTCGTATCGTACAGTCCCTCTCGACGAGGAGCCTTTTCTCGCCAAGGAAGAAGGAACAGAAGAGAAGTGGACGGGAAACACAGCCAAGAGACATTTACCAGAATGCCTTCGAAAACTGAGCCCCCATTGGATTTGGTTATGCCACGCCGTCCTCCTATCGCTCTCTCTAACATTTTTTGCGCTATCCTTTTGCTCGAAAACGTCAAAAATCTCAGACATAGACTATACGAGGAAATACTCGGCATGGTGTACGTGTGATGGAGTTGTTCTTTACTGCCGGGGGAGAGAGACTAATCTTATCTATAGCACCCGCTGCCAGCGCGGTCAAATACGAGACGCAGCACTTCGACCTGCCTCCTTTTACCGAAGGCCCATTTGTTGGTAACGGTGACGACGTGGATGCAGCGTGGGACGAGATTTCTGCCAGTATGTTTAGCAACTCTGTGTTTGGATATATGTACAACAGCACTAATCTGATACTAGTCGGTGATACGATGATTTCTCGCGAGGAAATGATAAAACTAGGCTTGGATCCTGACACTTCTCTTGCCATTACCGACCCGAGAGACGGAAAGCCAGGCTATCGGGTAGCTGTCGAGGTTTTCCATCAGTTGCATTGCTTGAATCTTCTGCGACAAAATATCTATAAAGATTACTATTCACCTCTGGGAGGCGACACGTCTGCGGCAGCCGAAGATCTACAGGGACATCTCGACCACTGTATCGATGCATTGCGGCAATTCGTCATGTGCCAAGGTGATATCGGCGTCTTCAGCTTTCATTACCCGTTAAACGATGGAGACCCGTGGCCCAACTACAGCACACCGCATACATGCCGGAATTTTGATAGCATTCGGCAATGGGCGATCGACCACACGGTCCCGAGGGGACCAGATGAGCCGGAGCATTGAGATTTTCCGGGAGCCCAGGTAGAGACTTCGGTATATATACGCACATATGCCTTGAATATATTAGTAAATACTTGGATAAGCGATATTTTGACCTTGTAAATCCATAAGCCAATCGGTACCTGCCTACCCGGGTCTACTAAGGTTTGTTTAAAGAGGCATAACCTGACCTGGTGCTTGCCAACTGTAGACTCACTCTGTGAGTTGTAGATTTCAATATCTACCGATCAATGATGATCATGATGGAATTTGAATCTTTCCCCGTTTCTTGGGATTTCTTGGGTGTGATTGGTTAGATAAGAATATGATAAAAAACAAAGCTATGACCACATAAGTATCTGGGAAATGCCAACGGCCTCCACACGTGCGGATCCACTAGCTGAATACGAATACGAAAAGAATTATGAAAAAAAGGGAATGAAAAATGGGGCGCTTGTCATCTTCGCCTTATCAGATCGAGGGCGATGAGCCGATTTGCAGCATCTCTGCGTCAGTTACACAACCTAAAGAGGTTAATGGACATACTATGTATGCAACTATGTATGCAGCGAAGAAGATTAAGTTACCGCTACTCTATTCAGTTTCCGGGGCTCTGGAGACTTTTGCTGCTTCGGAAGCTAGAGGTTCCAGTGGTGTCATAACATTAGCGAATCAGCAGCATGCGACCTGCATTGCGCTCATCAACCCCTTTTTTCACATAGCTATCAAGTTCGATACCGGCATGACATTTCATGATTTTTTTTGAGAACAATTGCAGTTCATATCCCTGCTCTTCCGAATGGGCCGATGCAATTAGAGGATGGTTCGACGTTGGAAGGAATTCAAAGCAATAAAAGCAGATGGGATCCCTCATGTAATTGTTTCGATTTTTTGGATGTTTTAGTTAGATACAAGTAACAAGAGACTTCACGGCACATCACTTTATTTCTTGTGAAGAGGTGACTTGCGAGTCATTTGCTTCCCACAGCCACACAAGTTGAACAAGTTGAACAAGTTGAACAAGTTGAACAAGTTGAATAAAGTTTCAGGACTCAGTTTATCGATTGCTCATTACTAGGTATTGCCTGGTAGTACTACAGCTCTAGTCAGGCACAAAGGGACCACCGCATTGTCCCCTGATTTCCGATCAACTCTCCACTATCTTTAACTCCGAGTCCCCAGAAAAAAAAAATCCCAATCGACGACTCCCAAATCAGAAAGTCGCCGCTGCCCTTGCCCTTGCGAAATTGCATATATCCATACCCTGACTCTTAACTTCCTAGAGCCATTTTCTCTCTTTCTTCTTTCTTTAAGCATTAAACACCCGTGACGGGACTCACTCTTTTTTACTTCTACTTCTCCCTATCTCCCCCCGTCCGCGGTTTAACGTGATACCCCAACCAATTGCGTGTCAATCTTTAATCCCTTAAACGATTTCACTCTCTCAACATGGATGTCGTACTCGAAATCGTCGACACCTACATAGGCGACTATATTTACGCCTGGGCACATCCGGCGCACCCAACTTCATACGAATTTCTAAACAACAACAGTAACTCTACTGAGTTATTTTCGTCATCATGGCAATACAAGACTGCCAACCCCTATTTCGAAGTCACTCCCAGCAAATACGCGTACATGAGCGCCTGGGATAGAGATAATGTATATCGCCAGGCCATTTCTCTCTACCTGATCACATGGTTTGTTGTCCACCCTTTTTTGTGTATGAGCTTTCTTGAGTGCTAATTTGAATTTCGTAGGATCTTTGGTTTCCTTCTATACTTCATCTTTGCCACGCTATCTTACGTCTTCGTCTTCGATAAGAACACAAAGAACCATCCTAAATACCTCAAGGACCAGATGCGCCTTGAGATACTACAAACGAATAAGAGTATGCCAGGAATGGCCCTACTGACGACCCCCTGCTTCCTCGCTGAGGTTCGCGGTTACACCAAGCTCTATAGCACGCCTGCCGACGGTCCTGGTCTATGGTACGAAATCCTGCAATATCCGATCTTCATCGTTTTCACGGACGCGTTGATCTACCTGATCCATCGAGGCCTACACCATCCGAGTGTATACAAGTACCTCCACAAGCCGCATCACAAGTGGATCATGCCAACCCCGTATGCCTCGCACGCTTTCCACCCCGTCGACGGTTTTGCTCAGTCCCTTCCTTACCACATCTTCCCCCTCTTGTTCCCCCTGAACAAGTTCGCGTCTGTCTTCCTCTTCATCTTCGTCAACTTCTGGACCATCATGATCCACGACGGCGAGTATGTTGCCGATAGCCCTGTTATCAACGGCGCTGCCTGCCACACTATGCACCACTTGTACTTCAACTACAACTACGGCCAGTACACCACGTTCTGGGACAGGCTGGGCAACAGCTACCGCAAGCCTGACGCCAACCTCTTCCAGAAGGAGCAGAAGATGAGCGAAGCCCAGTGGAAGAAGCAGGTTGAAGAGACAGAGAAGATGGTGAAGGAAGTTGAAGGCGTGGATGACCGCAGCTACGACCCCCACGAGTCCAAGAAGAAGAACTAAGCGTTTAATCATTGCTTGGGCAATTTGGCTCTCGAGCGGTGTCCGCCAAGCGGGCATGTAATTACCGATTGCTGCTCGGTGGACACAGCCGAGAACATTCGCTTCGTATCATACCCCGGTTCGGCAAGTAAGGTCGGTAGGGGTGGTGAAAATGGATGAAGATTTAATCAGTACCTAGTACTAATGGGCACGCCGGAAACATGTACATATGGGGGGGGGCGCAGCATGCCGGGCCATTATAATGACGGCGTTTAGGGTGATCTCTTCATTTTTTTTTTGAAGGGAATTGGTTTTGGCTAAAATTTCGGCTTATGCGTCGAAATTTTTGAGCCGTGTAGACGAAGACGAAGAAGGAAGAGGCGACTCTCGTCCCACATCATCGTTGCCTAGACTAAAGCGGACGGATACAACTACACTTCTAATGAATAAATAAAACCTAATGTTTTCTAAATCTTTGGTGCTCTTTTCAAGTAAAGCTGGGTGATGAATGCGGTGATAATGCGATAAGCAAAGCCCATTGAAGCCCTTATATAGATCATATGTCGTATACCTAACTGGAACTAACCTAGGTATGTACATCGGTATCGATATATTTCAACCCTGTATCATGATATCTATACACTCGGAACCACATTAAAGTATAGGTAGGTAGGTAATGAGAATTTACATCTAAGCAGTTTCTACGAATACCTATATATACTCCACAAGATATCCTCTACACACTTTCTTCCAGGCGACGACCAACTCTTGCGGTAGGAGGAAGTCCTGACCTACCCCAGTACGAAGAGAGTGCTAGGGACTTAAGCATATAAGGATCTACTACTCACTAGTTCATACCTTGGAAGTCATGGCATATAAACGGGACACTAGATAATTCAGGGTATATGATTTATCCATTCATTGAGTTAGGAAAACTGCTTGCTTGTTGTTGCTGTAGGTATCGACTGTAAATTTAACCGACGCATTACCAACCGCCCTCCGTAGCCGCGCGTAGCGACTAGATATCTACCTAGGTATGTAGATACCAAGTAATTCTCGAGTACCCTAATCAGGCCCCGTTCCCCTTTGTGGTTGCTGTTGTTGTTGTGCATGGTGTACCTAACACAAACAACGACACTCTCCGTACAACTGCTCAGTAATACCAAGATGCCGGGATCTCCTCTCCTCTCCTCTCTTCTCCTAGGGTATTACACTTACCGATGCCCGCCAACGCAGATTGCGATACCATCCGTAAACGCCGTTGTCCGTTGTCCGTTGCCGCGACAAAACTAAAGGAAAATGATGTGGGTTTGTTGTAGTAAAGAACATAGGTCGGTCCGTAGAAAGCCTCTTCCGCCTGCCTGCCAACCCGCTCCCTCGTACCTGAAGGTGTCCGATAATAAAAAACAAAACAAAATTCCATTACATACACGTCCCAACCGGACACTTATTCACACACACGCGCGCGCGCGCGAAGCGCAATCCACCCCCCTCAACCAACCAACCAGCCACAGCGCAACACTGGACAGTTCCGCGCGGCTGGATATATGAGGATCTCACGAGAAGCTGACGAACTTGGGGTCCTTGGGCCTGCCGTCGGCGGCGATGCCGTTTGCGCTGAAGCGCTGCTCCATGTAGACGCGGCGGGCCTCGTCGAAGCGCAGGCGGCGCTTCTTCATGATGGCGAGGATCTGTGCCTTGGCGGCGTCGTCGAGGCCGGCGCGGCCGTCGCCGCCGCTGACGTTGGCGCCGAGGTCGAAGGTGCTGCTCGAGAGGCCCGCCTCGATGTCACCTGCGAAAGTGCCGGGCAGCCGCGCGTACAGGTGCTCGGAGCCCGGGAAGAGGTGCAGCCAGTGGTACCGGGTCAGGTAGAGGATCGTGCCGGTCACGAGGACGAGGAAGGTTATGGAGTAGAGAAGGTATGTCATTTTTGTTTTATTGGGCTGTGTTTCCTTTTTTTTTCTCCTTTTTTTTATAGGTTTCTCTCGAATTCGGCCGCGTTGGCTTTTTGGTATGTGGGGTGATTTGATGTACTGATTGAATTGGATTGAGGCAACCCAAGTAGTTTAAAGGCGTGTGCAGATTGAGTAACCGGTTGAATTTGGGACTTTACGAGTATAAGGAAACGTTTAGATAGGTAGAGAAGGGTCAAAAAGAAGACGAAGGAAAAAGAAAAGTCAAGACAGAACAAAATAACAGAGTGAATGAAGCAGATTTGCAAATGGTTGAACAATAGAATAGAATATAGTGGTTAGGCCATCGGATGGGACGGGCTTGTTCACAGCACTACTTCGTATGTAGAAGTTATGAAGTTGTTAGTGGAAAGAGTGGATCGTATGGTCTTACATGCAGATTGGGACTGACGACACTCTGTCTAGACTCTACTATGCAATGCCCCCCTTAGTTGCAACTTTGCCCCCCTAACTTTTAGTGCTAGGTTGTACGGATGGCGAAACGGTTATGGAAAGTGGCACGTGCATATTGTACTGCTAGGCTCAGTGCGTTACCTTACGTGTTTCGCGTTTTACATACATAACTAAGTAAAGTGGAACATTAGCCAAGACCGTTCCATTAGTTATCGATTGGCAACTGCGATGATCTAAATAGAAATGCCGCTAATACGAATATGGTCAGTTAAGCGACTCGCCCACACTTGTACACTTGCGCCAGGAACTTTCTAAATCATCTACAACATTATTTGCGACCTTTCCTACCTTTGCGACCTTAGACTTTACACGCAAAAGACAACATGGCACCTACATCGAGCACCCTCGTCTCCTCAGACCTTGTCTGGGAGATTGTCCGTGAGTTTTGGACCTAAATCTGCGAGCTAGATCGTGGTGTCTTGGGAATATGGTCGAGGCTGATGGACGTGTGATATATGCAGGAAGCAATAACTCCTTCCTCGTGAAGCGAAAGCAGGCCGGCGGTGTTCAGTTCTCTCGTGACCCCCTAAACCTAGTCAACAAGAACAGCCGCAAGGTAAGATTCATTTGCCTTGTCAAGGACATCATAAAACATGATACCTAGGATTTTTGAAATATTGACTAATATGAAACTAGTACTCCGGTTTCGTCAACGACAAGGTATGAATACGTTAACACTACACAACAAGCCAAGATACTACAATTCAGATGGAACTTACAGCTTGAAAATTAGGCTATCGGTGTTCAACCTGCCGAGAAGAACGGCGTCAAGGTCATCACCAAGAAAGAGGCAACTGCTCAGAAGCCCGCCAAGTCCACCGTCGAGGTTACCCACAGCGGTGGCCAGGGAACGCGCAAGTTAGTATCCCCGAGGTTTCACACCTGGACATATAATGGATGAAGAGAACAACGATTGACATATGTGGCTATGTAGGATCTACAAGACCGTTGCCCACCAGGCTGCCAGCTCCGGCTACCGAGCTGACCTCCGCGAGGCCGCCGTTGCCCGTGTATCTGCTATCCGACATTCCCAAAAGGAGCCCAAGCCCACTCCTGAGAAGAAGCCCCGAGGCAACAAGGCCAAGAAGGCCGCCGCGAAGGCTTAAGCTTCTGGGATTGGATGAAGGGGAAATGTTCAAAGAATAGTGCCATGACTGTAATGACTGCAAAGATAAAAGTCAATCAGATAAGACATACCCATCTATCAACAATTTTAGCATGGTAGTCAATCTACCCCTATATTGAAGGCTATCTTTTCCCGCATACTCATAAAATTCCAAGAGGAAGCCCCGTAAGCTGAGATACAGTCCATCTAATCCGGCAAGATTACCCGGTGTATCCCTGTTCTGTAGCCTCTACCAAGAGAGTGTAAGCAAGAGGGTGTGTGTGGTAACCAAGCTCGATTATTCGTCCATGTATTTCTGAGTGATTTTATTACCATGCCTGCCTATGTACGCCGTAGGTACTCAGCAGATGGTAGATATGTATTTTCACAAGGACTTGATATCAACATGCCTGAGGGTTATTTTGCCAGTGACGAGTAAATTATTCCATCAGACACTCTTTGTATAATCAAGCTGGCACGAGTTTATAATTATTGCTCTTCCTTTTAGCCCCGTCCGAGCTTGCCCGATCCCGAGAAACAACGAACCTCGGGAATCAACAATGATGCAAGATCTCGGGAAGTCCTGTGATAGCCGATATAAATCAATTTCGTACAATAGCCTCGGGTCGGGGAACTCGTAATTATTAGGTATTAAGTACCTAGGCATATCATATGGAATGTCAATAGTACTCAATACTAAGAACTTCATGTTGAAAGTGGAGAGCTTCATTGCTGTAAATATACAACATTTTTGAAAGACAAACGGCGACAATGTACTATGTAAAATAAAGCTATCGCCGTCGAACATTATTGGCTATCACATCATACCAAGGTACTTCCCTAGAGCGATAAAGGCGGGAACTGTACTTGCAATGTCTTGCATGTGGTTTAGGAAAGTCCGTTTACATCGTACAAAGTATATCGATAAAGCAAAGGATGGTGGGGTACTACCTAGTATCTAAGGTAGGTGTTATGTAGGTATGTACTAGGTTAGGTAATTGCCAAACAGTTTGATGAAGCTGATGTGGATATCAATTGATCAATCCCTCCCTCGTAACCTTTCTCCCCTCCTTCCCCATTCCCCAGCGTTCCCTTCTGCCCCGCCTTGGGTATCAACTTATCAAAGTCAACTATTCCTCTATTTCATCATCCTAGAAAGCCAGCCCCGTTCCTGCCCTTCTTTAAGTGAGATATAAATCAAGGTTTGTAATCCCTCCTCGCTCAAGTTTCACAAGTAAACTCAAAAGGAGTTAGTTATATTTACCTCTCTTCCTCCTTCCCTCTCTCTACCTCTGCATTATCTAGACTTGCCCACTACTTCTCCATCTACCATTCATTCTCTAGAATCATCAGCTTTAACTAACATCTTTATCTCCTTCTTATTAGTCCTATAAATAAATTACCCCACCTCAACAATAAACCGTAACCATGGTCAAGGCTGGTAAGAAGCGCAAACATCTCGATATATAAATTCCAAACAAAGGATGTCGATGTTAACAATATATCAGTTGTTGCTGGCGCCGCGGGCGGTATTGGACAGGTATAATTACCACCGAGTCTGGAATAATGGAAACATGAAAGAGCTTTAAGCTAATACCAAACAGCCCCTGTCCCTTCTTCTGAAGCTCTCCCCCCTAGTCGACGAGCTTGCCCTCTATGATGTCGTCAACTCCCCCGGTGTTGCTACCGATCTTTCTCACATCTCTTCGACTGCTGTAAGCAATACCTCTAATAACCCATCGAAGTGCCCGATCTTAAAATGCCTAATACCATGATAACAGAAAGTCACGGGCTACTTGCCCAAGGACGAAGGTGGAAAGGCCGCCTTCAAGGATGCCGACATCATTGTCATCCCCGCCGGCATTCCCCGTGCGTCTTCCCGATATATCCAATGATTGTCGCAAAAATAGCTCATCTTAGTATAGGCAAACCCGGTATGACCCGTGACGACCTCTTCAACATCAACGCTGGAATCGTCAAGGGTTTGATTGAGATTGCTGCTGAGGTGGCCCCTAATGCCTACATCCTCGTTATCTCTAACCCTGTCAACTCAACTGTACCTATCGCCGCCGAGGTCCTCAAGGCTAAGGGTGTCTTTAACCCCCAGAAGCTGTTTGGTGTCACCACCCTCGACATCGTCCGTGCCGAGACCTTTGTTGCCGAGATCGCCGGCAAGAAGACCGGTTCCGAGCTGACTGTTCCCGTCATTGGTGGCCACTCTGGCGAGACCATCGTCCCCCTTTTCAGCAAGATCAGCTCTGGCGTAACGATCCCGGATGACAAGTACGATGCTCTTGTCAACCGTGTCCAATTTGGTGGTGACGAGGTCGTTAAGGCCAAGGATGGCGCTGGTTCAGCCACCTTGTCCATGGCTTTTGCTGGATTCCGGTAGGATTACCATCTCTACTGCCCTGAGACGAATGGCTAACATTTTGGTAGTTTTGCGGAGAAGGTGTTGAAGGCTGCTAAGGGTGAGAAGGGTCTTGTTGAGCCTAGCTTCGTCTACCTTCATGGTGTTCCAGGCGGTGAAGAGATTGCTAAGGCAACTGGCTTGGACTTCTTCTCCGTCCCTATCGAACTTGGGGTAAGTGACCCCCCTTGAGCGTCTTAGTGAAAGTCATGCTAATCCATCCTTTAGCCCAATGGTGCTGAGAAAGCCACCAACCCCCTGGCTGGCATTACCGAGAAGGAGAAGTCTTTAGTGGAAGTGGCCATCAAGGGCCTCAAGGACAACATCGAGAAGGGTGTCACCTTTGCTCACAACCCTCCTCAAAAGTAACTATCCCCTTGATTCATTCTAGATGACTTGGCCGGCTCGTGGAGCGGCCGGCATGCCTGTTATGCGATATGATTTACCACAAAACACTCTGCCCGTGGTTCGGCATGGTTGATAGGGAAAGTCAGAATGAGCATTTGCGCTGATGAATAAGACCGAGTGACTGATCCAATCTGCTTGCATAGGTTGTAAAAAAGTGACGTGACCACACCCGACTATAGCAATTCATTCCCATTCGTGTTCAACCAATAGTTCACTTCGAAGTCTGGAGGCATCTCGAGGGAAGTAATGTCGGTAGAATGGCTGACTGGCAGGCTGGCTTGGAAAGGGACTTTTTTTATACGCTGGGAAGGCTTCTGCTGATGAACTGTGATGGATAGGGGTATATTTAAGCTTAGGCGACATCGCCGCGAGGTGGGAAGATCGTCAAGCAAATATCTGTAGATACCACCAGCAACATAACCATACCAGTACCCCCCCTCGGCCTAAAACAAAACAAGAACGCCGTCACTTCCAAATGCCCCCCCCCCCCCTTCCAACGTCCTAAGTTCGTTCCCCCTTTAACCGCCCCGTTTGCTTTTTTGCCTTCTTTACGCCGTAGTCTATGTAAATGATAAGATAATATGAAGTAAAATAAAATGAAGCAGTGCCTATCCTGTAGGCACAGTAGGATCCGGTGGTTTTCCCATCCTTGATAGCTGAGGCGCGCAAAGGAAGGTAGATAGGGGGTAGAGTAGGTGTGTGGTGTGGTGTGGTGTGGTGCCTTCTGTGTACCTACGCGATTGTGTTGGCATGGCATGGCATGTATGTATGTAGTAGGCAATGTAGATAGATAGATAAGTACCAACCAACCAACCAACCCTGGTCTACATGGAAATTGGATTGGTGGTGCGGTGTATGTTATGAATAAGTGAATAAGTAAGTAAGTAGGTAATGATGATGATGATGATGGTATGGCATCATTGCTTGCTGGGCACGGTCTTGATCTGGAAGACGGCGCCGGGCAGCTCGTTGGACTCGGCCTGGACGGTGGCGGGGATGCCCATGGCGGCGAGGGCGCCGCGGATGACGCCGCAGGGGAACCAGAGGAACTGTGTTTAATTTAAGGTTAGATTAAAAGATTACATAACTTTGCTTTTTTTTTTTTCTGGCATGATGGGGAAAGAGAGAGAGGGGGGGGGGGGGGGGGGGGAGGGAGATTGTAGTACTCACGGGCTGTGCCCTGACGACGGCGTGGGCGCCGGGGTCGACGCTCATGCGGGAGAGGGGGCGGAAGGCGTTGTCGGTGAGGACGTAGACGCCGCGGTGGTTGGTCTTGAGGTTGTCGACCTGCTTCTTGAAGACGAGCATCCAGAGGTCCTTGCAGACGAACTTGATGGCGTCGAGGGTGTCGTTGAAGCGGGGGCGGTCGCGCGAGAAGCTTTTTGGGGGGGGGTTCTTCTTAGTTTTTGGTTCTTTTTTCTGGGGAGTGAGAGGGGATGGGGAAGGGATAGGATGGGATAGAACTTACCGCTCGACAAGCCCCAGCCCAACACGGTACCCCAGCCCTTCTAGCCGGAAAAACACCGCGTCGCGCTCCTCGTCCTCGTCTAACCTACGCGCTCCCCCCGCCGCTGCCGTCGCAGTTTCCCCGCCACCATTACTCCTCCTAGCCAGCGCATCACCACCATTCGGGGCATCTGCCGGCGGGGGCGAGGGCGAGGACGCCGAAGCGGTGGGGGAAGGGGAGGAGGCGGAGGCGGAGTTGGAGAGGTAGGAGGAGGCGTCGAGCTCGTTGGCGACGCGGTACGTCATGGGCACGAGCTCGATCATCAGGAAGTCCAGGCACGAGGTGCTCAGGAAGGTGGCGGTCGGGTCCGAGGCGTTGAAGGGGGGGAGGGGTTGGTCGAACGACATCTTTTTTGGTTGTTCTGCTTCTTTTTTCTTCTTCTTCTTCTTCTGCTTCCCTTCTCGTTCTTTTTTATATCCCTTTGTACGAAGATAATTTTCTTTCTCCCCCGAAGTCCTGCTGGAAAAGCGCAAACTGGCTCGCTCACGAACCACGCGTACAAAGCTTCCGCTTCCGCAACGAGGAAAAGCAAGCAGTTCAAGCAATCAGCCAAGGCTATATATTGGTTATATATTATATCAAACGATGTCGTCGTGTTCCCTCGCGGCGCATTGGACAGAGAAATAGAGAACGGGTAAACCAGAAGATCTCGAGAAAACGGCGTTGCGTGCGTTGGTTCGTTATTTCGTTCGTTTCGTTCGTCCGTAAAAGATCAAAACCCACCACCTCTCGCAGGAATCTCACTCAACAAGTAAGCAAGCAAGCAAGCAACCACGCCCGTGAGTTCTGCGCGGTCTCTCTTTTGGGGGGTTCAGTTCGGTTCAGTTCGGTCCAATTCGTCCGTCGCTCGCTTGATTCGTGATAACTAGTCTCTACCTTTGCGTTGTTTGTCTGCCAAAAGTCGTTTTGTTGTTTTATAGACCTAGGTTAGGCAGCTGGGCAGGTTCAATGTTATGTAGGTAGCTGGAGGTAGTATGTAATGATGATGTATGTATGTACCTAGTATTGACTAGTAGTGTACGTGATGTATGTACTACTACATATGTAAGTAGTAGCTTAAACCTCGAGGCTGAGAATAGTGGGTCGGACAGGGCTGAAGAAGGTTCATGTATCTCCGTCCGGGGGGTGTTTTATTATTGTACTAGCGTTAGGTATGCAGTTAACCAATTTAACATGTAATATGCCTAGGTGCATACACTTACTAGGCGAATACACTCATGCGAAATAAGAGGAATGGAAGATGAGCAAAGAAAGAGTACGAGTCAGCTAAATATCCTTTTAATTCAGCATCGTTTCAGTTTCAAGGACTGAACTACGTAAGTAGAAACCAGCCAGGAAAAATGGGCTTCTCAAACCCCGACCGTCTTCTCGGTCACAAATCCTGTCACTTTTATGCTTCCTAGAAAGCAATAGGTATTTCCCTCCCTCTTAACGCCAATGGCTGCTCAATCCGACATCCCTTGACCTCGTCATATCTGCAACCATACCTTTGCTAACACAATCACACCCTCGCGTTTTTATGTACAAAGAAGTAAGGGCCGCGGAAGCGGGAGGACCCTACAGTACTACTAGATTCCTCCAGCCTCCCAATTCTACATAGAATATCGTAACGTTCGTTATAGAAGGGGTCGTGGGGATCTCGGTTCCTAAATCACCCTATGTCTGAGAGCAAATCAGGTTTTTAGTCTTCGAGAAGTCTCCTACAATTTTCCGTAGGAACCTCATAATTAGGTTTTGTAATATTTCTGTCATGCTGTGTAATTTGTCATGACAGAGACCGAATATTCTAATAGTTTCCATTGTTGAAAGGAGGAAAATTTAGGCCGTTTGAAGACGGTCCTGGGTATTGGCGTTTCGGGGGGCGGACAATAGGTTCGTCATCCTCGTCACTACTGAGCGTGAGGTCGATGACCTCTGCCGGCCGCTTGTTGTTGCTTCCTGACCTTTGCGTACTCGTCGTTGTCGAAGGGCCGCCGTTGGGTGTTCCACTACCAACAAATGATCGGCTTGGTGTGCTCATGGAGTTGGGTCCGCCATGCAACCCGCTGAAGTTACCGTTGCTGATTTTGAGAGTATCAGAAAGGATCGAAAGATCATCATCCTCCTCCACTTTGCTGTCTGGGCTGGGTCGTGATCGTTGTGATCGTTGTCGCGGTTCGGGCGTCTCCTTCTCTTTCTGCGTGCTCCATTGGCCATTCTTATCAATGGTGACCTGCTCCACCGACTCAGATGTATTTTGCAGGACTTCCTGAACATACTCGTCGACTGCCAATGCGTCGAAAAAAGCAGTTTTGTAACATACTGGACAGTTCCACGTTGCTCCTTGCACTTGGAGCTGCATAAAGTAGCCCGCATCAAAGCATTGAATGTGGGTGCATAATGCTCCCCGGCACGGAACCATCATTCTCGTACAGCTCAAAGGGCACTTCAGAGATAAAACCTGGGACGTTGCCTCAATGTCCGGGTCGTTAGCCTTTTTGGTAACTTTAGACAGGTTAGCTTTGTATCTCAAGTTTTAGAGGGGATGGTCTCGTACTATCTCGAATTACAGATGCCTTGGAAATCTTCTTTCCCTTGATCTTCGTAACGAGCTCATCGATCGGGTGCGTCTGACACAAATACAAGGCCAAATAAAACTTCTATTTTCCATTGCTGTTAGCAAAATAAACGAAGATTAGGGACTTGGTCTAGACGAAGTGACTCACTCGAGCCTCTTTTTGGTTGGAACGGTGCTGGTTTCTGGTCACCTTATTCGTCAGAGCGTATGTGAATTCGATAGTGTTTCCGTAGTTAGCTTGCTTCAGTCGCAAGAAACCGGTGATGTCCACCGGGTGAGTCGATCCTGGCTTATTTTTAAGACCCCGCAAGTTATGCTTGATGTCTTCACCATTAACCTTGATCTCAGATTGATGCGGGAACTGAACATCCTGGGGTCCGATGCTATCGCTTCCGCAGAATACCATGAGTTTGGTATTCGGCTGGGTAAGGCAGCGCGAAAGATCTGCGTGTTCACTGGCCTTCAAGTTGATGGTTATTGAGTTTCGATGGTTATTCATCACTAAGAGATTAGTGTTAGTGATCATTGGGTTTTGAACTCTACAAGACAACGGCTTACCTGGGCAGGTATGAAGGGGACCTATCCTGGTCTCGATAGTGTAAAACGGAGTGTTCTTGAATAGGTTATCGGAAAGTGGTGCTCTGGCACCCGCATAAGCACCGCCACCAACTGCCGTGCCATTACCTAGACCTGGATTTGGCGGCGGCAAACTGGAGCCAGCTTGGTGGTATGGGTACGAGTTGTAATATCCATTGCGACCCTCTTGAGATGATAGTGCACCCGAACTCGACGGTGGTGGCATACTTGGTTGACCGGGAGTTCCTCCACGGATTTTCTGTATCGTAGTCCGGATCGCGTTGAAGCGAGGAGGGTCGGATGAATAATTCTCGTGCAAGGCTGGAGTTCTATGTGTTAGCAGGTGCTTGCGCTACATTTGGGATAGTTTGGAAAGGTGGATAGTGGAAATAGATATAATGAGTAGGTTGGCTGGCTGATTGGTGTAAGAATTAGGTAGAAATCATGATCAGAAGATGAACAGAAGCAAGCGTAGGACTTGAACAAGATGAAGCTCTTTTTCCTTGACAGCCTCGTTCTCTCAGTTTTAGGTCAAGGAAGTATTTCCAGAATGCTCATCTGGCCTTAACTCTTCCTAAGAGTGTGTAATTTGGGGGAGAAGGGGAGAAGGGGAGAATGGGAAGAAGAGAAAAGAGTCGATCGATCATCGTCCATCGTGTTCGAGTAAATGACTGTACTAACCACCCTTGATGCGATTTTGCAAGTCTGCCTTGACCCCACTTGTTCTTAACCCATGGGACGAACAGATCTGCTGTAATTGTTTATTCAGCAGGGTGGATATGATTCGCTCGAGCGATCGAATGTCCGAATTGTTGGACGACATATTTTTCTCGGTTTCGACTTGGTTACCGTCGACTAAGGCAGGACCGCGTTCCCCAACCGAACCGCTTCATGAGGAAAGCTCGAGCTACCCTAAGAGGTACCCAGCGAGCTATAAGGCGCCGCTAACCCAACCGCCAACCTGAACCTGATGTGCCGTGTGTAAGGGTCGTATGTAGAGCCGAATCGAGGATCGGGTTGCTTTCGTGAATGAAAGAAGTCGGAAAAAAAATATGCGTGGAAAATAAAGCAGGTGTCTTGAAGGATCTAGTCGGAGCTGCGAACCGTTGCGTTGAAAAATAAAACTGGAAGAATAAAAAGATTCTAGCACTAGACCAAATAGACGTCAATGGAAAATAAGGCGTCAAGTACTTCGTATAGGTGCCAGGGTTCGGCGAATTAAGGATTTCAATTGAATCGAAAGGACAAGGCGTACTGTGCTGGAACACGACACGGAATTAGATTACATCTAAGTCTGCATGTGGTCGTAAGAGAGTGTAGTGTAGCAAGACGGTATAGTTGAATGCTTGGAAGAAGAACGTTGCGACGTCCTCGGCGCACGGCTGATGGGTAGTTATTAGCCATTAGCCCTGAAAGTTACTAGGCAACTATGGTTGTAGTTAACTTAAGTGCTATTAACACTGCTAACGTGCTAAGATACTAGGTTAGAAACTAATAGCCCCTGCAAAGGAAAATTCACCGCCTACCACATTCAGCGATTAATAACTACGGTACGCCAACAATCCTTGTTGCTTTTATATCTTAGCGGGATCTACGGCAAGGCTTAATACAGTTCATGGATCTTTTCTTGCCCCACCCTAAAAGTACTATGTATGTATGTATGTATGTATGCAAGTGTGCAGAGCGGAGCCCATTCAAGAAGGCAAACTAAATCTTTTTTTTTCCTTTCTTCAGTCGCATTGAGCATTGAATATCCGAAGTATCTTATTAACCAAAGTCAGTACTTCATTTCACATTTAATTGCTAGGTAACCCCCCAGGTAAGTTTGCTTCCATTTACGATACTTGCACAGTATTCACATTCAGACGTGCCTATGTCATCACCTTTTTTTCCTTTTTTCTCTTTTTGAAAAAAAAAACCCTTCGAGTCTCACAAATCGCAGCCACAAAAAAAACCAACCCAACAACCACCCTCCTCCCCCAAGACGCAACAACAATGGCAAAGAGCGCTCGCTCCAGCACGCGCAAGGCGAACAACCAACGCCTCAAGTCCAAGGTCTTCGGCCCCGTCGAAGCGGCCAGGGCCGAGCGTCTGTCCGCCAAACTCACCGAAATAGTCTCACAACCTAAGCCAGAAGCCAGCGAGATGAAGATCGTGGTTGACGATGCCGACGAGGAGGTGGCAGCGGCGGTAGCCAAGGTTGACGGAGACGCCACCGTCGCGGGTGTCAGTGACAGTAAGCAGCAATCATGGGCCTAAAGGTCTAATATTACTCACACTCATGACCATGCTCTCTAACACATTTATTTCACAGCAGCAATGGAGGTTGATACAGGCAAATCCACCTCGGCAATCAAGCGCAGCGACAAGAAGCGCATTGAGAAGCGCAGGAAGACAAGTAAGATCGTATTCCCAAAGTACGGGGATAAAAATAAGACGAAGAAACGTTAGACGTGCAAAAGTGATACAAAGATCAGGTTTTGGGACAAATATTGCATTGCTCGGCGTTTGGTTGGATTTCGTGATACGTCAATATATCTAGAACTACACGTAGTTTCATAATGATACCCTTCAGGGAGATGTCACGTCCCGGTACTACCTTGATCTCCTACTATTACTGGCGCTGTACTTGTCGTGGCCGCATTTTCAACTACAGGACTTGCAGTCATATCCGCAACCGAATTTACAACCGGGGATGTCGCTTTCGCGGCACTGGCTGGATTTGGAATTGGAGTTGAAACTGAAACTGGAATCGTAGCTGGAGCTAGAGCTGGTGATGGAGCTGGAGCGGTATGTGAAGTAGTGGGTGGAGTCGTGCTCGAGGGCGCCGTTGACACTGCAGCTGGAATCGGAGTTGAGACCGAAACCGGGGTAGAGGTTGAGGCTGAAGCTGGGGCTGTAGGTAGAACCAATGTAGCAGCAGTACTCGTTGTAGGAGCAGTCGTATCAATAGCAACAGCCTGTTCTTTTTGCTCACCAGACGCAGACGGTGTGACAGACGCAACCTCCTTATTCGACTCCGGAATGTCCTCCTTGCTAGTACTTTCCGGGACATCTATCTTCTTCGGCGGGCCTGGTGCATCCGGGTTCAGAAATCGAGCCGGCACGCCCGTCGCGGCATAAGATCCACTACCGATCCACGCTCCTACCAGACGGCTCCACCTGTACTCGCCGCGCCAAAGCTTTTGGATCTCCCGGAAAGCGTGAGTATTATAATATGGTAATCCCGTCTTAGGATCTCTATAGCGTGCTGGTTGATTGGTGATAACGCACCGTGGTATCGGTGCTGGTTCTATTATTTCGTTAGACTATGGAACCTGCGAATTACGACGTATGGAAACAACTTACTACTGAGCTTGGCCATGTCTTTGGCAAACAGGATACGATTTTGCACAGGCTTCTCCTTCACGGCATTCTCGTCAAAGTTCTGCAGGATGATGCAATTCCGCGTAGCTTTACCATTCGCCGGCGGCGATGGCGGCGGCGATGGCGTGATCTCCTTGGGCTGATGTTTCTGTGAGTTGGCTCGAGAGGCTTTCATGGTGCTAAGGGGATTCTTCCCTCTACGAGATGTTGGAGTGGACGTCGATGGCGCCTTATGAGTAGGAGTGGATGGTGGTGCAGGTTTAGATACAGGCGCAGGCGCAGGCGCAGACGCAGGTGGTGGTGCTGGTGCAGGCGTAGGGGCAGAGGCAGAGGCAGAAGTAGGTATAGGGGTAGGATTAGGTGCAGGTGCAGGTGCTGGTGCCGGTGTATGTATAGGCTGTGTTAATGGCTGGCTGACATACGTTTGTGCCGACACAGGGGGAGGACAGGCTCCCGTCTGAGGCATGGAGAGAGGTGACTGTCTTTGCGCTGTGTTTGGGGGAGCAAGGAAGGTTGAAGAATTGCCAGTATTAGACATAGAGTGATATCCAATCATAGGCATAGAAAGCCCGCTTTGAGGAAGTCCCGCTGGAGGGGCTAAGAAACTATTCGAGGGTGGTTTCATCTCTGGCGGTTTCATAAGTTGTGATGGTTGTGGTGGAGCAAACATGCTAGTAGTATACATCCCTGATATCGGGGGTCGCATATTTGCGGGTTTTGTCTCTGGAGGTTTGATTTCCAGCGGCTTTGGTTCTTCAAGTTGAGCTGGTGGTTGACTTGAAATCGAAGCCGGGGTCGGGGTCGGGGCCGGAGGTGGAGGTGGAGGTGGAGGTAGAGAAACAGTATCCTGTGGATTTGATGCCGGTGCTCCAGTAATTGCAGCTTCAGTTGGGCCAGTTGATTTCTCGATGTTTTCCGTCGCGGCGGGCAATTTATGCTCTTCTATGGAATCTTTGAGATCTGTGGAAGTCGACATAATTAGATCTTTAGATTCAGGTTTCTTGGGTTCTTGCGATTTAGATGGAGCAGTCGTCGACTGTGCATTTTCAACCTTGTTCGCCGTAGGCTGCGATGGTCCTTCTAATCCAGAATTCTCCTTGTTTGGAGATTCCGGTACTAATTCTTGTCCAGACGCTGAAGTTCTTTTTTTCTTCACTGGTTTCTCTTCGATGGTAACGATCTTGCCAACGTGCTTCAACTTGCCATCTATCCATTCACCGACGCCACTCCAGAATGTTACCACTGGTCCGTCAAGTGTTCGATTATTCAAAGCGGCCAGCTTCGCTCTTCGTTCCTCTTCCCGCTGTTTCTCGGCCTCCTCCCAACGATTTAAGCTTTTCGCATTCTTCTTCTCCACGATAGCAGCTTCGGCGAGCCTTTCAGCTTGCGTCATTGGTGGCTTCTTTAGAGCTTCCATCCTCTTGGCCTTCTTCTCCATCGCTTCGACTTGTTTAAGACGTTTCACTTCGCGTTCAATCATCTGTTGATGTAGCTGCTCCTTGCTAAGCATCGTAGTCTCTCGTTTGGAAGCGCGTGTGGGCATATCGGCTGGTGACGGCAGCCAGCTTATTCTTTCGGACTTCTTCTTAGGCCGTGACTTGGGTTCGGGCGGCGCTGAACTTCCTGAGGCTGTGGGTGCAATCTTGACCTTCTTGCGAAACTTGACAGGGATCGCCTCTTGGGCTTTTCGCTTTCGAGTCGCTTGTCTCCTCTCGCGCGCCTGCTTCTCCAGCTCCTTCTCGCCCTCCAAATCATCGGCATTTTCTTGCGCATCCTCGTCGTCGGATGATGAGTCCATGTGTACGTCAGATCCATCATCGGCCACATCGGTAAAGCCTGCGTCATCTTCATCTTCGGCAAAGAGTAGCTCGAGGTCGTCGTCAGGTTCTTCAGCGGCGAGCATAGATTTCATGCGATTACCAGCGGTGGATCTTTTTTCTCGGCCAGTTGCTAGCCATTCCGTTGGTGTAGATTCATCTTTGGATTCATCTTCGTCTGCGGAGCTGCCGTCATCAGTACTCGAATCTGTATTGTCCATGTCCAGGTCGTTTTCGCTCGTTTGTACGTGCTGTTCGTCGTCTACGTTTGCCATCTTGAATAGGCCCGTCTGTCAATAGTATTGAGTCTAGCCTTGTTCCCATATAGTGAAAGATGACCATTGCACATCTCGTGGGTCGCTGTACTTTGAATCTTTATTGTCGCGGTATGTGACAATGGCAAGGATAAAAAGTTGAAATAATTGTAAAGTATCATTACCTAGTACCCTAGTCCCTAGGTACGTAGTTAGTACAGACTGTACGCTGCACAGTCAAGTTGCTCTCGCGTCATGTCTTTTTTTTTTTTCGTTTAGGTAGTTAGTTAAGTGGGCCCACTCTCTCCAGTGCCTGAACCTCCTCCAAGGAGTCAGGACGTCATTGGTTCTACTTTATGCAATTAACAGATCTAGGTAGTTATGCATGTAACTTAATATCTACATGGTGTCTCTCGGACTCCCTCCTGTCCTCATTGTTCTTCAACCTAGGAACCTAAGGTTATATATATCCTACATGGAAATCACCCTTTTGATACTTTATAAGGCTTAGGCTAAAGTTCTAAGCGATAATACCTCAGGTGCTTGGACACCAAGTTCGAAAGTAGACACTGATGTGTCCGTCTGGAACCCATCCAGTGTAAGGTTTCCAATTGACCGTCAGCACACAATGTTTTGTTTCTCGAAGCGATTCACTTCAAAGCTGAGGCTATGCAAAAGTCCCAGAGCGGTATTGTACAGCGTGAATATGAGGACCTCTTATAAACACTATAAGAGCAGCAGTAGCAGCAGCAATCAGAAGTCTGCTTAATTTACCTGGAAGCTAATCCGAAGCAAATCAACATCAAAGCCAGCATAGAGCTAGCAGGTTTTTCCTAAGACATCAGGACACAGTTGTCGGTGCTTCTTATATAACAGGTGATCTCCCGAGAGGTATCCGTGACAAGTGTAGGTAGGTGTCTCTCTACCTTGGATAGGGGGAGCCCGTCCATAATCTGCGCTAAAGTGATCTCGCTGATGTCGGTGGATGGCGTGTTTTTGATGGCCCGGTTCAAGATATTGCGATGTATGCCCTCCTCGAGACTAGCGAGTGAGATTCGCTGGAACCTCGTCTCGAGGGTGTCTATGTCTAATTTCTTGAGTGGTTTGGGGCGCTACTTCTGTTGGTTACCATATGCACAACAGAATGAGGGAAATGGCTATGGAAGTTGAAGTGTTGTCTGACACCTAACACATAATACCTATGATAATGTGACATCTTATATAGGGGGAGGTACGTATAAGAGATCGAGACGGAGCAATTTTGTTACTCCGCTGTTTGCATAGGTAGAACAGGTGCCTAACACAGCTGTCCAACACGTCAAGTGTATAAGAGATACGATACCCCAGTTCTTAACTAGATAGACTCAAAGCGTGCAACGCATCAAGATTTTTCCTTAACATGCTTACAATTTGATGAATCCTCAATCCTTCAAGAGTGTCCTTAAAATCGACGGATCAAAATTAGGAGCACAAATCATGCTTGGACGGCGACGTGAACTTCTTCTATACCAACCACTAACCTTAGCACCATATGCGGGTCGGGAGATCGTCGTCGATTTACTATATTCCATAGCTGCTTACCTAGCTACCAGCACAGTAACTTCATCGTCCTTCCATCCATCCCGGCGCCCCTATAGCAAGATGCTATACCTACCTACCTACCTACCTAGGGTTCTTGTCCAAATCCCGCACCCAACCGCCTACCTCCCTGGCTTCACGTCGCGGAACGCCTTGCTGTACAATACTAACCTAGGTATAATGCTAACCTAACCCAGTCCGGAGCGCAACCGCACAGCAAAAACAAGCCGCCGGCCGGTAACAAACCCCACGTTGCGTTGCGTTGCGTTGCGTTGCGTTGCGTTGCGTTGCGTGGGGAGGCAAGCTATGTAAGCCTCATGCATTACGTACCTGTCTATGTACTACATACTGCTACTACTACTAGTAGTAACTATGTAACTACCTCCGTACTACGCAAACTACCATCTATCTACCTAGTTCCAAGACAACCGCTCCGCCCCCCTTTTCCCGCCCCTCCCGAGGCCGCGTCCCTGGGAAGAGAGCCCCTTTTCTATTTAAAGTTTTCCTTGTTTTTGTTTTAGTGTGTTTAGGTACCTACCGGTAGTTAGATCAATGGATGGGAATGGATGGATAGATGACGAACTTGGGCAACGAATCAAGCTAATCTAAAAGTTGACGTATGTAGTATACCTACTAGGAAGGTACCGTACCACTATGTGAGTATCACACAATGTATCCATATACATAGATACCATACGAAGAACACGATAGAAGAAAGAACAAAGCCAAGTCAAAAGATATGCAATAGATTGTGCGATGATAGATTATGATTTCGACTGGACTTGATTACGCAATTAGCATACATCCATCCATCCATCCATTCATCCCCATCTCTCTTTCTCTCTATCTATCTGATCCACAAAACCCAACCGGGAAAACCGGTTAACTGCCATTCAATGACATCCATTGCCTCGTATTAGCTAGCTATCATCATCCTGCGCTGTATCCATACACGCAAGCCAGCCAGCCCTTCTCTCTCTCTGTCTCTTTCTCTTCAAACATTCCTTCCCCTTCTTCATCGCCCTCTGCAGTCGTCCTCCTTTCTCCACCCATCTTGGATAAATAAACAGAAAATTTGAACAACAAAAACTCGATAAAAAGATGTTGGTATATACCGGTCCCGGAAAATGCTAAGCAACAACAAAACCGCCCAAGACACGCATGCATGAAAAAAACTAAACCAATGTGATGATGATAATGAATCGAAACGCGCGCCAACCCTCTTCACTGTGGTTGGGTAGCTGCCGAAAAGTAGTATATTACTCCTTCCAGATGTGAGATGAGACGTGAACTGATCAAATAAGTTTATATATGTATGTAAAGTATGCCAGGAATGGAGAAGTTATGACTGTCTGGCCAAAGCCCGTCCGGAGGAGGGAGGGTATTCATTTTTTTTGTTAATGCAAAGATCCATTCGTATTCTAATGCAAGTTTCGTTCATAAAAAGGTGGGTTATGTTGTTGAATAGGTAAAAGTAGGTGGTTATCCCAAATGGCCACTGTGGAAATGATGGAGAGGATACGAGAAGAGAAAGAGGAAAACAACAGCAAGCCGGTTGCGGGGCCCACAAAAGCCGGGACGCCCGGAAAGTCCGGCAAGCTCGGGAATCTGCGGCTGTGAGATTCGGGCGCGGATCACCCATAATAGAACCCCAGGTTTCTAATTCTTTAATTCCCTATTTTCCTATTTTCCTATTTCCCATTCCCTATTCCGTATTTTCCTGTTTTTATTTCCAGATTTGAGTGTGCCATGTCTCCCAGAATGCCTAATTTTTTTTTGGTGATGAGTATTGTTGCAGTTTCTTTGGGGAAAGAGAACGCGGTGGGTGTTAATCATAAGATCCGAACTTCTGATGCGGTGATTCTCTTGCGATTGGTTATAAAGGTGACATTTGTGGCATTGTGACACTGTAATGTAATATTGTGATGTTAAGGCCACGGGGGAAGTAGTAGCATTCACAACCTCCCCTTTTCAGGACTGGCCAGGCCCGTCTAGGAAATACAACACCCCACACCTTCTCTCGATGTAACCAAGACGATGGCCGAGACATAGGACTCCCCACGCTATCGCATTGATCTGACCTGCTAAACGTGGTAAATCTTTTTTTGATGCGCAAAAACTCTCCGAATCTCACGTAAGCCCTAAAGGCCCTATGGAGGCCTAGAACTGAACTCGTTTTCCAGAAGCATCGTTCAGCGACCAACAATCGGTGTTACCAACTCGATGCTCTTTGGCCTCGAGTAGGCACCTGGCTTCCTCGAAGGTAACGGTCGGCTGGTTGTTGTATTGGCTTGGTTATAGCCGTATCCTGTAACTGCATACCCGTTGTCGTATGTGGAAGAATAGCAGTTAGATGATTTCGTGTATGATGTGCTAGGGCTAGTAATGGCGCTACGGGTGAAGGGCCACATGGCATTGTGACCGCCGGATGTCGGCGAAGTCGGGCTTACTGGCCGTATACTTAATGACCTCAGGGCTGAAACGGCACTGGTATACTGATCGGTGGTGGGTGTTGTGGGCGGCGACCAACGAGACGGCGAAGCGCGGGGGATGATGTCTCGGGGTTCCGAGTTTCCAGCGGAATAGAATCGCATGTTGGCGCCGAAGCCGTCATGCCCCCTAAGTGGTGGGTGTGATGACGATGCCCTGACGCTTGCATTCTGATCATGTTCGCGACACCTGACATGAGTGTTAGTGTATGAAAAGAAAGGCGATTGGCTAGATTGGGAAGTGGCTTACGCCTCGGAGCAATATAAAAACTTGTCATCCTGTGGGGTGAATTGCTTTTCGCAAGTCATACTAAATACGTACAATGATCAGTCAGCGAATGGTTCGGAATGTGTGGGAGCATGGGATGCAGGAACCGGCCAACGGGTTACACAAGGCACACCCAGACTGTTGATCACCCGCATGGCTTAACTGAGTGGTGACGCAGCCCACGCAGACTACCAGAACGGGTATAAGTCTTGTGCAGCAGCAAGGAAAAAAGGGAAGCCGATCTTCCCTTTCCCAAGTGGCCTTTACAGGTGCCCCCCAAATGTAGAGTGACGTTGGTAAGATGGGTAAGATGGGTAAGACAGAAGGAAAGGACATGATCCAGGCGGGCGGACGAGCTTCGCCAAGCATCGTCATTCGAGGCCCCCCGACAAGTGTCGTGCGTGCACATACACACACACACACACACACACACACATCTCAAGAGAAAAAATATACGTACCAAAATTGTGGAAAGCTTTCCCGCTCATCATCAAACCAACGCTCTTCTTCCCATTCCCTCTCCCGGTCCCTCGGGTTCTTACCCAGCTTCTGCACCACTTGTGGCGTTGATTTCCGACTCAAAGTCTGTGGTCGCCTAGGTTTCGAGAGATCTGAATTGGCCACGGCTTTGCGAACATCGGTGGTTGAACTGTTTGTTGACGCATGGCCGGATTTGCGACGACTGTGATGCATTGTGACTTTTGTATGTGATTGGCCCCGGCAATAAGCCCAGGCCAAAACACTATTTGAATTGAGTGCCTACTAAGTAGGTAAGGTAAGGTAGGTAGGTGTGAGAGCCTCCTGGGATGGCTATCCTTAGATGGCTATCCCTAGATGATTATCCAGGATCCAATGTAGATAGCTATCCGATAGAGGTCCTTTACCAATATATTGATTTGCAATGAGGGGTTGAAGACGCGGGGTTTCACTGCTTGCGAACAATGCTTGATGACGACTGAGGCCGATTCAGGACGGTTAGGAATGAGTTGTACAATTCTCTCGTACTGTTGTAATTCCCCAAATTGTCGTGCTGACGGTGGATGCAAAATAAACGACGGGAAAATGCGAGCTGCAGGTTGTGAAATACGCCCCTGTCGTTGGCTTTTTCGTCCTATAGAGTCAATTGGTAGGTATGATATAGGATCCAATGCGATTATATTATGGATGGCAGGTTACTGTATCCAAATAATGCTGATCCCGGGATTCCTAGTTCGGCACGAAAAAAGGCCCAAGAGGTACCAGAATGAGTGGGATAAAATAATCAAAAATATACTACTACTAGGCAAGTAGATAGTAGATAGATAGATAGGTAGGTAGGTAGAGATAGTATATTGCGTGCTCGACTTGAAAAATGTAGTGAGATGTGCAATGACGATATTTGTCCGAGTGGACTGTGATCCGGTCAAACGTCTAGGTGAAATCCTTATGGCTTTCCTAGCCGTTTTTTTTATTTGGACCAAAAGAGTGATGATGATAGCTTCGTCTGTGACGGGTTGACTATGCTAGCGAGTAATGGTGGTACGTCGGCGGCTTTAAAGATTCGGGCGGTGTAACTTGTACAGTATGCTGGGGAATACTGGGGGATACCCGAGTCACGGCGGTGATTAGCTGTATAAAGTCGGACTCTCGGAAATGGAAAGCGACGGGATACTAAAGTATGTATCTGTAGTATCTGTAGTGTAAGGAATAACTTGAATTATGTAACTGTATTGGTGTATTGATATATCAAGGGAGCTCTCTTATTCTAAAAGATAAACTGAAGACTTTGACTTGAAGAAGCGAGCGAAAGGGGGAAGAATAATACGTTCGACAATAAACAGATCAACAACCTTGAGAGTTTAAAGAGAGGAGGGAAAAAAAGTTAAGAGGCGGAGGTGGTGGATGATATATTCCAACACCCTTGAAATGTCAACTGGTTCAGTAAGGTACAGAACTGTACAGTTTCTAGCAGCTGTATTAGATGTACCTTTTTTTTTTTTTTTTTATCTCTCTCCTCTCAAGCTTGGCTTTGGCTTTGGTTTTGGCTTGACCCTGCGTTGGAGTGGTGGATTACACTGTACAATTCTAGGTACTATGTATGCATCCTGTATTGTATGTACATCGCTGCAACATAAATTTGCCTACTGTGTACTACATATGTATACTATGTAGTAGGTATGTAGGTACGCAGGTAAGGTAAGGTACAATACATACAATACAATACATAATTTGAACATTTCTAGGGTCGGGTTATGGGTTAATGGGTTAATGGGTTAATGCCAATGGTTATGGTTATGGTTATGGTAAGGGAAGGTACAATACTATAATTATGATATGAATCACTAGACTATAAGAGGTACTGTATGTATCTACTTACATACTAGATATGCATAATAATCAAAAAAAAATCAACGATGACTCTTTCCTCACACACACAATTTTTTTTCTTCCCCTTTCTAACTTTTTTTGCAAGTGCTTGCGTGCGTACCTTTATTGGCTGACAGGTCTTTAAGATGCCGAAAGCGGAGATGTGACCCATGACTAGGGCGCTTTAAGCCAATTGCGTGTCACTGCCACATTGTTTCGACTATCACGACAGAGCTCTATTAGCGCCTAGGTTAGCCCTTTCAGAACCCTCCTTCCTCCATCCTTACTGTCTTCAGGGCTGTCAGTCAGGTTTGGGAAAGAAGAAACGAAACGAAACGAAATAAAAATAAAAATATGTAAGAACCAGAACCCCCCTTATACCACTAGATAAGAAGATAAAGAAAACATCGAAAAGTGTCCTCAGGGCTTCTACCTTTTTAAGCTTTTCAATGTCCAATGTTCCCATCTATCTTTTCGAGTGGTTCATGATGATCTGTCTACATATTCTACCTATTCTAGACATGGTACCAGATATTGCAGAATTCTAGGCTGTGACTTTATTTTATGCATTCATCAAGCTAGTAACTCTTGAAGCATTCAATGTTGGAACTTGGAACCTAGGATTTTCTCCAGATTATCCAGGTACTACTAGTAGTACAATACCGTTATAATCCACTGTAGTTATCACCTTGTAGTACTTACATGTAGTATTTGTAGTGCTCCCCTTACTAATCTCCAAATATTCATTGCAATGCTAGGACAAAACGGTCAACAGTCAAACAAGTTATAGAACATGCAATGGAACACTTAGTAACAGGGATGGTGATGTAGGTAGTATAGATCACTTGGCAATGTATGAGCTTTACACACAAGTGTGTATATATGTAGTGGCATATTACATTTCTATGTGATACTTAACTTAACCAGCTTGCCTAGGTAGGTACAATACATCTTGATACATACAGTATCTATTTATTACCTTGAGGACGACTTTGAACTTTGAATGATGAGATATGTGTGCTAACCTTTACCTATCTAATGGCGGGGTTTATCATGGCTCGGGATTTCCAAGATGCACCCCCCGTTGTATGAATAATGCAAGCAACATAAGTTCCGCTGCGGTTCGCGGGACGAGGAATACTACCTATGTAGGGCACATAGTATGTTGATGGATTTACCTACATGTAGGCGCTGTAGGTAACACAGGTAATGGGATCATTGGGATGTCGTGCGCCTTCGCAACCTCTCGGAAGGGATATCCATCGTTCGATACGCCTTAGATAAACCTACATGTGCAACTTGAACTCCGCAGTTTTCATACATACACACATACCACATACCTACATGTAGGTATGTATGCACTACAGATATGCATGTATGTAGGTAACAAACATGGACCTCTGGAGCTACATACATATGTGCCAGCATCGGTATCATATGTCATATGTAGCTACATTGTACACACATATATAGTAGCTACCTACTAGGTAGTAAGACCACCATCCAGGTGGTTTGTATTGCTTGCCCATCCGGGTCAAGTTGGTGATCTCATCACATAATCGTTGACCTGAATTGTGTGGACAATGCGGTCAAGGAAGAATCAATGACACCACGGGTTGCGAAACCAAGGTACATACCACCTAACCGGTTAGTAACCTCAAGTGCTCATTGATACTATTGAGTCTTGACATGTACATGTAGGTGTTGTATTGTACAGTATGTACCTTGGTAAGTACGGGGTTTGTCTAGGACTCTAGGATAATGTTCTTTCTAAACGCGGATGCGGTTCAAACAAAGAACCAATAGGATGGAGCCAGCCAGCAACTCATTATGGTACCCGGTTACCTTTGTCAGGCTTTGTGCGACATGAACAATTGCCATTGGCCATTGAACATTCAAATGTTATTCGAATACCCAGGGTATGTACCTAGGTATGTACTTTGCACCTAACTCAACAGTCTCAACTTACAAAAATAGGTTATGAGTTGAATTTTGTTTGTTTGTACTTGAAATAGTAATAGGTAATCGATTAACCTAGTTAGTGATAGATAGATCTTGGTACTAAAAGAGAAGCAAATATTTTTTTGCTTCAAAAACCCCCCAAAATAAAAAATAAAAATAGAAAACGAAGACCCCATTCCCCATTTCAACATAAGCTCACCTCATCCATCATGTTGGGCACGTTTTCGAATTCTTGACTCTCAGAATCCTTTGAGTGGATTCGCACCATCTGCACTATTCGCACGTGTATGGGTTTGTCCATGTCGAAAGGTATACCTGCCTGGGCACGTTGTCCTAAAGACCCATGAGACTTCCTACCTAACATCAACGCGTTATATGCTCATTTGCATGTTTAATGTTCAATATTGCGTAATAAGTTGTGCTAAGTTGTTGCTTTGCAACTTTCCAAGCCTAGGCAGTAACTAGGCACAATACAGTACTGTCAGTACATACATGTCAACCTAAAAATTATGTAAGCTAATCAATGTTCTCCGTCTACTGCTACATATGTACATACTGCAGTATGCACTAGCGGCCCTTGGTGTTTAAGGTTAGGACTCTCCAGTTATTTGGGTTCTCCTGTTCTCTACAACATTGAAGTTCGATGTTACATATTTAGGCAGGTACTACTATGTATAGGCATTATTCCGTTGAGCCAAGTTCAACCAACACTGAACATTAAATGTTCCTACTGTGCTATTCTTGACCATTCAAGTTCCCCGGAGTCTCTCCTGTGTACAATGCACACCTACATACTTGGTATTGTACAATGTCATACATAACTACCTATACATACTCCGTGAATACCTACCTAGTATGTATTCTGTCTGAGGCTGTCCGACTTCGCTTGTTTTCTCTTTCTTTCTTTCAATGTTTCTTTCTTTATCACAGTACTCGCAGTACATCCACATACAACCCCATCCATATCCAGCATATCCCCCATACACTCTGTACCCATGACTGCCGATCCAACATTAGAGATCGTCAAAACCTCTGGCAGTTTGGCACTGTTACTGTTAATTGATTGAATTGATTAGCTTCGAGTTCGGCTATCTATCATGATACCTAGATAGTTGATCAATCTCATTTTACCCCTCTTTGATAACTTCAATGTTCCGTCAAACCCCCTTGATCCCCCTTGGCAACCCCTGTTAAGCCTGTCTTGCGACTCTTGCCTCTCTTGCCTCTCTTCTGTCTTCTGCTCGGTCCCCTCCTCTCACCAACTACCTTGCCTACATAGTAGTAGTATCTACATACTTGAACGCTGCTAAGGTTACTATGCTACATACTACCGTGTAGTGGCTCATTGCCCCTTTTGTCTGCAATTGCAGCTTGCCTTCTTAATC